CTATCTATTTCTTTCCAATGACCAATATTTTATACAAGGGTTGTAAAAGCAAACTCCTAAATCTCAAATTATATGTCACTGATAAGTGTTGGAGGTGAACATAGGTTTCAATAAAAAAAGACTGGTGTTTCTAAATGCATCATACACAATCCTTTGTGTAGAGAAAACTATCTTTCTAGTGATATGAATCTCCATCAACTTATCCGATAGATTGTGCGGAACAATTTGTAAGCCATGCCAAAATTGGTTTGTTCAGGCCCCCCGCGGTAAACACCTAAGACCAAAAACAATCCATTGAATATGTATCAATAACAATAATAATGGTGGATCATTTATCCACCACATACATTGGTCCCATTGAATAGCATGTGTCTATGTAGGTGAACAGAGGGAAAATACACAAGGCCATTTTTGACAAATTGTTATTGGTCAGATCCGTTATACACCGTTGTATAATTGATAGATTTGTCCTTGTAATAGATGTTATATCGTTCTTGTTTGTTTGTTTTCCAATATTTATTCAATAATGCGCTATTATTTAGCATACTATGTGCGTTACTACATGTATTGAGTCGTGCTCTACAGTTTATTTGATTGTTCGGTGTAATTGCACTCTATTATTGAGGGTAACTGTTACACCACCATTCTGCTTTCTTATTGTAAAAAAAAATGTGCTTTCTTTTTTTCCGTACATGGCATTGTGAGTAGATAAGTGGAGACCTGAATTTTCTTATTTGTTTCTTCAGTATCATTGCACTCTATTATTGAAAGTAACTATTATAACAGCTGTACTTTCTTTCTTACGTGTATTGTATTGTGGGTAGATGAGTGGGGATCTGAATTTTCTTATCTTTTCATGCATTATGGGTGCTTTTGTTTGTCTTCCTTGATAGTCTACTTGTTTAACCTGATGTACATATTATTTGATTGCATGTAAGAGGCATTACATAAGGGTTAGGTGATGTATGTTTACCTTAAGTAACAATTATGGAAGGTCATTACATAAGTCCTATGTAATGAATGATTCTTTATGTAATGAATGCTAACTTTCCGTTGCTTAAAATTTTAAGTTGGTGTAGATTTCGTACATGGTGCTTCTGGTCTGACTGTTACGTACATAATAACTATAATTATGTTACATTTACTAAATGAATGTGCATTTTATGCATTAACTGTCAAGTGGCGTGGCCAATTTTACGTAATGAATGGTCCTTCACTTTGAATAATTAGTTTTGTTTTCCATAAAGTATTACGAAATTCTTACTTGAAACTTATTAATCCGTCGGTCCATTTTTTACGTAATGAATGTGATTTTTCCTAATGGTTATAAATGGTCAATGAGTAAAACCCTTCTACATTGGAACTTCGATGCCACTTTTTTATCAATCAATGATATAAATGGATTTTAATGTGTTTAAATAATCAAGATTAATGTAAGTTTATTAATTTATATTTTACTCAATTTACTGTAGTATATATCAGCATTCTAAAAAAAAGTATGTGTATCGGCATTTTACCATTGATTGACTGTTATCTCTATTGTAATAACAGACCGGACCGGATCAGTGAACCGAACCAGGAAAACCGAACATTAGTTGTCCGGCTATTGTGCAATTATGCTCAAGCGATCTATGTTGGCCGAACTCTTTTTGCCGTTCTTACAAGGAAGCCACAGAACCGGATCGGCTTGTTGGTCCAACGGTCTTCTATTTTATTTTCTAATTTCGTTCTTCACTTTGTACAGTATGCTGCAGTAACTTTCTCTACTTTATTATTCTTCAAATTATTTTACCTATGGCCAACAAACCATCATCATCTTTCCATCCGACTGCTCCACCATCTGGTGATTTTTACTCCTATCCATTAGTTATGCATTTGCCTTAAAGAGCTATATCTTTATTGTTCATATGCTATACGTCGATGCTTCTCTTCTGGCTAAAAATTGTACGCATATATCCACTATCTATCTTTGGTGATGGAATATATAAAATTTGATTATTTATGTTTGATGAGAATTTCAGTTTGGAACTATTATATATCTTTTTATTTTACGTGTGAGCTTTATCAACGATTAATCGACAATTTTATATCAGTTAACCGCTAAATCATGAACCATTCGATTTTTCGTATCAACTTTCGTTTCAGTTTTGCAAATACTAGCTATTATAGTTTTCCTGGTTTGTTTTTTTTTCTTTTATTTTTTTCTTTAGGTGGAGTTTTCCGGAAATAATCTTTATATCATTTTGTTGTCGCAATAAAACTATAAAATTTGTAAATGCAATTGAATGCTTTGTGCTAGAAAATGGGATCTTGAAAACATTTGTCCCGTCTGCCTTCCGTATGTGGACAACGATTAAGGGTAAATAGTGTGACCAAAAAATAAAATCGCTTTCTGGTATTAATTGGATTTTCAGTCTAATTTTTGTTCATCGTTGTTGTCTTTGCAAAATATATGTTCACTTTACAACTGTTCCAATTTTGTACGCTACTTTTTCATGATTGATAATGGACAACAAAAGAACACTATTTCATATGCTATTTTTCGAATTTATTGGAGTGCATTTTTTAAATATTTTCGCTGTTTTGTTAATAATTTATTGTGTTTCTATCTAATGTTAATGTAAAATGGTTTGTACTTTGCATATATGTATTTATATGAAGTTGCTTCTCAATTATTCTAATTATTTATTGTGTTTATTTATTAATATTATGATATTAATTAAAATGTTTACGTTGATGTTTATCAAATCTGTAACTAATTATAATTTTCATATGATAATTTGGAGTCACTCATGCATTCTCCGCAGCGGAGCGCGGGCTTAGTTGCTAGTGTATATCATTCTAACAAAATGCATCACTTTGATTTTATGATTTTAGCATAAACATACATGCATTATGTCATTTATCTATTTTATTTCTCATCATAGGAACGCTATGTTTGGCTCGGCTTTTAGAAGTGCTTTTCGAATTCAAAAGCTGAAGCAGGGCCAAACACCTGTAAAAGCTCGGCTTTTGAAAAAGCGAAAAGTGTTTTTGTATAACATAAAAGCAGAAGCTCCGATTTGGAGCTTCTGCAAAAAGTTGTTTTGAAAATACAAGATTATCCTTATCATATTTTAATTTTATTTCAGAAAATATAATTTTTCTTCATTTATATCATTTTAAAAATAAAATAAATTATAGAATCATATTATTTAATATAAAAAAAATCTAACAAGATCCAATTTGACTACTTTTTATTGTTTAGAATTTTTATTCATATTTTATATTATAAGTCCTTTATAGTCATTTTACACAACCTCTTATAGTAAAAAACACTTCTAATAGTTTTACAGCCAAACACTCGACTGCTTTTTTTTTAAAAGTACTTATCTAAAAGCTCCAGCAGGGCCAAACTAAGCTGACGTTCCATCAAAACAAGGTAGTAACAAGATTTGCTCGTGTGAATTGTGATAAGGGTGTCTCTAGGTGACTCACATGTCGAAGGATGTGTAAAATTTATGATATATCCTTTATTCTGATCTTAAATTTCATAGACTCACGGTGCGAAAGATAATTTATTTAGTTGTTGTTCGTTGAAGACATGCTTACTGAGTAAAGAGTACAATCTCATTAGTAAAGGATTTGAGCGAAATCTCAGAATAGGAAGTAGTTATGGATTAACAAGTTGCAACGACAGAGACTACTGACCCTCTTCTTGTTTGTTCCTAGCCGTCGATTACGAGTCTGGGAAGCCTGGAATCCTAAATATGTTTTCCTCACACATGTGGCTCTTCCTGGAAGTGAGCACACTGTTGCCCGACCAAGGAAATAAGGGTGGGTACCCTTTAGGGCTTAGTCCCATTTTGTCTCATACCTGAACTCAACTCTACAAAGGGAGACCCAGTTTACTGCTCTCGCCAATGATACGAGGTTCCACGATTATAACAATGTTAAACCGAAACTTCCTGACGTACTCCTTGAACACAAGTAATAATTTGTTTGCTGAAACTCGTAGTGCATGAATATATTTGTTAATAAAACTAGTACAAGGGCTACTAATTCGAACTAGAGAAAAGAGGATAGGCTCATTCCAGTAAAAAAAATATGGCACAATTAACTACACGGTGAGGAACATAAAACGACATGTCAAAACAGAGTGTCTTGAATGAAAGAGATAAAAGGAAAGGTAACACTAGTTTGGATATTCCCATTCATCCAAGTAAGTCATCAACACACTAAGATTAGTTTCATTTTCGTATGTCCTTTCAACAAACGTGACCATGCGTAATTCACACACAAAAAAAACAAAGAGCATCCAAGTAGTTGATAAATTTATATTCAAGAACATGGTCTTTTGAAACAAATTTATTCAAATATTGTATTATAGAGGCAAGATGTCCACAACCTCCAACTTTCGCTCAATATGTGCCATTGCACAAGTTGAGCTAAACTTTATAAAATTTCGCTTAGTATGCACATGGCCACGCTAGTTGAGCTAAAATACACACATGGTCGGATAAGAGAAATTTGACCGGAAAAAAAGGATAGAACATAAACGAGGGGAGAATTTGGAGAGAGAAGGTGTGAAGGATTGAAGAACGATGACACGGGAAGTGGAAAGCCACCGCCGATCGTCATTTCTGACGGATATAAAGCTGGTAATAAATTAGTATTCAATTATGCATGCTTGGACCAAAGCAGAAGAAGTAGAAACTAGAACCTAGGACAAAAGAAATTCGAAGAAATCGAACGCAAGAAATGGTGGAAATAAAAGCTGGTACATAAAGTAGAGACTAAACTATTTAAAAAGTGGAGGGAAAGGAATCCACCCCAATATTCGGACTACACTACCAGTGTTGTTTATGCAAAACATAAAACGTAACATTGTGGAAGTACAAGTTTTGCAAGAAGTACTACTCTCTGTAAAGCGAATCAAGTCACAGTACAAAACAAACAGATACAAATCTGATTCTGGGGAGTTTCAAGCTCAGTGTGTATACCTCGCTGCTAAATAATTTTTACAAGTTCTCCATTGGCGTGAAAGGAATGCTTCTGGGCCTGGCAACAGTGTAAGCCACAAACACAGAGAGACATATGGAGATTACTGAAAACAGAAGGGCAAAAGCACTGGCCACCCCACCTCCCGAGTCTCCTCCAGTTGCCGATGTCGCTAGCTTAGAACTGCTTGATAAGATCTCCAAAGGGATCCAATCGCAGTTAATGGAGTAATGTCCTGCCTTGTGCCATGGCTGCCCATCTACTGGGTACCAGAATGCTACAGCCATCTTGCTTGATCCCCCGATCGTAAACTGAGCATCCTGGAGTTGAGGTAAGAAAATTATTTATGTAAGATAAGCTCGTTCATATCGTTCCTAAATCCGGATCCATCAATTAGTTGATTTTCACAGAGCAGATGGTTTGAATGTGAATCTACTTTTATGGGCAAGCAAGCAAATATGGATGAGCATGAGCTGAGGAAAGATACTTCTCACTAACTTGGCTAGAATGTTCGATTCACATAGGGGGCAACTTGATCCGCGGAAGCCAAAAACATGATTATAGCTATAAAAAAAAAAAATTATATGTGCTGATTGCTGATTGTTCTTACCTGTTGGAGTCGATCCATGGTTCTTAAAGGCCTCGAGAATTCGAAATAGTATTTGCCTTTTTGGCCATCTGATCCATAAGGGCTGTCATCCTGAATGAAACCTAATACAAAAAGTTTGAAACGTTGTCATCCTGAATGAAACCTAATACAAAAAGTTTGAAACGTTGTGAGATTGTGCAGTAGGATTGGAGGCACGGAAGGAGACTTTGAGTAGCCACTTTGCTTGGAAACATGCTCAACAACAAAGACAGACTGAATCGTTTATAGAACAGTTCAGGTGAGTCCTTCTTCGAAGGATAAGCAACACTAAACTCCAAGTAAACAGTTACACGGGGTTGGCTGTGTCAAGAACCAGTTGATCCCAATAATTCGAGTTGTTGGGAGAGGTTCAATTGTGGATCATATACCACAACACTAACACGCCCCCTCAAACGAAAGCCACTCACAAGGACTTGAAGTTTGCATAGGTCTGAAGACAAGAATACCATGTGCTTAACAAATGAGGGTCACCGGGAATCGAACACAAGAGCTCTCGGTCACAGAAACCTCTAATACCATGTCAAGAACCAATTGATCCCAATAACTTGAGTTGTTGGGAGAGGTTCAATCGTGGATCATATACCACAACACTATCAGATCTAAAGAATATTTGAATATGGTACTAATTATTTCAGGTAGCAACATAATATTGATCCCCCTCGTGTTGTGTCTTTGGGCATGTTCCATCATGTTACCAGTCTTCAATCATTCATCTTGGTCTTAATTGGTGAAAAGTACACATTCTTTCCAGGTTTCATTGATGCAATGCATTATATTACTGGTTTCGACAAACTTAAACATAATCTAAGCCATTGATTAGTAACATGATGAATATGATTAACAGAGTACTGAGTCTTCTAGAAACATGCAAATGTGTTCAATAGTTTCAGGTAGCAAAACCTCACATATAAAATAATTTTCAGGATAATAAGATACAACGTATTACCCGAGTGCACATCTAGACTACTATGCCACCACGATCCTTTCCAGTTATTCTGTGCACTAGAGTCATTTCCTGCATTTCAAATTGAATACCAAGCAAGTTAATATATAACAAGAGATGGAGCAAAATAACTAGATGCAACCACAAGCCTTTCAGTGCCGATCTAACTGCTCAGAGAGCAAACCAATCACATATTTCCATTTTGCTCAATCCTGATTGGATAAGCCTTTTCTAATCAACTAGATTCAAGTCAGTACCTTATCCCACTTTCTTACTTTCACCTAGCAGATGGACCTTTCATTTTGCTCACATTTTAAATGCGTCCGTCAACAAAAGAGCAAAAGGGAGCTTCCGACTAACCTGATGGACCCATACCATCGAGATATCTACAGTGCGGATTCCAGGCATACAGATCAACTAGATGACCAAATCTGTAGCAGGGAGATGACAATAGTTCAAATAAAAGAAACTAAGCTACATATGCATATCTGATAAAATACCAGAAAGTAAAAAAAAAGTCATTCTACAGTATTGGTTTTATGTTTAACTAATCAACATTTAGATCACCTGTCACCTCCATTCCCATCCCCATTGTCTATGGGATTGCCACCATAGAGCCGTCCAGGGATAGCATTTCCAAGTGAGAAGTGCATGATGTCAACTTCATGGCCTTTGCAGGTCTTATTGGTACAACTGTCTGTTCCCTCCTTGCAACCGCCCATCTAAATTAACAGACAGCCATCTTCCCAAAATTTCAATGCCAAAACTTGCACAAAAGAGGGAAACAAACATGAATCGACATCAACAAGAGCAAAACAATCAGCAGGAGACAACTTACACTGTGATAGGTGGCATCAGCACCGACTTGAAACATGAGAGAAACAGAAGCGCACTTAGTGTTATCCCTGCAATACAGATAAGCGAAAAGAATTCCCAAAAAACGAACTCTGGATCAGTTGGGAAGATCTTGGAGCCTCCTAGCTAACTCCATTGCAAAAAGTGACACCACTGTGATCCTTTCCAAAACTAGGAATTGGGAAAATGGGAAATCTCGAAGTGGGCAGATCAGATGAACTATCTCCAATCAATTGGGATTTGGGAAAGAAGAAATTTCCAAATGCCCGAATAGCAACTAGTCAGGTACACCAAATTGAATCAGAGAGTGTAAAAGACAGTACTACAGCTATGGAAACCAAACTTATCACCCTTTTGAATACGCATAATCCCCATCAACTTCCAAGAAGAAGAATACGTCACGGCCATCATGTAACGCCTGAGGGGGAGCAAGCAAACAAAAAGTGCCCAATCATTCGTTCGTCATCGTTAATCTCTGAGGTAAGGCGAAAAAGGGCTAAAACCTCAAAGCAGGCATTCTATTACATTCCATACACATACCTTAACGGTCATTTTGCCAGCTTTATACTCCTTATCGGCGTCAGGGTCGAGCGCGGGGCGGAGAGGGAATTCGAAGCCGTCAACGTCCTTCCAATCATCGGAGTGGCCATCGACGGTGACGAGTCCCGGATTGAAGACGGCGGCGACTCGGGTATCAGAGTCGGAGTCGCAAGTCCAGGTTCCGGACTCCTGGTGGGAGCTGCCGAGCTGGATCAGGTGGGTGAAGGCCGAGAGCAGCAGCAGCAGCAAGGGCAGAGCTGGATGCATTCCTTAGGGCTGGAAGAAGAAAAGAAATGGGGGGGCCGCGGTTCGAGATCGGTGCCGGGCTCTTGGCTGCATTGCGTCCCCGAATTTTGGTTGAATTTTCCCATATAAATTTCAACTTAGGAGTCGTGTTGACTGGCGGAAAAAAAAAAAGAGGGAGAAGGGGGAGGTGGCTTTTTCTTGCTTTGAAAAGTAAAAAGTGGTGAAATTTCCAGTTATATGGTTGGTTCTTGTACTTCTCCCAACTAACTACCAACAAAGTAACAATGGCAGCCATTGAAAGTGACCCAGTGTTGGTGATGCATGCAGCACTTGTGAATGTGAAATACGGAAATGGATTATGAAAAGTGTGATAGTCATTGGCAATGGTTGAACTTCTCTAAAGATCGCTAATAAGATTCGTTGACAAGATTGTTTTGATACATTTAAAAAAGGAAATCTTGATCTCATAAGTATCCACAACTTGCAAGAGTTGTTGATTCATATTCGCGTGAGGACAAAGCACGATCGTGCTTCAGGTAACCCAACATGTGATTTCTATAAGCACGTCATTTCATTAAGTGAAACAGAGGAAAAAAGCACGACTTTGCTTTTGAAAGCTCGTGTCGTGCTTCATCTCAAGAGCTCCCTCCATATAAGCACGACCTCATGAGGGTGAATCACAACCGTGATTTTTCATGCTTCTAGTCGTGATTCTCACTAGAAAACGCATTGCCTGAATATTCAGTAAGTCACGACTATGAATCGCAATGGATGTCGTGGCTTTCTTCACTTTGCTCTCTTTTCTCCTATTTGACCTCTAAATACTCACTCTTAAACTTCATCCACATACTAGAACATGAAATATGACAAGAGAAACATAACCCATCGTAAAATAGATCTAGAAATGGACAATTCAAGACCAAACGATCAAGATATGAGGATTAAAACACGTATAATTAAGCACTTACCAGTTTCCTCTCCCATTTTTGTACTCCTTTTTTATGATATATTCTCACTTACTCCGAGAGGTATAAACCAAAACAACTTGAAATCTTACTGTCTGTTGAGGTCCCTCAGTTATGAACCTCACCATTAATAGCGACAGTCAACTACAATTGGTTTGATGCTCCTGATAGGTAGAATTTTATTATTCCCGTAATAAACCAAGTTGATTTCACCATTGAAGGAGTTCTCTCCCATCCAACCACCAAAAGACCTATTTTTCTTTACTCAGTTGATCTATGAGTTTTCATACCAAAGCTTGAGAAGGATCTTGAGGTTCTAAAAGACAACAAAAGTTCATTAGTTTGAGTTATAAGGGTGTACACATCATTATCAAGGGTTTACCTAGTCCAAACTATAGATTTGTTGCCTGCGATTAGCAATGATTTTCTTGACACACATACTACTTTATTAAAATGTAATCAAACTCTATGTCTTGGATGGAGCCACTCAAGTCAACGCAAAAGATCAACTAGGCGGCAGCACTAGGTGCATCTAGCTCACACTGCCTCTCATCTCAAACACAAAGTGAAGAACTAGGGTCTAGATCAAAGTTGTCAACCCGCGGGTTGACCCGCGGGTCGACCCACTTTGACCCTGACCCGGGGAGGAAAAACGGGCCGCACGCACCCGCCGGGTCGACCGCCGTAAGGTACCGGGTTGAAGGTCAAATTGTGTCATTTTTTTCTTTCGTTTGCGAAATGCGCATATGTTTCGATTTTTCTTTTTGCCTAACTCAATCTTTGGAATCCTAAGTTGAATATTTGAATATTGATGTATATAAGCGTGTGTGAATTTTCACTTTATGCTAGATCTAAGTACGATGTGTTATTTTGGTGTAATATTATATGTTATAACTCATATGTTAGATAAGATTTGATATAATTTATAAGGAAAAGTACAATATAATGACTCTTTCCATATTTCCGGGCCAAACCGGGCTAAAACCATTAATAAATGAGACGAGGGTGGCGGCGTTTTCATGTCCACCTACGGTTGGACCAAACCTTTAACAGCCTTTTCATGTCCACCTAGGAAAGGGACTGCAGTATAGTGGCTCAAGTAATAAATATCGAATCCACGGGTCTCGTGAGTTACTATTACTCATCTTCAGTTCATTATCTAGCAAACCAGATTAAGATGGAAGAACTAAAACTACTCTAACAAACTACAGTTAAAGTTAATCTAATTACAGGTTGGGAACTCACTTAGGTATGATTCCCCCTAGCCACTAGCCAGATTAATGATTGATGATCTCTAACCTGTTTCACTTTCATTCACAATACGGAGAATCCTTGACTAGACCTTGAGTCTCGACTAAAGGAACAAGGCCCTCTTGAGTCAATTACCTAGAGGGATGTATCCTTCTCTAGAACAACTGATCAAGGCGTTCTGAACTCGATTCCCTCTATCGAATGAGGTTCTCGATCGATACAAAGAAGTGAATCAACCCTCGACTAAAGCAATCGATCCACTACTATCAATCTATGGTGCTCTATTGACCTAATCAGGTATTCGCTCTCATAGGATCAAAGCAGAATCAATAATCTCGACTAAAGCAGAATTGAATCATGAAAACATGCATGATTGAATATGAACTCAAGATTATCAAGTCAGAGTAATCATACAATCATCCAATCAAACAAACATAGCTAGGGTTGCTCAAAACCTAAGTGAAGGGAAGTTACTCCATAGAGAAGAGAGAGACTGCAGTAAGAATCTTCAGATGATCAGTCTTCAAGTCCGGGCTTGTTCCTCGAGCTTCTAAGGAGAATAAATCCTCCAATTCCACTCCAAGAATGCTCTCAAATCGCCCTCTCTCTCTCTTTGGTTCGTCCCTTGGGTGTTTGGGATCCAAAACCCAGCTCCCCCTTTCCTTTGGCTTCAATCTGCCTAAAAAACCCGATTCTGGGCAAAACACGATCGAGGATACGGCCGTGTCTTACTTTTGCCCGCCCGTGTTTTCCCCCCAGCAGCCCTCGTCGGCCAAAACACGGTCGTGCCTAAATATGGACACGGCCGTGTTTTTCTTTAGGCCCTCCCGTGTTTTTACTGCCGAACATGTTCCCCTATATTCAATGCTTCGTTTCTCCCTCGTCCGGACTCCGAATCAATCGTCGTTTGATCCCAGACGCTCGTAGTCTCGTCCTCTTTCTTTTCATGACAAGCTTGCATGATTCTTTGTCCATAAAGTGAGGTATAAATCCATTCTTCTTCAGGTCATGCCCGAGTTTCTTCTCCCTAATCGCCAATTGATCTCTGATTGACTTGAAACTTGCGCCTATGCTTCACTTTATGTGCTAGGACCTGAAATGTGACAAAGGAACACAACCTAGCGTAAAATAGGCCAAAGACGCGATAATTAAAGCTCAACGATTAATAAACAAAGGGGAAAACATGTGCAAATATCGAGTCATCAAATCCCCCCACACTTAACCGTTTGCTTCTCCCCATGCAAACCTAACTCAAACCAATGTAGCTCTCCAGACCTCTATAGCAACATACAACCCCGATCGTTGGTAGAGGATTTCCTAGATCATATAGTAGCTTACGAGGTCAACTGGTCTTCTAAGACGTTTCCTATCTCTCTCAATGCGAGTACTAGACTCAAGCCAGGATCATGAGAAGAAGTAGAAGTAAGACAGTCAGTTCATGGATAAAGGGACTCACACCATTCACAACCAAGGACTCGTTGTACCAGGGTGCTCTTTCACTTCATTTCACCGTTGGAACCCCTTTTTCACTTTCATTTTACTTTTTTTTTCCTTTTCATTCACTTGGCGGGGTTCCAACTGTAGTCTTTTGCACGGTCGACCCTTATTAGTCGAGCAAGAGCAATTTTGTACATCTGGCGCTCGCCAGAGTACTTCTTTTAACTCTTTTCCCTCAACTCGTTGGAGGGTCAATGAAATTAAGGGGGGTCGGAAGCTCTATCCGTGCCCTTAAAAACACATCCTCAAGTAGGCAAACCGTTCAACGGGTGGAAGTTTTACTTGCACTAGAGACAACTTAGCTTCACCTTGTAGGAGTACCCCCCTAAGGATCACTAAAATCTCCTCCAAAACCTGATTTTGTGCAATGAACGGTGCCACACACGTTGGGCTTACCTCATGTTTAAGATTTCGATGATTTCGACATGGAGGACCAACTGCATTTCATTTTTCACAAGAGCACCATGTTCGATACACGAGTCCATAACACAATCCAAATAGAGTCACCAATACCACATGAATTCAACGGTCTTAACTCCACTAATTCACAAAATCAACTGGCACAACAGAGAGCTAGATAGGAAAAATCTTATACTTCAACATCCTCCATAGTGCTACACTACCTCCCTAGGTTGCACATTACTATAGAGACTGTCAATTCAAAGCATACTGAGCAGACAATTTGCAAGGAAGCACATACTTGGAGCCCTCAAATTTAAAAATTTGGACAGTGGACTAGGCTCCAAGCACACAAACAGCCAAACATTCACCCGCATACATAATCGAACATCCCCCCACACTTAAGCACGACATTGTCCTCAATGGAGGAAAGATAAGGAGGGTAGAACGAAGTTACCAGATCAAGGGTGAATGATGGTGGACGAGGCAGGCGGTGCATTCCAGGAGGAGAGAGTAGTCGGAACACAAACACCACACAAAATCTCACAAAAGTTGAGTTATTGACTCTAAAATCAAATAACAAAACTGACTCAATCGAGGAGAAAAAGAGAGAGAAATGCAAACCAACTGGTTGGGTTGCCTCCCAACAAGCGCTTCTTTCACGTCGTGAGCCGGATGATGGCTCCTAAGTTTCGGTCCACCCCAAAACCTCCTTGAAGTTGAGGTTCTCGTCGATGAGGTGGAGTCTCAAGTCACGAACATGTGGTATGACAGGTGATGGAAGCTCGTGCACTTGATGCAGATAACGTCTCCACCCTCTAGACCTCTTCTTCTCTTCTCTCGTCTTATTGCCCCAAACTAGATATGACAACATCGATTTATCACCATTGCGTCCACCAAGAGGGACCGATGTCGACGTGGCCTTGGTCTGGCAAAGAGACACTGCAAATGGGTCCTTGCCAAGCAGCTCCTCGAATTTTGGTGGAGATATCACATGTAACTCATGGCCGATGCAGGCCTCTTCCACCTTAACTCCGTCCTCAGCATAGACGCCAATTGCTTCTTCAACCTCCCTTTCTTCTTCATGTGGTATCACCCCTGGGAAATGATCAAGAACTCCTCCTGTTTCACTTTCGTCATCCTCCACAACTTCTTTCTGCACCCTTTCTTGCTCTTCTTCTTCTAGCACGGATTGGAGAGCAAGTTGCCAAGCAATTTCTTTCATGAGATCTTCTTGCATCTCCTCACTCATGCCCGCCTCTTCAAAGCTCAGTTTGGGATGTGGGAAGGTGTGGTCGGCTACAACAGGAAATTCTTGATCATGATCTTCACGGGAGCTCTCTGTGATGACTTCTGTTTGCTCCACAATGTCCTTGTAGCCTTCTTCTTCCTCCTCCTCTTCTAGTATGGTAGCAGATGGGTGATCTTGAGCAAGTTGTGCACAAACTTTATCAACCCGCTCTGGTTGCTTTGATGAGTGCGAAATAGTCTCCTCCGATTCACGGAGGGATGAAGAGTTAGGAGGAGCAAAAGATGAGAAAAGGAGGTCCATCTTGCGATTGCGTCTCTCGCTGTCCCGAGCAAACTGCTCCACGAGAAGCCTCAACTCATAGTTTGGATCTGGCTATGCAGTGTAGCATGGCTCTGCAGAATGGCCCGTGAAGGTCGCCATGGGTAACTCCAGCTCCAAAGGCCCTTCTAGTTGTGGGAGAAATTCTTCTCGATAAAGAGGTTGTTCTTGATATGCCCAGGGGTCCGGTTGTTCTCCGTAGTAAGGGGGTTGGTACTAGAACCCGAATCCATAGTCTTCTCCTCCTTGATTGCTCCAGGGAGTCTCGGGGTAATACCACTCGGATGGTGGTGGATACCCCCAATGGTTGGAGAAGCCATGAGGATCCATGATTCAAATCTGCACCAACAGAAACAAAAACAAAAAAAAAACACCCAAGTGAAAAGCAAGGGTGGAAAAGAAAAGAAAAACGCTAAAGTAACAAACTTCTGCCTTTCCTAATAATCTAGAAAGTCCTCGGCAACGGCGCCAAAAACTTGACTCGCTATGACACAACTCCTAACAAAGGCCAAGTGTAACCAATGAAAGGGACTGCAGTATAGTGGCTCAAGTAATAAATATCGAATCCACGGGTATCTAGAGTTACTATTACTCATCTTCAGTTCATTATCTACCAAACCAGATTAAGATGGGAGAACTAAAACTACTCTAACAAACTACAGTTAAAGTTAATCTAATTACAGGTTGGGAACTCACTTAGGTATGATTCCCCCTAGCCACTAGCCAGATTAATGATTGATGATCTCTAACCTAGGGATGGCAATGGGTCGGGTTGGGCCGGGTTTTGCCAAACCCAAACCCATGGGTTTATCCGTGAAAAAAACCCGGGGTAAAACCCACTGGGTTTCAAAAACTCAAACCCAACCCAACCCGCTGGGCATCCGCGGGTTCATGGGTACCCACGTGTTTTTGTCGTAAAAAATTACAATAACAAGTTCCTATCAAAATTAAAGTTAAATATTAATCTCTCAATACAAATCATCCATATATAAAACACCATTCTAGAAAATTCAAGCAAATCACAAATTAACTATACAAATTGTTCAACACCAATCTAGAAAACTCAAGAAAATTGAAGCAAATCACAAATTATCCATAAATAACATGATTAATTGAAAAATTCTTCCTTTCAATTAAGTTTCTTCACTCTCCACTCGAAACATCAACTTCATTCTACACAATTAAAAAAAAAAAATTAGACATGTCTCCACAAACATAAATAAGATTAGTTGTTTAGAATATTAAATATACCAAAAAAATTAATTATATGGGTGTGGGCGGGTACCCATGGGTCGGGTTTACCTAAATCCAAACCCAACCCAACCCGATGAATAGTGAACGGGTTTAAACCCAAACCCGGCCCAAAACCCGTCAACACGGATTTTACCCGCGTTGACCGGGTTGGGTCGGGTGGGTATCCTTGGGTTCGGGTTTTGTTACCATCCCTACTCTAACCTGTTTCACTTTCATTCACAATGCGGAGAATCCTTGACTAGACCTTGAGTCTCGACTAAAGGAACAAGGCCCTCTTGAGTCAATTGCCTAGAGGGATGTATCCTTCTCTAGAACAACCGATCAAGGCGTTCTGAACTAGATTCCCTCTATCGAATGAGGTTCTCGATCGATACAAAGCAGTGAATCAACCCTCGACTAAAGCAATCGATCCACTACTATCAATCTATGGTGCTCTATTGACCTAATCAGGTATTCGCTCTCATAGGATCAAAGCAGAATCAATAATCTCGACTACAGCAGAATTGAATTATGAAAACATGCATAGATTGAATATGAACTCAAGATTATCAAGTCAGAGTACTCATACAATCATCCAATCAAACAAACATAGCTAGGGTTCCTCAAAACCTAAGTGAAGGGAAGTTACTCCATATAGGATAGAGAGACTGCAGTAAGAATCTTCAGATGATCAGTCTTCAAGTCCGGCCTTGTTCCTCGAGCTTCCAAGGAGAATAAATCCTCCAATTCCACTCCAAGAATGCCCTCAAATCGCCCTCTCTCTCTTTGGTTCGTCCCTTGGGTGTTTGGGATCCAAAACCCAGCTCCCCCTTTCCTTTGGCTTCAATCTGCCTAAAAAACCCGATTTTGGGCAAAACACGGTCTAGGACACGGCCGTGTTTTACTTTTGCCCGCCCGTGTTTTGCCCCCAGCAGCCCTCGTCGGCCAAAACACGGTCGTGCCTAAATATGGACACGACCGTGTTTTTCTTTAGGTCCGCCCGTGTTTTTACTGCCGAACCTGTTCCCCTATATTCAGTGCTTCGTTTCTCCCTCGTCCGGACTCCGAATCAGTCGCCGTTTGATCCGAGACGCTCGTAGTCTCGTCCTCTTTCTTTTCATGACAAGATTGCATGATTTTTTTTCCATAAAGTGAGGTATAAATTCATTCTTCTTCAGGTCATGCCCGAGTTTCTTCTCCCTAATCGCCAATTGATCTCTGATTGACTTGAAACTTGCGCCTATACTTCACTTTATGTGCTAGGACCTGAAATGTGACAAAGGAACAAAACCTAGCGTAAAATAGGCCAAAGACGCGATAATTAAAGCTCAAACGATCAAGAAACAAAGGGGAAAACATGTGCAAATATCGAGTCATCACCACCACAAAAACATTACGAATGGAATGTTCTTCCATTTGGAATGAAACAAGCACCAGCTATCTACCAACGATTTATGGATTATGTCTTAGAAGGTTTTCAATCGTTCTGTCTAGCATACATTGACGATATTATTATTTTCACTAATCAATCAGAGGAAGATCATCTTGAAAAAATCTTGATAGTTTTACAGAGAATAAAAGAAAGAGGTCTAATTATTTCTAAGAAGAAATCGAAACTTCTTCAAAGGGAAATTGAATATCTTGGTATGAAGATTAATAATTTTGGCAAAATTGAGTTGTCGGCAAACACTAAGGAAAAAATCAATAAATTCCCAAACCAACTTTAAAATAGAAAACAAATTCAACGTTTTCTTGGATGCTTAAATTATATCAGTGAACACGGATTTTTAAAAGATTTAGCAAAAGAAATAAAACATTTACAGAAAAAGATTTCCGACAAAATTCCTTGGTCATGGAATAATCAAGATACAAAAATAGTTTTATTAATGAAGGAAAAATGTCAGCATTTACCAAAATTATATAACCCATGTGAAAACGATTTTCTAATCATTCAAACGGACGCCTCTAAAGACACTTGGGCAGAGTGCATGTTAGCAATTCAAAATAGCAAGGAATTATTACAAATGAGGCTACTGTCTCTGGCCAAAAGCCTAAAGATTATCAGTCTTCAGACAATATTATTGAACTTTCAAGTTCTCAATTATCAGTTCCTTTCAACAGTGATAAATATTCTAAGAAATTATGTAAATATATTTCTGGAACATTTACCGCCACTCAACAGAACTATCCGATCCACGAATTAGAGACACTAGTCTGTCTCAGAACATTGAAAAAATGGAAGCTTGAATTATTATCTACAAGGTTTGAACTTCGAACCGACTCTAAATATGTAATAGGTTTTTGGAGGTACAAGCTACAGGCAGATTTCAACAAAGGGAGATTAATCAGGTGGCAACAACAACTCCATTATTACAATCCTTATCTGAAGTATATCAAGTCCAACAACAATCCATTCACCGACACACTAACTCGAGAATGGAAGGATTTATAAAGACCCTCATTAATCAGCTAAAGTAGAAGCAGGAAAAGAGTGCAGCACTGGAACAACAACTTCTCCTTTGCAGGGGGGAGGAAGAAGTAATAATTCAATCAATCGATGTTATTCAGCAACAGTTAAAAATCAACTACATCGACGTTAGTACACTATCAATTAGCTCTGCTAATGGACAACCATCAACAACCACCACAGAACTTGCTAAATCATCCACTACTACCAATAATAATACACAAAAGACAACACGATGGGCAGACATCGTTGAGCAAGAAGAAAAAGAAGCAAGAGATTCTCACTACGAAGAAGACGACAGAAAAGGTAGCAAGTGGTATGTCATATTCAATGGACCATATCAAGGAGTATATCACAACTGGGCCATCGCTAGCCAGCACATTAATGGCAAACCAATCCAACATCAGTCATTTAAAACAAAAGAAGCAGCCGAAGAAGCATTTAGACAGTCATACAAAGTGATGGCAATGAAAGAACCAGTCAAGAATCAAGATCAACAATAGCATAAACTTATCATGAAGATACCTAGTATCAAGAGTATCCCAACCACCAAAGAAAAATAAGAACAATTGAAACCAGTCTTTCAAAAGTTCGTATCCAACTGGGATATGATAATCAACTACGAAGAAAAACACACAACCATGGGGTTTTATCCCGTCAGTCGAGGAGGACCAAAGGCAGTAATCACAGAAGAAGCATCACCAGAACTCTCTTATGAGTTCCATCAGTATGGATTAATCGACACTATCTACACTACAACCATGAAAGTATTTGAATACTTTCCACAAAGAATGAGGAACATGATTAGAAGATATCTTGAGCTTTTCGCCAAGGAACGAGAAATATTTCTCAAGTATACAAGCAGCTACCCCATATTTGATTAAGACAAGCTATTGGTCGGATCAAAGGCAACTATCCTTATGGGAGTATCAAACCATGATTATCCTACCAGAGATGACCTACGAGACTATGTGAAGAACCCAGACTACCAAGTAAAGGGTCTTCTAGCAGTATGCATAGCATTAACAAAGATTGAACCAGAAAGTCAGATCAAGGTCAATTACAGCAGCCCCGATGCCATCATCACCAATAAAATTAGAGGAAATATGACCAAGGAAGAATGGACAATCATAACAGATAAAACTAAAGAATTCACTGAAATTAATGGAAATCTATCAGCTCTTCTTATTCAAATCAAGAAACAGCTGTGCAACGCACTTACTATCTATAAGGACCACTTCTGTGAATGGTGTGCATCAACTGACGAAGACATCAATGGACCAGCAGACCAAGACTGAAAGAAGCATGTGAAGAAAGAGGAATCAAACAAATATGGGATAAAACGACAAGAGAAGGTTGGCCGACTCCTTTAAAAAAGTCGTGCATTATTGTACTTTATCAGCTTTTCTTATCGTTTCACGCACTTTCTTTTGACGTGTTAACTTTACATCCCTGTCTAACAGACGTAAGCAATGACGTCTTTGTATTCCCTCTCAGCTCTATATAAGAGCAAGAGTTTGCAATGAAATAAGGCAGAACGAGTTTGGCCACAAAAGTTGTCTGTTTACTCTCTCCCTCTAGCTAGCTAGTTGTAAGGCTTGGATCCACTGATCCTGGAGGCCACAATCATCTTCAACATAATCAAACGCACGAGGAGCAGCTACAATCATCAAGCAATCATAAAAAAACTCAGAGTTTCATTAGAAGAACAAGTCAGGTATGTCCAGTAATCCTACTTCAAGTTATTTTGACTATTTAAACAAAAACGATAATGAAAATTACTTCTTAGATGGTGTTATAGACGTAAAGAAAATTAGAGAAAAAACTAATTTTACTATTTCAGAAACTCAAAACTTTATCACTAAGTCTTTTTTATCAAAACTCTTTGATAGAGAAAACATTATTAAATACGGTAAAATGATAGGAGAAGTAGCAGTCCCTATTGATCAAACTAAGGGCGATTTTCTAATCCAAGTAATAAACAAAGAACAAATTAGAAAAAAGATTAGATAAACTAAGATCAGAAGAACGAAATAAAATAGCTTATATTCATATTAGTACAATTCAAATTATACTAAAATCAACCATGAAAATAGGAATTGACGCACCCATGGAATTAGAAATTCGTGATGATAGACTCATTAATGAAGAAGAGAGTATTATTGCCAAAGGAACGGGAAATTTAGGAGTAGGAATAATTAAATTTGATATTAACCTACAAGTTACAACAAGGACTGAGTCTGGCAGATGGTAACCTTGACTCTTCTATCATTATAAAATACGAATTAAAAAGAGAAAATTTTATGAAAGAAAATAGCAAACCATTTTCAATAACTTATCAAATAAACTATGCATTAACAAATAGTCACCACAGCTTAACCTTCAAAAATAAAGAAGTAATTACTATAGAAGATTTATTTAAACCTTTAATTCAACTAGAAGCACTACTAAAAACCGTTAAAATAGAACCTAGTAGACCATCGATAACCCAAGATCAAAGACGAATAATTAAAACACAATCAGAGAGAATTAGGCATATCCCAGTAACTGAACAAAATTTAGAACAAGAAGAGATAACCAATAATCAAGTAAATAAATTAATTGAAGAGATAACCAATAATCAAGTAATAAATAAGTTGGAAAAATTGCAACATTCAATAGCAAATCTAGAGAATAAAATCTAACAACTACAAATATGCCTACTAACTATCATATAAATTAATTAATTGAAGGAATAGATGCTATAAATCTCATTTCAATAAATTATATCAGTACGGTTACACAAGAACTAACTTATTTTGCTTCAGAAATCGTAGAAGAACAAATGAGTATTGGAACCATAGAAACATTAGAAGAAGCTATCTCCAAAACCAAATTAATTACTAATATAATAACTAGTCTAAATAAAATAAAACAAAGATTACTAAATCAGTAAGACATTTTTGAAAATATAAAAAGAACAATAAATATGGTATCAGAGCCAGCCGAACCGATCAACTACTCTCCGCCTCTCACATACCCGAATCAAATCGTTCATAGCCGTTCGATCTTGACTTGGACACCAATCTGTACCTATTAGTATATACTATATACTAACAAAAGAACTAGTTAGCAGCTTAACTAGGTTGGGACATCGGAGGTAGAGGCGAGAACAAAAAGCCCCGAAAGATTACTAAATCAGTAAGATATTTTTGAAAATATAAAAAGAACAATAAATATAGTATCAGAGCCAGCCGAACAGATCAGCTACTCTCCGCCTCTCACATACCCGAATCAAATCGTTCATAGCCGTTCGATCTTGACTTGGACACCAATCTGTACCTATTAGTATATACTATATACTAACAAAATAACTGGTTAGCAGCTTAACTAGGTTGGGACATCGGAGGTAGAGCGCGAGAACAAAAAGCCCCGAAAGATGTGGAGACGAGCGCTGCCGTCACCGTCTTCATTCTCCGGCCGATCCGCCACTCCAGGCATCGCCGCGAGATTCTTCTCCTTCGCCTCTTCGCAGCCGCCGCCCTCGACGACGCCCTTTCCCGTTTCCTCTTCTCCGAGGACCACCACTCTCTTCTCCTCAGGTATTCCAATTCGAGTCCTCCAGCTTTTATCGACTGCTAGCTGGTTCGTTAGCTTTGTTTTCCCCCCCTTCATCAACGAGATTGAGCTTGCGTCAGGTAAAATTCCGAAGACCAAGGTTGAAAATGTGATGCCGATCGCTACCGGACACGAGCGAGAGGAACTCCAGGCGGATCTTGAGGTAATCTTTCTGCTCGTTACATCTATTTTCTTGCTGACTTCTACGTTTCGGGATTCCGTTCATTGCTCGCATTCTGATATGTTCATTCCATCGTAGGGAAGGAACATTTTAGAGATCAACTATCCCGTCGGTCCTTTCGGTACAAAGGTTAGTATCGATAAGATTCCATAGCCTTAGGAAATCTGTATAATGATCCGTGAACGAGGATAAGGGAATTAGTTTTTCTTGTTGATACGGCTTTGATTGATGTAATGGCTGCTGTATAGGAAGCTCCTGCTATTGTGAGGTCTGTTTATGACAAACGAATAGTTGGATGCGCCGGTGGCGAAGCAGGTTGATCCTTAATCCTCTCTCATTGTCTTAGCTTTTGCTGCTGGGAAGTGTCTGAATCTGTTCTTCTGCGTTCCAATTGTTGCTTTGCATTTCATCGGGTTGTGAATATTTGCAGAAGATGAGCACGATGTGGTGTGGTTCTGGCTGGAGAAAGGCAAGCCTTACAACTGCACTGTCTGCTCCCAGCATTTCAAGGTAAGCTCCTTCCCCGAAACTGTGCAATATCGAATCTCAATCTCGCCCGTCAATTTTATTCGCAAAGCTTTTGATACAAAACTGTACTGCAGTTGGAAGTGATTGGCGAGGGAGGCTCGCCCGATGGCGATGGAGATGATCACTAATGCACCGTCGTGCAGTTTCCATAGTGGAATAAATTCAATGAAGAGACAGTAGGGGAGGCAAATTCTCCTCCAGTTTTGTTATGTAGTTAATAAAACAAGGTTTAGTTGGCGATACTACTCGATATCCCTTGCTTTCTTGTATGCAGTTTTCCTACAACGAGACTGCTCAAATGGAAAAATAGTTACTGGAAACAATTTTGTTGTCATATGTGTCTTTTATCAGCAGTGTGTTTTCATTTGTTGTCTCTCCTATGAACTGATGTTCTGGCTTCTCAATTTCCAGCATTCCTCAACCTGTTGTTTGACTGCAAAATCGGCATCTTTTGTCATATTTGTGTCTCTATGTCAATGCTTCAATATTTGAAAAAGGTGGTTGTAGACATGTAGTTGTACCAATGTACCATGGGATTATCGAAACAATAATGGCATCAGAATATTACAGGAAGAAACTAAGTAGCTCACTAGCTCTTTGGTTTTTTGTATGTAACGTTATTCTGGCTGGCTACTGAAAAGTGGCCGTCCAATTGGACTCATGGTCTCCATATTTGTCCAGAAAGAGAGAACAAAACATGATTGTCACTCTTATATTAGTCTAATGTGCTATGTACTATGGGATTATCGTCACTTCTTCGGACGGCTGAGTATTCAGCAACCAGAAGAAAGGTGAGCTCAGCTTCATATTTCATTACCTCTTTTCTCTCGATGCTAATAGTTTAACCTTGTAAGCTAACTAGCATTTGTGAAAACTGCTCGAACCCATTGCAGGTTAAGCTGCAAAAATCTAAAAGATGTCTTCTTCAGCACGGCGCCGCGAGACAATTGCAGAATGTCTCTCCGATCTTCAATCAGACTCCGTTGACTCCCAGCTGAAAGCCCTCCAAACCTTAGCTTCAATCACCAAGGTTAGTCCCAATAACAGAAACTTAATCGCACAAACAGACGGTGCCATTTCCACCCTTCTCACCCTCTCGAAATCCCCAGCTCCCATGATCCAACCTCTCTCATTATCCATCCTCTTCAACCTCTCCCTGAATCCCGATCTAAAGCCGCTTATGACAGAGATGGAAACGATTCACCACCTCAACTCCTTAATCCTCCACACAACCACCTCTCCCGAATCCACCAGGCTAGCTTGCTCCCTCATCTGCAGCTTGGCGATCCTGGACAAGAACAAAGCCAAGTTCGGAGTAGCAGGCACAATCCAGGTACTGGTCAAGTCCATTTCAGGCCCTCGAACCCCAACAACCCACCATCTCCTCAGTTGCTTGGCCGAGCTCGTCCAGTTTCATGGCAACTGCACGTTGGCCGTACGCTCTGGTGCTGTGAATCTCCTGGTGGAAATCGTCGAGAGCAGTGCTGACTACGGTGAAGATCTTGCAGGGATGTCGCTGGGCATCCTCAGCCTGCTTGCTAGGTTCGAAGAAGGGCTGAATGCGTTGATTGGGAGTGATGAAGTGGTGAGATTTCTCGTGGATGTGTTGCAAGGAAGGTGCATGTTGAGCAAGGAAGGTGCGGTGGAGATTCTCGTGCGGGTTTTCGACGAAGATGAGGAGCATCTTAGGGATGCTTCTGAGCTGCCGGAGATGGTGAGCCTGCTGGCTGATTTGTCGGTGAGGGGATCGTCCAAGGCCAGGGAGAAAGCTGGTCTGTTGATGAAGAAGATGATGGAGGCTAACTTTGCCCCCCTCTTGTGATGAATTCTGTTACTACGCAGAGCCATGGGAGGCTGGCTGACAGCGTTGGATTGCCCTGCGCGTGCTATGTGGATCGTTGGATGTGTGATCCGACGTTGTTAGCTAGTGCAGAGGCTTCCCTGTTTTGCCACGATTTGATCATAAGGTTCGATTTTTCTTCTGCCCTTTCTAATGTCGTGTGTTATTTCTGGGAATATGGCGCTTGCCGAAGTGTAAGAAATGAGGACTAATGAGTTTCTATTTCATTGGGGGATGATGGCATCGATCTGTTGACTAACGTGTATGTTTGGTGAATAAATGTTTTGTTGTCCTCTAAGACAATACATAATCAAATAGCGAAATTACAATAAACGTAACCAAGTACTTAAACAGAAACTCACAAACCTCGAAAAGTATAAATGCAATGTCTTTCTTTTCATACGATGAGCAACATTCGTTCTCACAAAAACTCACCTTGTACCCCTTCCCCGATGTCATCTTCGGTAGTGTTTTTATCTTAATAAGTAAAACTCCTCCATTCACTTCCCAAACTTTGCCCGCATAGACTTTATCAGTAAAAACTGAACGTCCTCGAAATAGGACTTCTGATAAGCTCATATTTTAATTTGACACGATGAGATTACATCACGAAAAATCACAAGTTCAATTTTAAAGGCATATATCCATACCAAGAAAACAACGGACACCAGCTGCCACAACCGCACTCAAAGCATCGTACATCACTGCTCCCATAGCCCCATGCGATACCTGAGCTGTGGCTGGATCAAAATAAGCCATCAGGCAAATTCAGAGGATGAACAACAATTGAAATACATGTCAGGCTCTATTGGGCATAAAATTGAAGTTTTCTTTTATGAGCAAGTACTCTTGCACAACACAAGAACAAATCACATGCCTATATTGTTGTGTTCTGTGTGATTTATTCTTCTGTCTTATCAATTTGTTTAGTGGATGAGTACAAACTCAGACAGAGTGATACATGGTACCGCATTTCAGTAATAATCTGATGGACCGATTCAATTTCTCCAGTCACAACTAACAATCATATATGTCTGCACTTCAAGTTTCAATCATGTTTTGTGTTTCTGAGTTTTGACAAACTCAAGAAAGAATCCTTTGGGACAAAGCATTGGGCAGTGCTATACCACCTTTGGACGTTTACTATAGACAGCTATAGCCTTGTTCGAAAATGATTACTACTATGTAGTCCAAGGAAAATGCTTTTGCTCTTCACAAAATATGTGTGCCGGAGAACCAAAACTTTTTGTCTTTGCTATTTTTGTTTATGTGTGGATTGTTGAAGGTAGAATAAATAAGATGTATTGTGTTTTTATTTATGTGGATTGTAGAAGCAATAACAATTATTATGTGTTTGCTGTTTTTATTTGTGTGGATTGTTGAAGCTAGAACAATTACAAGTATTGAGAATTTTTAATGGACAATAGTATGTATGTGCATATATGTGTATAAGTTCATATTTTAGGATTCGTACCCATGGTTACCCGAATATCTGTGGTTACCTGGCGGGTAGTGTATGGTTATATCATTTTCATACACGGTGGTTATTTGGTCAGGTATTTTAGGAGGCTTACCCGACGGGTTAGGAGTTGGTATAGGGTAAACCCGCACCCGGCCCTACCCATTGCCATCCCTACATAGAGTAAAACTAGAAAATAGACGCATTTCGCAAATCAAATGAAAAAATGACACCGTACGACCTCCAATCCGATAACCTTACAGTGGGTCGACCCGACAAGTGTGTAACTCGTTTCTCTCATCGGGTCAGCGTCAGAAACGAGTCGACCTGTGGGTTGACAACCTTGGTTTTGATTTAAATTTAAATAAAATGTATATATGTTTATTGTCGTGTGAGTGTAAACTTAAATTTAAGCAAATAAAACGGGCTAATTGCATGGTTGGTCATTGAGATTACAAATAACGTTCATGTTTGGTCACCGGAAATATTTAAATCCAATCTTGGTCCAATGTTTGGTCACTCAAATTAGTTAAATAGTTCAAGTTTAGTCACTCCCCGTCCAACTCCGTTAATTTTTGCTTATGTGGCAGTCAACTTTTATAGTTGACCGTTAAATGTGTGACATGGCAAGTAAAAAATAATAAAATAAATAAAGTTTAATTTTTCAGAATTTTTATCTCATTTCCAACTTTTTAAAGGGCGGTGCCACAATGATGTTCGAGTGCATCAACGACGCCAAGTGGCTGCCGGACGGGTGTAGAGGGCTTTTGCCGAGCTTCGGTGCGAAAATCATCGACGCGGAAACAGGCTAGGCTCTGCCTCCGTACGTAAGATGGGAACTGTGGGTAAAGAGTCTGGCGGTGATGAAAGGGTACCTGAAGAACGAGGAGGCTACATCGGCGACGATTGATTCCAATGGGTGGCTCCGAATATGGGATTTTTGTTACTTCGACGGTGATCGGGTTCTCTTCGTTATTGACAGGATCTGCCTCAAAGCCTAAGTTCAAGATCCAAATCCTTGATCCCCCATCCTAGTCAACGACGTCCCCATGTTCCCTGGTGGTGGTGGTGGAAGACGAGGGTGGCGGCGTGTATCTTTGGTTTTGCTGGGTAGAATGTCTCAGGCCGCGGCGAGGAGAAGAGGGAATGAGAGGCGGCGGTGGGAAAATTTTGAGGACGGCTAGGGTTTGTTATAAAAATTAAATTTTTTTATTTTCAGATAGTTGGAAATGAGTTGGAAATTGTAAAAGAAAAAAATTAATTTAATTTATTATTTTTAATCACCACGTCAGTCAGTTACGATCAACTTTGAAAGTTGACTGCCACATCAGACAAAATTAACGGAGTTGGACGGAGAGTGACCAAATTTGAAACGTTTCACTAATCTTAGTGACCAGGAATGAAATTAAATATTTTTAGTGACCAAATTTGAACGTTTTTAGTAATTCCAGTGACCAACCTTGCAATTAACCTTTTTTCTTTTTGCAAATAAAACTAGAAAAACTCTAAAAAATTTAGATAAAATGACGAAGCGGTCACCTATGTCAATCCACAGTACTCAATTCCAGATAACGTGTCCGTTTTTCATTAGTGAGTAAGCTCCTTCGCACACGCAGTCACCACAGCTCCAATCCCACGGTTTCTTATTTTTCGCTCAGGTCCGGTCCATCCTCTCCATTCTACATTCTCTTCGATCCGCACCTGTAAAGCGCAAAGATTCCGGTAGCGCTTGAATTGAATCGACGATGACGGAGGCCTTCATCAGGAAGAAGCCCGGCATGGCCAGCGTGAAGGACATGCCGCTGCTTCAGGACGGTCCTCCTCCCGGCGGATTTGCCCCCGTGAGGTATACTCGGAGGATCCCGACGAAAGGTCCCAGCGCCGTCGCTATCTTCCTCACCGCTCTGGGCGCTTTCTCCTACGGCCTCTACGAGGTTGGGAAGGGTAACAAGATCCGCAGGTCAGTTTCCGGCGGCTTGAAAAGGTTTTCAATCTTTGTTCTAAGTTTCGTGTTGCATTCGGGATTTCCCATTTGGGTCTCGCCGAGCGAATTCATTGCCGATCGTGGATAAGATATGAGAGCGTTTTGGAGGCGGATTTTGAGTTTTGATTGATTTCTAGAATTGAAGCTCTTAATCAGCTTAGTATTGGGAGAGATAATCATTTGTCCCCTCTTTTCTTTCTGTTTGGTTCTCAAGTTGTTGATGGGTGGCGATTAGGTTTAACTACAGTTGATTTGTTGATGGTGGCAGTATGATGGAACCTTACGATAGAAACTAAGCTTCATGAAGAAGGCTGGTGTTCCAGATGCTAGATTGTTCCTAAGCATGATGTTAGTGAATCAGAATGAGACCAGACATTGAGCTTTAGGCGAAATACATGGCTTTGTGCGGTATGGTATACCAGATGCTGCATTGTTAGAAGAAGCGAGTTCTTGATGAAGCAGTTTTGCTTCCTTGTCTAACTAGCTTGACCCTGGTTTGGCATGCATCCATTGGAAGGTATAGTGGCGAGAAAGGCAAGGAAAGGTTGTGTTCAGTCCAGATAGATGACAAGGGATGATTGGAAATCTTAGCCCTTTGTGGATGGTTGGTAGAGTTGATATGGTTTTATTTGGATTTTGGAATGATAAACCGAGAACGAAAAGGCAGGCATGTGATTTTGTGGGTTGCTGCTGATTCCTTGATTGTTTACTCCTCTTTAGGCGGTCTGATGCGGAATTGGTAGGTGCTGATTTCATTCAGATAGACAGAAATTAGAGAATCGTGGAGAGAAACATTTCATATATATATATATGCATTTTTGTTAGTGACATGGAACCATTCATCATTTGCCTGCTAATTTGCACTCTTATGCCCTATTTGTTGTTGGTATATATGGTCATTATTTGATTTGCGCTGTATGCTTAAACTAAGTGGTGTGATGACGAGGTTTTGCCTTTTCTTTTATATTGGGGAAGTGCACGATCTCTGAATTGCAAGGGTCTTAATTTCCATCTGCAGGGCACTCAAAGATGAGAAATACACCGCTCGGATGGCCATTCTTCCTCTCCTGCAAGCAGAAGAAGATGAAAGGTAATGTGCCTGTCTCTGCCGTTAGTCATGCTTGAGCCTGCTGGGGTGAGAAAACACTGAAGTATTTTTCCTGGGTCACATTTCCTTTTCAGATTTTCCAAGGAATGGAGGAAGTATCTAGACTATGAGGCTGAAGTAATGAAAGATGTGCCTGGTTGGAAAGTTGGTGAAAGTGTCTACAACTCTGGAAGATGGATGCCACCTGCTAGCGGTGAACTCCGCCCAGATGTTTGGTGATACTTCCTCTCAAATCCTCTTCTGGTTCAACCCCGTTTGTCCTGCAGAGTTGTGTCTCTAATGATGCTAGTTGCTTTTGTCGCTTGATCTTTGTTCCTTTCTTGTGAAATAAAGTTCCTAGAAGAGGAAACTTTCTGACGATGATGAAAATACAACCAATGTGATAGTTGTTCTGCCTACATGATTTCCTCCAAAACATTCACAATGGGAATGGATCTTCAAGTTTTGGGGAGTCTGAGTTGAGCCGATGCTGCTGCGTTAGGAGGGGCAGCACGTCCATTTTCACATTGCTGTTATAATGTTATTACTTCAGTTACCTTCTTGCTTCATCCATAAGTTGAACGGTTCATTTGATGTTTGGCTTCTTCCTAGTACAATTTCAGTGGTTAGTTCACTAGTACTATTCTATTCGTATCATTGTGTCTTCCTCCAGCTAGTGTTTATTGAAGATCCGAATCCGGTTGGCTCTTCATGGTTTTGTACCCTATCCAACTGGTTTCCATAGGAGATTATGCCCGGCTCTTGGATCGTTGTCCGTACGTATGAACTATTAAGGCCAGAATTCAACGGCGGCTGGCTGGAGCGATGAGGATGTTATTGTTTAGTCCACTCCCCCCAACATTTTTGGAAGAGTTCATATTTCTAATCATATACTTTGGTTACAAATTGAACGGAGAAGAATTGTGTAACAAGAAATAACTTGATAAGAATATTTTTGCAATAATTAATCTGGAGAATTGTATAACAACAAACAAGTATCAGTGGAAGATTATATGCAACCTATGGAGCATATTAGTAGGGAGCTACGGAGCAGTACGCCAAGATGAGCCGAATGGATGAGCCACAACACGAAACATCTACCTCATCCTCGCCTCTCAGGTCAAAAGACGAGAGCCAGTCGAGCCAAAAACAAGCGATGAACTGATTGTAAAATGATGGTTGCTTCTGAGTTGATGACAGATCATTTGATTGGCCTGCAGCCACCACTCTTTGGCATAAGCTGTGCTGGTGCTTTGAACCAGGAAACTAAAGAGGCAAACTTGGATACCAATCCTGTCTAGCTTCTTTCTTACACATGAAGCAACAAAAATACCTAATACAACCTACATCATCTTTCCACAGCACTAGATTTCCCATTATCACATCACATGTATCTAAGAATATGCACAGATATTACGTATTCTACATGCTGCTAGGTTCATCGTCCGGTAGTAGATAGAGCAACAACCTAAGCTAAGCAGGAGTAGTATACACACAAAGAGGAAGGTTGGGGTATTTAACATTACTAGCAAGATCAGACGGGTCGTCCTGTTCTCCTGTTCCGCCTTCTCTATAGCCATCAGCGATGCTGGAGTAGCTGAAGATGTCATTTGACATTTCCCAGCCCCAATCCTGCTTCCTGTGAACATCCAACTGCAGCCACCTGTTAATCCTGACGTAATGCTCCCTTATCTGCCCATTCCCAAGCAAACTGGTCACGACCGTGTAACAGCACTCGTGACCGCCCCACACCTGATCGTCAGGATCTGCAGTTTGGCTTCCATCGGGATGGAAGTATCGGTGCATCAGGGGTTTCTTGCCTTGCCAATAAGGGTCAAGGTTTCGCCAATACTCTGGAGCTGCCTGTGCAAGACGCATTGACATCAGTAAAAGAGCTTTCAGCTGGGCAGACGACACATAAGTTAACTGCCGACAGACTCATTCGCTTGGGGGACATACTAACCTTGGTAAAATGGAACTCCCAAGCATGATCACAGAGATCAGCCCTCCCAATACGATCCTGAAACAAGAGAAATAAGATGAACCCATCATTGTCGGTAATCATGCTCGCAAGGGGCAGCGAACTTAATTCTCAATGATGGAGGACGAAATCGATTACTCACCCGCTTGCCATCCGTAACGGATAAGGAGTAGACAGCCAACTTCGACAGTCCCTGGGTATGCAATAGTCGCGGTAAATGTGCTTTGCCTAACAATAGCTCCTCACACTATCAAAGCAACGCAGAAAGCCAATTAACTACTCCATACATCAAATGTTCATAATCCACAGACCTCAATAACGAAATCATTGGCAACATAAGTCTCCAACAGCAAATGGTACAGTACTAGGTTTTCCCTGAATGAGGCGGTAATAATTTTACAGTAAAACAAGTTGTGCTATCCGAATTATATCATGTCAGTAAACAAATGGGTTTCAGGTTCAGCCTGATTGAAGTGCAAGAAAAAGCTTCAAAACCTGGGGTAACTTTTCTAATCAGTAAATTAGGCTAAAATCACAGAAATTCTAAACCCTGATTCGCGGATTACAGCATAAAGAGGCAGACATGCAAAACGAAGAATTAGGGTATGGAACAGACACAATTCACAAGGATTAGTGCCTAATTACGGAGTGATTGGGCAAAACCTCCAGAAATGAGGGAAATGGAAAGGGGAAACGGAGCAGAAGGAAAACCTTGGAGCCCCAGAGGTGGTCAGCGGAAGCGATGGAATTCCAGCCGTGAGAAACGAGCAAAGAGAGTGCCACGCTGCGTGCGTCGAGGCTGCCCAGAATCTTCATCATCAAATCAAACCCCAGCACCTCCAATGGGTTCTGTAATCCCAGAGCCGAACAACAAGAAGAAGGAAAGGATGGGAAAATGGAGAAAGATCCTTCATCTTCTTCTTCTTTGTTTACTACCGATTCCTTAACGATCCATCTATTCCACTCCTTCATCCTCCTACTCTTCCCGCGCTTTCTTCGTCCCTCCTCCTCCGCAGCAGCAGCCAGAGCCACCACTTCCATGTCGCAATGCGGTGGTGGAGATTGCTTCTACAGGAAGTCTTTCATGCATCAACACCCAGTGGGACTCGTCTGATTTATACCACGGAATTCAAGAACTGATTCCTTTCTTTGTTTTTTTTAACCTTTTTTTACCTCTGGCTGAGGGAAAGAGGAGCTGTCGGTCAGCAGCCGGGGATTTTAGAGATAATTAAGAGCTTAACAAGAGAAAATGAAAAGAAGAAAGGGAAAAGGCCAAAAGACAAAAAACAAATTATTACAGAAAAAAACGAGTAAGTGGCCGTTATTGGGAATGAGGATATTATTTTTTTATATATCTTTTTGTCGTGTAGTAGTGGTAAGTAGATATGGGTTTTGGCGGGTACGTGGGGCGGGGCCCATTAGGTGGGCTGAACTCAATACTAGAACCCACGAATGGCTTTTTGTTTGTTTGGGGTAGGGATGGCAACAAAATTCGAACCCACGGGTACCCACCCGATCCAACTCGGTCAACGCGAGTAAAATTCGTGTTGACGGTTTTTGGGCTGGGTTCGGGTTTAAACCCGCTACACTATTCACCGGGTCGGGTTGGGTTTGGGTTTAGGTAAATCCGCCTCATGGGTATCCGCCCACACACATATAATTACTTTCCCGGTATATTTAATATTCTAAATAATATATCTTCTTTAAACAATTAACATTCTTTATGTTTGTGGAGACATATATAATTTGTTGTTTCTAATTGTTTAGAATGAAGTTGATATTATGAAGTGGAAAGTGAAGAAACTTAGTTGACGAGTAAGAAGCTTTCAATTAATCTTATTGTTTATAGATGTTTATCTTTAATTTTGAACAATTTGTATTGATCATTTGCGGTTTGCTTGTATGCTCTAGATTGGTTTTTTTTGTATGAATAATTTGTATGAGAAAATTAATGTTAAACTTTTATTTTGAAAGAAACTTGTTATTGTAAATTTTTTACCACAAAAACCCACGGGTACCCACGAACCCGCGGATACCCAGCGGGTTGGATTGGGTTTGATTTTTTCAAACCCAGCGAATTTTATCCCGGGTTTTTTTGGCGGATAAACCCATGGGTTTGGGTTTGACAAAACCCGCCCCAACCCGACCCATTGCCATCCCTATTTGGGGGTGATGTCCACGTCACTCTTTCGTCTGGCGTGGCGGCTGCCACCGGGCTTTTGTGATTATTGGGCTGGATTAACTAGTAGGCTGGCTTGTCCAACCTTGTGCAGTAAAAGGAAAATCAATTGTTTATCAATATTGTCATTGGGCCAAATCGAAATGGGTTTCTAGCCCACACCTCAAGCCCGTTTTGTATGATCTTGACCATTCCGCATTTCCGCTCCCATTGAATAAAAAGGTGGCAAATTAGAAACGCAAGGGGGGAAAATTAGAATTTATGACAATTTGTCTGGACTTTGATAGGGCTTACTACATGACATCTGATGACAAGTGTGCCAATTGAACATATAACAGTGAGATATACAAGGTTAGTAGTACTAAACGTGGAGTTACGATCTAATCAATAAAGAATGATTTTGAGTACTAGTAGATAAAAAATTATGTACATACTTAATTCGGTTTTAAGGATGTAAGGAAAGATAGCATGATAAAACTTTTTAAAAAAATTATCGATGTTGTGATTGAGGATGGCAAATATGACTATTAAGGGGAAAGTTAACATGTATCTAATAGTAAAATAGTGAATAGAAAGCGAGAAATAGCTATTAACGGTATCCTTATAATAACTTTTTTAAATTGAAAAGTTGTAAGTAATTTTTTTTAAGATGGACTTTAGATTTAACTAATTTGCATGTTTTTATAGTAAATACTAGTTTCTAGTGAAAGTTGAGGGAAGTATAAAAGTGTGTTTGCTTTTACTAAAATTTAAATTTAAGAAAATATTTTAAAAGAAAGGGAGAAGCAAACGCAAACATGATAATTTACATAAGGTCTTAGGTCATATATTTGTTTGGATATTATAGAAAAATGACTGCTTTGATTTGGCACTAATAGTCTATTGATCATAAACCTCATCATCATGCATGACACATAAAAGCTCCATGCATGAAATTAGCATTTGTGAAATCATACCGAATTGATGATTCCACTGTAAAAATATTCTACAGATAAACGACTTTTAGCGAATGAATCACTATTGAATCATGGTTTCAGTACAACAAATCCTACTATACCTTTTCCAATACAACCCCAATTCGCTTTCGGAAGAAACTAATAAATTCCAAAACTCAAAATATTAAACCACCTTTTTTGACCTAACTAGAACAGACAAATATGAAATTTCTTCCTCGTTTCACTATTCAGCAGCACTAGTGTTCAAGCTAGTTCAACAAAATGCCACTTATATCCTATTTTTTTCAATATTCTATTTTTATCCTATCAAGGACAGTTAAAGATAACGGTTGATCTGACAGTCCTCATAAGGACATTGACCAATAGTGATGTGGGCAGACAAGCGGTGGACACATAGATGCCACGTCAGCATACATATCATAATTTTAATTAAAAAAATAATCAATATTTATAATAATAATCCCAAAATTAAAAGAACAAAATAAATTTCCACCGGCAACGACGTTCCATAATAAGTAGCGGTAGTGTTTTAGGCCCGACGAAGGCGGGGAGAACAACGGACGATGGGAGAAGAGGAGCGTCAATGGATCTGGGTTCGCAAGAAGGGAGGTCGCCCATCTGAGTTCCTCAAGTCGACGACGCCACGATGTCTGTGTTGAATGACGAAGATCTCCGTCGCTGGCATCTTCGTCTGCAAACCCTGCTCCGTCGTGGGGTATTAACAAATCTTGTAATGGTATTAGCCCTAAAGTTTTAACAAATCTTGTAAAGTTTTTTAATTACATTCTTGGGAAGGAGGAACATTTGCATCTAGTATTGAATGAACCCAACGAATACTGAAGAAGTCAAATGAAGTCTCCCTCCATAAGGCAATTTCTTTGCTCTTCAAGTTTTCATTTTCTTTGTAAGTCTATCAATCAAATAATCCTTCCTTATTTGATAGGTTACTAGACAGAAGAGGAAGTCACAAGTACTTTACTGGAAGGGTACACTCTTGAAACCCAGTAAGTTGCAATGCATTAGCTTTATATTTCACTAATCCACCCTCAAAATAGACTTCACATTTTGTAGGATCACATATCAACCAAGAAAGTAGATAGAATTTATCAAGCACTTGTTCAACCTACATTATAGCATGCCCTTATCCTACAGTAAATATCATCAAATCATCTTCAAAACTCAAGTAATTGAGATTTTCCTTCGTACACAATGGATGAAATGGGAAAGTGCCATTCAAAGCATCCTGCCTCATCATACCTAAGAACCCTTCCATGGTTATGGTGAATAAGTAGGGTCATAGAGGATCATCCTGCCTAATCCCCTTTTTAGATCTAAAAAATTCACATAGGGTCCATTGATATTAATGTTAAAATGGTCAGTCTGTATACAGACTCGAATCCAATTTAAAAACTTATCATGAAACTTCATCAACCTCATCATAAGAAACATGTAATTCCAATTAACTGAATCAAACGCTTTCATGATTACTTTATTATCCACCACTGGATCACTCAACGACTTACTCCCTTGCTCCTTCTGAGACCCAATCACAGACTTACCCTTCAGCACCCAAACTATACCATCATTCTTTACACACCCACATTCAACTCCAAATAATTTGCAGCCCTGGCAAACTTGAGGCATGAGACAGTATTCCACAACCACCTTCAGCTGACCCTACTCATCTTGCCAAATTGTAACATGATCAGGGAAATCTCTGAAAGATTGCAATTCCACCAGAATCGTTGCATGGCCAAATCTACCACCCACTCTTGTAGAATGATCCATTCCCAAAGGAACTCTTATCATATCTAACTCCCAATTCAACTTACACACTGAAAACAATCGGACTTCCATTTTCTTCCCAGACGTGAAATGGAGGCAAAGCCAGGATGAGCTTAAAAAGAAAAAGGAACAAAAGGGAGGGGGAGATGGCGACATGTGATAAATTTTTTGAGCAGAGAGAGTGAAAACGAAGCTAGCGAAGCTTAGAGTTAGATTATGTAGGTGATTTTAGGTTTCCACAATTACATTGATAAATTACTATATACCACCAAATAACAATTGCAATTCTGTCATAAAAAAATTTAAAATTAGTACAAACACACACATATTTTAAAAAACATGTACAAAATAGGCTAACATAGATTGACCCCCTACCAAAGGTAAGATAACCTAACAGTAAGCTGTCACGACAGTGAAGGTTTGGGAGTTGCAAATCCCAGGTTCGAATGCAAGCTAGACCCGTTGGTGTTCTCAAAGGTATAGGACTGCTAGGGGCGAAGCCCCATTGGCGTCGAATTGAATGCAGGTGACCCCAAATTTAGTAGGACCCGCTGTCACAAAGCGGCACGTGGGGCTGAGGTTCCTTGGTAATAAAAAAAAACATAGGTTGACCCCTGATTTTAACATTGACCCACGACCAATTTATCGGGCCGGGTCAATGGTCCAAACCGGGTTAACTACCTTGGTGGACTGGTGACCAACTTACGTCGTTTGTTAGCTGAGCGGCGAGCGGCAGCCAGCACGACAACGTTCATCTGGGAAACGACCCTACCCCTGGTCCCCTGCGGCCTCCACCTTTCCATCTATGTCGGCAGACTCTCCACCAAATTTTGAACTTCCACGGGAAACAAAGAACACAACGCATTAGATCCAACACCCGAGCCGTAGGAGGAAGGAATGAAATAGATAAATAACAATACGCCATTTCCTTCTTCCAAATCTCTCATTTCCTTCCCCCGCGATCTGACCGGGGGCCATCTCCTCTATCCCGCTTGTCCTTGGATTCCAGGGTTTCCTTGATCCCCACTTTCAACCTGATTTCAACGTCCCAATCAGGATTCCGTTCTATTCGTTTCTGTAAAAAACAATCGTCACTCCATCCACATTCTTATTTTCGTCATCTTATTCTCTTACCTTCTTGCGGCGATTTGGGTTCTATTCCTTTCACGATGATTCGCGGGAAGTAATTGCTCGTTTTTGTTTGGTTGGATTGTGCTGGCTGACGCCTTGATTGTATGCGATTTGAGGGGGAGTGATTTCTGTGAATTTTGCGGAATGGGCGGGATAAGATAGATAGATAGTGTGTTCTTTATGGCGTCGGTTTAGGTGCTGCATAAACAAGAGTACCTCGAAGCTGAAAAAGGCGGGTATGTGCATGCATTTGTTCTCTAGTTCATTGATTTGGATTTTGGACGCGATCCCGGTGCCATTCCTTCGTTGAATTTAGCTTTTTGTTTGTTTGTGATATGGATGATTCCTTGGAATTACTGCTTCTGATCTTCTTTCTTCTGTTCTTGATTGTTCTCCATTTTTGAATTTTGTAAATTCAGCCTTGTGGTATTTGATCGAGGCTCAATTGCCTTGCAGAAACGCACTGGCCGTTTTGACACTTGTAGTCGGCAATGCGTTTTAGTCCGTCTGTTTTGGGGCATTTCTGAATATGTGCCCTTAGGTTGTGAAGCGGATTAAGATGTAGGATTCTCTCGTATTCTGGACGTTTACAACATTAACGTAGTTGTACTAAGGGTAAAATGCACCTTCCAAACCGCAAGACTATCCCTTCTACATCGAGGAATCTTTATATGGGTACTTCATTTCAAGGAATGGAGCAAACTGAAAGTTGGTTTCGTTTTCGATATATCGACATTTGGCCTGGTAGTCTTGAATTTGATCTTCATTCCATTATGCATATTTTTAGTTCTAAGATTATTGACCAGATTTAATTGGATGACAGCAGTAGACAAAAATTGGCCGTTGAATCTCTTTTGGTAATCTTACTAGCATTAGGGTCCTTAATATGTTTTTACCTACCCATCTTACAGTATCTTCCATGGGTTCATGAAACTTGGATGGTTTTACTTTTTGTTGTAGCTGGAAGAGTTCCGGAAGAAGAAAGCAGCAGATTGAGCCAAGAAAGCTGGAGCTCCTGCACAATCTCAAGCTTCTGATGTTAACATAGAGGAGAAAGACCTTTGGAGGAAAAAACCTCTGGAGACTGAACAAGTAATGGTTACAGATTCAGATGGAGCTGGTACCTCCAGTGCAGCAGGTGCAAATTTTGAAACATCCAGTCAAAGAAGCAAGGGAGATCATCTTGCCACCAAAGTTGAACACAGTGCTTCCAAAGTTGTGAATGCTAAGCATATGCTTTAAACGATTTTACTACAGTATTTTTAGATATAGGTCAGAGAAACACTGAGAATAATGATCTGACTAGATCTGATGCCCCAAGCGTAGGGAGGGACGATGTTAACAAGTATGGTCTGACAAATTCGATACGCGATTCTAGCACCCATGCTTCTGGCCGAGGGGTACTACCAGATGGGATTCTTGCTGGCCAGTCTAAGAATCCACAGGCTGCCCAGGGTTTTGATAGTAGTTTCTCCCGTTACAAACATTCCGGGACAGATGTGTTCCAATAAGAAGAATATAAAAGTTATTCATGGGATTTTATAGTTACAAATCCTGGTTCTCAAACATCTTCTCTTAACCAAAGTTATATCTTCTCGAAATCAGAAGCTAAGCCTAGTACTGTCTTCTTCAGCAAACTTTGATGTTGCTTGCAATTTATTTGACACATATTCCTAGATTATCCGAATCTTCTTTTACTCAAAGTCCATGTTTTTTCTTGTATGTCTTGGTTTTTACAATTGATAGCTCAACCTAATACCAACTTGAACGTAGGAGGTTCAGGTAACGGAGTTGAGAAAGATGTGCGTGGAACATTGCAGACTAGCGATTCCACAATTTCAGAATTTGGGAAGCGTGATTTTAAAAGTTTGGCTAGCTGGTTTCCTGGAGTACATGGTGATTCTACTCAATTGTCTGAATCCACATCTAATTTAGGTGTCAAGAATTTCTCAAATCATGCATCACTATATGAAACTAATTCCAGGAGGTCTCGTCCATCTTTCCTAGATTCTATTAATGTGGCAAGGCCTACTCTGGCATCTCCATTCTCACAAAGCAAACCATATGAATCTTTCATGTCTGTTGCTACCAATTCAAATGGTACAGATGTTCAAGGGCCATCCACACTTACTAAGCCATTTGTGGAGAATGAAACATGACCTTTCTCAAACTCCAAGCCATCCAGTGCAACGAATGTGTATGAATATTCATGGAAGTCTTCAATATCCTCCTCCAATGTGATTGATGTACCAAGATCATATACCAATGACAATAACATAGGGGGAAAGCATGAGTTTTATGCCCCTCAACGAAATGAAGATTTTTTAGCATTGGAACAGGTGTGCACACATACTTAAATATGATTGAAATGACATCTTGCTTTATATATCATTATTCCTCACTTTTGAAATAGGTGTGTGTACTTCAAATTACTTCTTTCTAAATAGAAAAGAACACAACTCTGGCCATCGTCTTGATAGCATTTTAGATTTCAGTTACTTCGTTTCGTCTTTGTAATTCCTGATATACTAAGAACATATTGACTGGCCTTTCCATAGCAAGTTTGACCTAGCTATTGTTTAACTTATCCCGACTTTAGGCATTATGAACGAATTGAACAAATGACTACGGTGGCAATGTGCGAATGTGATCATGTGAACTTGCCTTTCCAGTTTTATGTTTGCTTTGGTTCTTCACTATCAACATCCTCAATTATTGAATCTTTTCCAGTTTTCTCTCGACATACAGAGCCTTTTAACACTATATGATAAAGTACTCTGTAATACTTTTAGTTCTCAAGAAAATAGAACTAAAATTGAAGGTTCCTTTGGAATGACCAAAACTAATCTTTTGTATTATTCTGGCCTAGACGTCTGATCCAATTAGATAAAGAATTTGCTGAACTTTTGTTTCTAAGGAGAAAGTATAGAGTTGAACATTCCTTTGTTATGGCTACTAATCTTTTGTATACTTCATTAACTTGTCCGTTGGTGTTACTGCTTTGACGAAAGCTGCTTTGAGTGGCCTTATGTTAACAATCATTCTTGTTGCATGTGTTGTTATCTAACACATAGAAGATTTGACCCAAGAGAAATTTTCACTACAACGAGCTCTGGAAGCTTCAAGTGCATTAGCAGAGTCATTGGCTGCCGAAAATACGTCGTTGACGGATACCTATAATCAACAGGGTGGTTTAACAAAGTAGATAGTTTTTGTGTGAAATTATGTTATATTTTCTCTCTGCAGTTGACCTTGTTATGATTATAAAAATACATGATAAAATCTACTGTGATTTTGAACTTACTAACTGACTACGTTTCTTTTGTTTCTGGAATCTGAGTGACTATCTTTGTGATGTAAACATTTGGTTTTCTTGTAGTTAAGTGACTGGGTGTAAGACACCCTTAGGGTGATGAATCCTGTATTGGGGGCGCTTAATTGGAGTCATTAGGACTAAATTTGAATTGGTGGCAAATATTGTATTGATTTAGAGAAACTCGAACAACCTTCATCTGCAACTTTTTGAAACAATAGGTGCAAGTAGACTACAGATGGATAATTCTGTTTGATATATGTATATTTCCTTATTGTTATGGCCATAATCATCTCTTGGTTTGTTGAACTTGTTCTGCATCAGAGAGGCACTGCCAACCAACTAAAATCAGAGATGGAGAAGTTACAAGGAGAAATCAGGGCCCATTTGGTCAGTAATTTGATCTTTTAACTTTTTCTATGATGTGAATGCCCTTTTAGACGTCTTTTGTGCATAGGGATACTTGCTGCATTACTTTGCTATTTAGTGTGTAGAGCAACGGAGATAAGTTGCTTACTCATCTTTTTACTCTTTTGATCTTCAAGAGTGTTGGATTCTAATTGTTCACGGGCAATGATAGTGTCAATATACCTAAGAGTTTCTTTGAGAAAAGGAATTACTCACTGTTTCTATCTCATTAAGCCGGGTGAATATGCAGTTTGTTATTTGTGTGGTTCGATTTAGGCTTTCCAACTTGTTACTCGGGCCACAGCTCTGAATCTCTCAAAATTCCATTTATTGGGTGGTTATTTACCATTGTAATTATATATGATTGAGTCTGGCAGGTGGAACTTGAGTCTGTTAAAGTTGAGTATACAAATGCACAGCTTGAGTGCAATGGTGCTGATGAACGAGCTAAACTATTGGCTTCGAAAGTGATAGGTTTGGAAAAAAAGGTATTGACTTGATTTTCTCTTCTGCATCGAAAGGCTTGTCCATTGATACTCCCCTCCCCCCTCCGTCTTTCATTATCAACAAGGTCCATTGCTCATAGGTTTAGACGAATAAATGCATATGGAATTAGATCCCATTTATATAGAATGTTGGTTTTACTTTTGTGTTCCTATTTTAAAATGGTAAATAATTTCCACCTGTAGTTTCCATTCTTAGTCTGAAGGACGTCGTTTATTGTGTTGGTCCATCTACTTGAATCCTGTGTAACCGATACTCTGACCCTTTCCAGTTACGAAAGTGACTCAGATATTTATGACGGAAGTCTTGAATTGCGGCTTGCCATGAGTTACTTTGTATGAACCTCTACCAGCTTGGTATGTGCATAATATGTTGGAGCGGTCGAGAACAGAACAAGATAGGTTTATCTATGATCAATGAGCTCATTAGACCTCTGGGAGTGAGCATTTGTTGCTTATTTATGAAATTCTTCACCTTAAAGATATTTTATTTGCTAGTGGTGAACTCAAACGAAGACTGTAGTTAAATCTAATTGTTATTTTCATTCTGTCTAACCAACGTAATGGAACCGTTGTCATTGCAGGCACTCATACTGAGGTCTAATGAGCTTAAGCTGGAGATGAAACTTGAAAACTCACATGCTGAGATTGCTTCTAGCAATTATGATTTTATTTTATTTGATTGCAGATGAGATGTATGTGGCGTCTTTATCACACCTTGGTTCTTCATCTCACTATTTTTTCTTTTCTATTTTCAAGCATGCTGTTCATACACTGTTGATCCATCAAGTGTAGTCAATCTAGATGCATGCTCACATTGCGAATTCGTATCTATATAATGTGAAGGGCCTTTGAGATCATGAAAACATTTAGTTAGGAAGAAATTACACGTGAATGTATATGCATTAGTGAACGAAAATGTTTTGACTTGCACTATATGTCCTCTCATGATGGTGTACTTAGTTACTTTTAGAAATGGCCTTTGTTTGCCCGGCTAAAATTTGCATTCAGATAATTGCGTCTTAACATGTTTTTAATGGATTGTTGTGTCATAAGTTTGCTTTCACGTCAAGGTGTTGTCATATTTCGTCATGTGGAAAGTGTTTGACAATCTTGCAGAAAAAAATCTCCAACCTTGAGAGAGAACGCCTAGATCTACATTCAACTATTGATGCTCTTCAGGAAGGTATTCCCTCACTATATTAGTCCCTTATTTAATTGAAATGACAATTTTCTCTGCAATTGCTCATTTCAAATTCCAGAAGTCTTTCCAGATGCTTCGGATCAGGAATCCTTTGATGCGGCATCACTTCCCGGAAGTAATGTCCCTATTTCTTTTGTTTCGCCTGAAATTGGACAGCCAAACGATGGGGTTTCATCTCCATCCATTCCTGCCGATCAGTTAAGAACGATCCAAAATATTAATGAAATAATGTCTGAGGTATGGCATTCGCTTAAACTTTACTTTGTCTCAATGTCTCTGTTTCTTTCACTTATGTAGAAACCATATCTAAGGCTAACAATAAACTCTGCTGTGGTGCAGTTAGCATTTGAGAAAGAAGAATTGATGAAAGCTTTAGCATCCGAGTCATCTAAATGTTCGAAGTTGAAGGTAAATTTTGACTTGATTAGGTTTTCTTATGTCATGACTTATTATGACAGAGCTTTGAGGAGAATTTTCAATTTTGACTTGGTATGAGAATTCGATGGCAATTACTAAGCGAAAAGCTATTGTGGCGAAGATATAGTTTCTTTCAGTTAGGGAGTTAGTGTGCACTTGTTAGCATCTAATTGATACATGACATGAGCTGAAATTTTCAACAGAAGGAAATTGTAGAAATGTAAGTGAAAAAAATATTACAAATAATAGAGCAGTTGTGAAATGATTTGGGGATCCCACAACTGGTAAGGGTACATAAAATTATTGAAATATTTTAGTTGTGTGAAATTGACAACTCCCATAACCTGAGTTTTGAGGAAGAGAAAGGGGTAAAATTATATATGTTGAAAGATAAAGCAAAATAATGTCAGTTTAAGTTCAAATTAGATTCTGAAAAGTAGAAATTAGACGCTGGAAAGATGTTAATTAAGAAGGTGGTTATTTGTCCAACTTATTGAATCAATACTAAAATCATCTTTCTCTAATTGATATGTTTGAACACCGCACAGGTCATAAGAATGTCGGTCTTTATTATTTTCTGAATGCTGGTTTGAGATCATTGATTGTGCTTTACATAATGTATTTCTTTTCTTGCCTTGGAATAATGAAGGATTTGAACAAGGATCTTTCACGTAAACTTGAGACTCAAACTCAAAGATTGGAGCTCTTGGCTGCTCAAAGCATGGCCACCGAGAACATCACATCTAGATTACCCGAGTCCCGTAGCATGCAAGAGAATCTTGCATACGCTGACGAAGGAGACGAGTTATGTTCTCGATAATAATCTCTACTATCTTGTTACATGGCAAGAAAAGGTTTATACTTCCGCCTCAGCTTGCTGTTTGACTTGCTTGATCGACCATTTTTTACCATCTCCAGGTTGTTGAAAGAGTATTGGGGTGGATTATGAAGCTCTTCCCTGGAGGGCCATCGAAAAGGAGAACCAACAAGTTGCTTTGACGACAATCGACTGACAATGGATATTGCTGTATCTGACTGTTGTTTCCATTCTTAGACACCCTAAGCCTTTTAATCGTAGCACCACAGAGATCATAATTTGTATATTGTCAAGAGTCGATGTTATACCTCGTCAATTCTTTTGTAAGTGATGAGAAAATGAGGTTTCCACAATTTTTTGATAGAGAGATGGATATGTCAAATGAGTCAAGGCTCCGTGTTGTCCTGTGTCAAGTGTATTGCACATTGGTGAACAACCCATGCAACTGGGACATTGGTTGGTTAGCGACAAAATATGAGTTTATATGGGATTTGACACTAATAACAGTTGCACCATCTATAGTCTATACTTGCTGGTTGTATTCGCAATCTTCTTTTTGATAGATCGAATAAACGAAGTCATACAAAATGTAATATACAATGACAGGATTGAACACAAACTAAACGTGTTTGGAGATCTAGAGAGTGACCCCTATATTGCTAGTCTAGTTGCAGCTCGACTTTCTTATGTTGTGCAGCTTCATCGTTCATCTTTCCCGATGGGCTTTTTTGCCGTCTTCTTAAGTGGACATCTGCTCCTTATGAAGCTGTAAGCCCAACCCAAAGTAACGGCAATCTGGAAACCGGGAGGCGAGAAACGACTCACGATAAGGACGAGAACTACTCACTCCAGCCAGTACCTGAATTCAACTTTACCGGTGGGCCTCCGTTTCTCTATGCTCCGGCGGCCATGGCTGTTCTGACAATCTCTTCCCTATTTTCTACCTCTTCCACCACTCGCCGTCAGGTACTCGAGCTGCAACAATGGCAACAAACTGTTCCAGTTGGCGGTTGCGGCAACGATGGTTACTTCCGTATCAGAGCCATGTCTAATGACAAGAATACCATGTGCTTAACAAATGGGGTCACCGGGAATCGAACACAAGACCTCTCGGTCACAAAAGGCTCTGATACAATGTCAAAAACCAGTTGATCCCAATAACTCGAGTTGTTGGGAGAGGTTCAATAGTGGATCATATACCACAACACTAACAACGTGGACAAAACTTTTAATGGACAGAGTTGGTTTCGTTAAAGAGAAGATGCTGTGCGCAGTGAGCCCATGAACTCTCGCGGAGAGACGTGTATGCTCATCTGTTCAACTCTCTAACTTGCTAACGTTTCTTACTAAATTGACGAGTGATGATAAAAGTACTGAAGGCATGGGTATATATATGATGCTGCAGATCGTCTGCAGTGAGTGACTATTTATCTTGTGTTTTATTAAGTTCTTTTTTCTTACTAGTTTGTGTTATAAGTTACAAGTTATATGCCATCTGGACCTTTTTGTTCCTACAACAAATCTTAGGGCTGCATGCAAGAGACAATTCTTTACCGGTCTAGGTTAAATCAACTTCCTTTCTTCTCTGGTTTAGGGGTCCAGTGGGAAGTTCGGTTGAAGTGACGATTCACAGTGGTACTGGAGTAAAGCATCTGGATTTGATGCGAGTGTGCTGATGTACCTTTGAGCATAATTCGAGCAGTTATGCTCCTTTACCGGGCATGTGGTTCGGTAGCTTATAAGCTGACCAGCTGTCTAATGCTTAACAGACGAGAGAAGGTGTCTCTAAATCCAGTCAAGACTAGGATTTGTGAAATTCCAAGATCTGGGAAAGAAAGGCACATCCAAGGCAAGATTGGGTACATCAAAACTGAGTTCATTCAGCCAAAATTCTGCAGGTTTGTAGTAAAATATTCAGCCTCGAAAGTATGTTTCAGATATGGTAGGATGGTTTTGACGACAGCTATTGGAATTGAGAACATTATTCATCCAGAAACTCTCAAGTCAAAACTCGTTTGCGTACCTGTTTTGATTTATGAGAAGTGCTCGCCTTTGTTCTTGAGGAAGTAAGCTAGAGATTTTGAAACTTGGTACGTTCTCAGTGCTGTAGCTGTGGTGGGTTAAATCTCACCAAGTTGAGCTATCTTTGGTATAATGGGCACGCTATGCAAATAAGCTGTTAACCCTCCCTGCAGCCAACTTTCTGATGGCTCGGGGTTGGTTGTGACTATTGCTCGTGATGAAACACCTTCTCACATCGACATTGTTAAGGTTGGTTGGATCATTTCTGACTCCTCTTCTCTCTGTAGGTCGGAGCGATGCCGGATCATCCTCTCCCCAACTCATTTCCAGCCGACAGTGACGAGGGTCTCTCTGCATTTGCCTCCAAGACCCTGCATCTTGCAACTCTCTGTGTTTCCACACCCGCATTGTAGTGTATATGCTCTGGAGATACATTTACATTCTCTGTCTTGGTCGGCTGGCTGCAAGTTGTTTGGTTTTAACATATGGGGCAAGCAATAATGAGAATGACTCCGCAGTCTATTGTTGTATTGCCAAAAACAATCCATGTTTTGTGTAACAAAATCAATCAATGATTTGCCAAGTATTGATCAAAATGGCCTAAACTAACTAGAACATTTTCGTCCAGGAAGCCAGGAACGGGAAAACTGCAATCAACAATCGCAGGAGCAGCGGTGGCCCACTGCTCTCCCTCAATCCACCCCAAGCCACCTTGCCATTGACTGTGGTACCTCTCCTCCTTGGCCGCAGCTGTGGCTGTCGTCTTCCATTTTCAGACACAGGTTGGGGCTCTGGCTGTGGCTGACTTCCCTTTGCCGGCTCACGTTCTTGCTTCTGCTGCACGGATCTGAATCCCTCGAGCTCTTCCCATCCACCAAAGGAACTCAATGCCGACTGTGTTTTCGCTTCTCCCTCTTCCTCCTCAGCAAAAATGCTGCCATTGCTGTCTGCCCAAGACTCATAACCCATTTTCCCACTTCCAGCCCCTCCTCCTCCACCTGCCTTTCTTTCTTGTTCATCTTCTTCAACAATGTAGCTTCTATCGCTCCGTCGTCGAGGAGACGCAGATGGTTTCTTCCTCTTTTCAGCCCTTGGTTTTGCTTTCGGCCGTCTCTTCTTCGGTTCCCCCCACAATCTATTAAAAACGAGAGTCGCCGCCGATTGACCCAGAGGGATTGCTAATGTCATCAAGAAGGCTTTCGGGCCAGTCGCTAGCAACCACGAGATTATGATGAACGGCAGCCCCCAGCCGTAGGATTTGAATACCTGCACTGACCATATTCCCCCAAGCAAAAACCCTTTTAGAAAAAGAACCAACAAATGAGCGGGTAATGGGAGAGTTCGCCGGAAAGCAGATTTACCTTGAGAATCCATAGACTTTCAATGAAATCCTCCAAAATCCCTAGCTCTTCCTCGTCTTCTTCGTCTACTTCTTCTCCGCCGTCGCTGCCAGGCGGCGCATCTGACCACCACGTCCTTCTCCTCTTCCCGGAACTTCCTTCTTCCGCCTCCTCCTTCGCGCGGAATTTGAACTTGAATCTCCGGTGGCCATGTTTCCCCACGGCATTGAATTCCCCGCGGTGGCACCTGGCGATGCCGACGTGTAATGGTCTGTTTCTCCAACAGTGAGAATTGGGGGCGACGAGGTTCTTATGCAACCGAAGAGGGATTTGGAGGAGCTTTATGGAGACCGGTTTCGTCAGCAAGAGGTGGTGACGACGACCAATGGCCTCGCCGGCGTGGATTGTACTCGCTTCCATTGGCAGCAGGAGCAGGCTGTAGCTTGCTGCTCCTCCATTCGCCACGTTTCCGTTATCTTCTCCATTAATAAAAAAGGGTTTAGAAATCTGATTCTCATTCTTTCCAAGTCCACCTTTATTCAGACTCCGGTTCCTTAGTGGGCCTTCAGCTCTTCCCTTCACGAGCCGGCCCAAATACGCGAAAAGCCCAATACAAGTCTATTGTTTATACCGGATCGCGGCAGGAATTCATGCGCGCAGGGGTTTCGCAGAACGATGTCGTACTGCGTGTCTTGGTTCGCTATATATATATTTGTAGCATCCGTCTAGCCTGAGATATTATTTTCGTTGGGCTTCTGGAATTTTCTTTTGCGAAGAGAAGAGGGTGAGGGATTGATCGGAGATCAGCACTGGAGAAGATGAGGCCGATGCAGATGGATTTCTTCGCGGAGATGGAAGAGCAAGGGTCGACGGTGGCGATGGACGTCGACGACGTCGACCCGCTCGAAATGTTCAGCGAAAGCATGATGAACGAGAGCAAGCTCGCCGACGCCGATTTCTTCAACAATTTCGAGGATGACTTCGACGACTCCGACATCAACTGAACGCGATTCAACTCCTCCCATGGCCGCCGAAAGCTTCTGCGTCTCTGTTTCCACTCTCGCAGTTAGCTTCTCCGCCTCTCCTTCTAGCGATAATAATTTTAGATAGGTGTCAAGGGTTTGTTGCTGAACATTGCAGTGTACTACGAGTAATGTAGATTTTGATTCCCCTGGTTTCTTATTATGCGATTGCAGTCATAACTGTGTGCGTGCGTTCGATGGAATTCCGCAGTGATGTTTAGGGTTTGAGATTATTAGGGTTCCTAATTTCAGGATGGCTCTCGATTTGGGGTTTTACTCTGAGTCATGAATTAGGGATCAGAATGCAGCAACGTGCTCAACTTTAGAATTGGCGTTATCTTGTTTTGAACCAGTGTGCTGTAAGATTGTAGTGGATGCTTTTGCAATTGCAATGGGAGGAAGCGCCAGTTCTTCATAATTGACACTGGCACTAAGCATCCAAAAGATGTGCTTCATTGCTCGTCGCGCGATTCGCAACATCATGAAGGCGTGTGTGGTCTATTAGCTACTGCTGTAAATGAAAATGAACCACCGGCTTGTCCCGGTCACTGGTTGTCTTCACTTATTCATAGCTGCAATATGTGAAGATCTGTCTGTCTGTCTCTGCCTGCTGCTACCTCTTCCTGCACTCTTACGAGGAGCGCGAGAGGTAGCAGTAGTAGTACTTTGCAGTTTGCATAGATGAAGGTAAAGATCAAATACTGATACTAGCAGTCAAGAAGAGAATCGTTTCCAACTTTAGCATGGTTTCTCCGCATTCGAAAGCACGAGTTGGGACCTAGAAACCAGAATACAAATGATCTTCTTGGCAACCAAGGCACATCAACAACAGTAGTCTTCAGTGGGGCGTAATGCTACCTTCAACATTGTAGAAGGTTGCTGGTGGAGTTTAGGATTAGAAGCTGGTTGTTGTTAAAAGGAGATGTGTCTCTTAGGTGCTTGTGACCATATGCGATGGAAGATTACAAACCCTAACCATCACTCAAAAAAAAAAAAAAAAAGTATTATCATTTTCGATTTTTTTTTGTCCTAGAACTCGATTGTGATTCCATTAAACAGAAAGGAACTGATGCGTATGTTGAAAAATGGTGGAGATCTTGAGAAGCATATACTAACAGGAATTGTGGACTTATTTTCCTCGGAAGCTAATGAGTACTGTAGAAAGGAATGACATATACTCATACTTATTTCGTGGCAAGTTGGGTTGGGTTGATGTTATAATTTATTATGGGGTGTATGTAAGATTGACGAGAGTATTCATGCGCCTATCCTACTTTCTTACCGTGTGGGTATACTCGTCCAAAGTGACTAAACAGTTTGGATAAAATGGACCACGTTGAAATTCTCATCACTAATTGTTGATTTGGATCTATTAGAATAGTACGTGTTATCAATTATGAAGTCCATAAAGAGTAAGTTTTCAAATAAACAGACATTTTCCGTATGTCTTTGCTTAATTGAAAGCTTACTCTTCATAAACTTTCAGAATTGATAACACTTATTGTTCGAATATGTTGAGTAGTAACTAAATAACAAAAAGAATCTATATTACCTAAAAAAAGGACATTTTGAAATATATTTGAAATTTTGGGTTATTGTTGTGTTTGATGTTATAAATAATTAAATATGATAGAATTCATGGTTGTTTATAAGACACGACAAACACATTTTTTCAAACGCTTTGTATTGTATACTTTGCATCTTTATGCTAATTTATTTTTGTGAAAGGTGACTTAAATTTTGGGAGTTGCTAATTGACGCCCTAACTTAACGATAATCGCCCTAATTTACAAATTGCTATTACCCTTTTATCCTTCTCGTTTTTTTATTGTTAAAAATATTTTATTATAATAAACAAAACCCCGTACAAATTGCTACTACAGTTTTGATTTCAACCACCGCCGACCCTGACCGCCGGCCGCCACTCCCGTTACTATCGTTCTTCAGTAGCGCCCTGTGGTTAGTGCAGCCGCCGATGAAGTCACTCTTCAGTGAGATCTCCATCCATCGCCTCTCTTCTTTCTCTATGAACATCTCTCAACCTACCTACTCATATTCCAAAATAGAAAACATACAAACCCATCATCATATTGATCATTGAAGATCAACTCAGTACGCTGTATATCAACCAAGGTTCTCCCCAAATTTCTTAACATATTTGGTGTTAATTGTGGCAAATGGAGGGAAGGGCTTACCGCTAACTATACCCGCTTAATTATCAGGACATATACCCCCTCTCTGTATTTTCATCACATAGATTATATATATAACGATACCAAACAAAAGCCGCCTGGGGAGGAGTGATGACGCGTCGACGTCGGTGAGGACAGAGAAGGAACGAAGCCGATCAGGGCAAGAGGGAAGACTCCGATCAGGACAGAGGAGTACTGGCTGCTAGAGGAGTCCGACGGTAGGATAGAGGTGGTTCGCTTGGAGCCCTCTCAGTCGGCGGCAGAAGGACTTATTAACTGCAGATTTTCGGCGACGGAGGTGGTTTGGAGGGCGGCTCTCGTTGGAAGAAGATGAAGGCTGGTTATAGAAAAATGGATTTTGGGTTGTTTGTTTTGTCATTGTTATTTAGTTAATTAAGGTTAATTGAGTAATTTTATATTTAAAGTTAGGGTGAGGTTTAGACATCCAGTAAATTTTTTGTTATATCATTTGTCATGGTACATAATTTTGTCAATCAATTATGACAATATCGATATGACCTATACTCCAAATCATAGCGGAGCTAGTTGAGAAATTTTAATGAATTGCCCGGTGTTTACCACTAAAAAATTATTTAATACAACATTGGTTATTTTCAAGGAGTGGTAGTGGTTTATAAGAGGGGTCAAACATGATGTCATGCAAGAGGGGTCAAGTACCATGGCCACCTACCTACCTTGCACTCGGGGTATCAAGCATGATGACGTGCAACCACACCCTTTGACCCACCAAACACTCACCCCTCACGCAAGGGGGGCCAAGTGCCAAAATTTGGCTAAGTATGGAGATCCAACCACAAGGGGGGTCATGCCTGACATCGTCCAAGGGGGTCAAGCACCAGGTACCATGATACCCAACCACAAGGTGGGTCAAGCATGACATCATCCCAGGGGGGTCATGCATGACACCACAATGGGGTCAACGTGCCGTGCAAGGACATCATCACGAGTAGCAGACATCTCATGGGTAGTTATGTAAGTCATGTATATCATCACATGATACACCACCTTGTCAAGACCATCAAACCCCCCTAAGCACCCTGGTGTCGAGCATGACGTCATGTCAAAGTGGTTAGCATGAGTACCACCAAGGGTGAGGCCTTCACTCACCAAACAAGACACCTCCACGACACAAAGGGGTTAGCTATCAAGTGAAGTCATCAAGTGGCAAGCACGCAAGACAGTCAAGGCGTCAAGCAAGCTACATCAAGCACCAAACAGTGGAGCAGCGGTTACCAAGAGGCAATTGCACGACGGTTACAATGAATGACTATAAATAGGAGAAACTAAAACGAAACAAGGGTTCGACAACTAAACATTTGACGCACAATGTTAAAATTTATCTTTTCTCTGCAAATTATCCTTAACTTTTAGTTTTTCTGGAGCTCTCACTGAACCTCCATAGGAGTAGAGTAACGTAATTTAGCTTTGTTCCCAAAAAACCATAAAAAACATCAAACACCCTCGTTCGAACATTGTTCGGAGAGGTGTGAACCGTGTTGATTTTTGTTGTTCAAGAAGTCAAAGGTACATTTATTGAAATCAAACACCAGATTTTCCTCGCCGGAAAACACCCGAAAATGTCAAATAATTTTTAATGAACAAATCAAATCACGACAATCTAAAACATCATCGATTAAACGAGTTGATAGATTTGGTTGAATTCCTCGTACAAGAGGTACAACAATGCAATACCCTCCTCTCCTCCCTTCTCAATTAGTACAAATTGAACTTATATGATAACGTTAAAGAAACAAGTTCAGTTTGCATTATAAAGAAAATTAAAAAATATATATATAAGTAAAAACTGAATTTCTATTATAAACGTAGTACAAATTCAGTTTGTGCTAAAAAATTTTAAACCAAATCATCAATTATGTAAAACAATAGAAAATTTGTTTGTCGTATAACCTCTTACTATTGGAGCATGCGAAATTTATTTATACTTTGAACAATTACAAAGCTCAGCGGATTTGAAATTTATTTATATTTGTGTCATCATATCATCTAATCCAGTTACCGTCCCCCGATAGTTTTTGTGGCCACCTTTAGGCTTTAACTTCCCTTTCTCAGGGAGCTCCTTTCCAGCCTCTCCTTGCCCAACAGAACCCGATGATATCTTCCATGAGCAGGCTCTTCGCACCTGTCAATGTCATCTCCGCTTCATCATCTTCTTCTTCTACTCCGTCTAAAGGTACGAATTCGACGCCTGTATTTTGTTTTCTTCCTCTGCACTTGTTTTGAGCTTTAACGTGAATCGCTCCCATCGAAACAGACGAGGGCTACACTTTGAAGAAGTCAGTTAAGCTAAGAGAAGACTGGAGGCAACGCTCCAAACCCATCCCGCCTGGTGGCACCTACCCAGCAAAAGAGCATTGCAGGTGGGTGTGCTTCTTCTGCTCCCCTTTCTCTTCTCTGGGATGAGAATTCGAAATATCTTTCCTAGAGATTGCTTTGGTTCTGGATGCGAAATTGACCCAAGTTTTGTTTTTCTTCTTCTTTTATTGGGAGCAGCCAATGTGGGTTGTGTGATACTTACTACATCGCTCATGTGAAGAATTCCTGTGCTTTTCTAGGAGATGGGATGTCTAGAGTCGAAGTAAGTTGTTTCCTGTTAATTTTACTTCCTTGCCGATGATGATTGTTCATTCATCATTAATGAATTATAGGATAAAGGAATGTTGAAGAATGTTAATCCAATCTGCCTGCTTATTGAAACCCTTTTGGTGGGTTTATGTTTCTGGCCACAGCATCTCGAACCAGTTGTACATGGTAGAGGGAGGAAGGCCGATTCTCTAGATGAAACCTACTTAGGGGTTTACGATGAACTATTGTATGCTCGAAAGACCAATCCAGTAGAAGGTATGATTTGTTCGCTAGTGGTTGTTTGCATGTGCTATTCAAGTTGGGATCTTTGCAAGTTTAGTTGTTCATTTGCTGATGAATAAAATCAAAGTATATGTCTTGGCACTACAAGCGTACTCTTTGCCTGAACCATTGGCTAGACCTTGATCTTCATCATATGTTTCATCGAGGATCCATAAGTACATCCAACCCTTTTCCTGATTCACTGGCAGGAGCTCAATGGACTGGTATAGTAACCACAATTGCCATCGAAATGCTGAAATCTGGCATGGTTGAGGCTGTTGTATGTGTACAAAGGTGCATATAAATATAGTGCATTCTTTGTTTTGTACTAGCAGACTGTTCTCTCTGTTACAGCTTCTATGGGTTATCTTGTTTCTGATTACTTCCTTTACCTTTATGGCTACAGTGATCCAGATGACAGACTTTCCCCAATGCCTGTCCTAGCCAGGTTCAATTATGACATTTGTTTATTCCTTTTCAGTATTGATTTCATCTTCTGTTTTGATAATGTATCTCAGTTTTCTTTGCTCTCAATTTTTATAGGACTCCCGAAGAAGTTCTGGCTGCCAGAGGTGTCAAACCAACTTTATCACCCAACTTAAATACCCTTGCACTGATTGAGGTGTGTAAGAAGAGTGCTTGTAGTACTTACTTGTGCCTTCTAACATCATCTTCTTGATCAATTAAGCATTCTTCTATACACATATGATTTCACTTAGAAAATTTGACAAGAGCAATGATCTTTTGTTTTGGAAAACAGGCTGCTGGGGTAAAACGTCTTCTCTTCTGTGGTGTGGGCTGCCAAGTGCAAGGTATTTGATATCAGCCTCTAGAGTTTTGCTGGTTCAGTGATTTTCTTTGTTTGACTTGTACCATCATAATGCAGAGTAATTCATTGAACTGCAGCATTAAGATCTGTGGAGCAATATCTGAATTTGGAGAAGCTTTATGTACTGGGCACCAACTGCGGTAATTCAAAGCCTATCCCCGTCTAGTTCATTTTATGCTCCATCAGATCAATTTTGGTACTTGATTATAGAGCACCTTTGGGTATTTAATCCTCACATAAGGCCAGATAGCACGCATTGTTAAGGTTGGAACTCTCCCCTAAAACAGTGGATTTGGTCCTGGGTTCTGTAAACTTATGTTGTTAATAGTCTTTACCACATGGCTTCCAGATATCTAATTCGTAGAGTTGGTTGCTTTAACAAAAACTATTTGGCATGACTGGATTTTTGTTGCACGTACTTGTATATGGCAGTTGATAATGGAACTAGAGAAGGACTTGATAAATTCCTAAAGGCTGCAAGTACGGAACCAGAAACAGTCCTTCATTACGAATTCATGCAAGACTATAAGGTTTTTTCTTATTAACCACTTATTCTGTTGTTAATTTCAGCTTATTACTTTTTGAAAGAAGTATGATTTTCATATTTATCTTTGCTTATATTTATCTTTCTTGTTTTTTTCCCTAGGTTCATCTGAAGCATTTGGATGGCCACATAGAAGAGGTAAAGAGGCATTTCATCCACTTCTTTGATTGGCCTGGAGCTCACCATTCTTGCTGCTTCATCTTCTTTTCAATCTTAACTGAAGCAGGTTCCTTATTTCTGTCTGCCAGCAAATGATTTAGTGGATGTTATTGCACCGTCTTGCTACAGGTAATTTCCCATTTCTTATACCAGTAATATAAGTGCACCTTGTTGCATTAGTTATCTTATTCACTAGTCAAAGATAATTCTCTTTCTAATATTTAACCTGTTTTTGACACTTCAACAGCTGTTTTGATTACACAAATGGTTTAGCGGTGAGTTTTACTTTCTAAATTATGTTGAACGCTGGATTACGGATGGTTCTTCTGTAGGAGTTTGTTTTTGGGAACAAGCGGATTTTTATTTCTCAACCTTACCTTTTCTGAAACCCTTGCTTCAGGATCTAGTTGTTGGATACATGGGTGTACCCAAATATCCCCAAGTTAGTATGACAAACCATCCGCAATATGTTACAGTCAGGTAAAATGCTACCTAAGTCTTTGCTGGTAGCTTCTCAAACAAACCATGAATCACATGCTATGCTTTACAACCAACTTGTAGGAATGAGCGAGGAAGAGAAATGCTCAACTTAGTGAGAGACCTATTGGATGTTACTCCAACAATCAGTAGCGTAAAGTCCTTATCCCTTTCTTATGAAAAGATTGTTGCTGAAATATGAACCTTCACAACAACACTTCCAGAGAAATGAAAAGAAGAAAGCATTGTCTTTGGTTGCTGTTTCAGGGTAACAGAAGACCATTTGTGATGGAGACTGTCAAGGCAGATGACAATGCAAAGCTAGGTAATTCTGATGATCGATCAAAAGTTGTAGATTCGTCCACGTTAACTAATTCTACATCAAAGCTGATTTTCCTTAAAATGTTATTTTTCCTATCACCAGGGAAGGGCCCTGCTCAACCTGCTCCAAAGCTTGTTGGGAACTTGATCGCATTTATACTAAACTTGGTGAATAAGCTCTTTTTCATTCAGGCTGCTGTAACAAGATGGGAGATTGTTTGTCCACTCTGACCTTTGCTGTTTTGGGGACCTGCAGATTGGGCCAAAGGGTCTCGAATTTGCTAGGTATTCGCTAGACTACCATACTATAAGGAACTATCTGTACACGAACCGTACCTGGGGAAAAGAGAGGTGGGTCATTCTATGATCTCGTCTAGCTTTCAGGACTCGGTTTGATGTTAAGAACTGATTTCTGATTCTACCGAAACTTGAAACTCTTATGCAGAGCTGATAGACACATGCCTTCATACGCGAAGAAACTCGTTGAACTGTACAACCAAAAAGGGGAAATCGATGACATGCTACAGATCAAGTGACAGTTTTCTGTTCATATTTGAGTACATACATAGTCCTGGTAGCACCTCGCGGCTAGCAGTTCTTTAGAGAAAAGAACATCTCTCGTTCTGATGGATTGAGAGGCAATGAAATTACTTGATAGTAAAGAAAATGAAAAGAACACTTAGAGCTTGAATTCCTCTGGAAGCCTATCCATCACCCAGAAAGCTGTTTGTGACATTGATCTTTCAGGAAACTGTCAACCCTCTAGAAAACTCGACCAGCCAGCCAACTGCAAGTAATTAAAGATAATAGGCATTGAATTGAATCTAGCCTTGCATGAAAATTCACAACGAAGTCAAACTACAAGTGATAGATGCACAAGGTTGGAGACAACTTGTCTCCAGATTGAGAAGTCTCTTAAACTCGAAGAGTATAAAATGGTTGAAGGAACGGCCATGGAAGTGGAATTCAATTCGCGTTTGGAGTTGAGAGAAACAACATGGAATGGGAAGGCCGCGTGCCCTAGTTGGGGAAACTGGACAAAAAACAGTTGGGAGTTTTTAATGGCCATATGTGCTGTAAGTGAGACTAGAAGCTGGTCCATTGTTTTCCTACAAACTGTCAAATCTTTGCTTCTTCTGTATAGCTTAAAGACAAAGTTGACCCAATAAAGTTATTACAAGGAATCTGAGGTGCTCATTCATTAGAGTGCAGACAATGATATTTATTCACTGAGATAGCCTTGGCCAGTACTGGAACTCCATTTCAAGTATTTTTTTTCTTTCTATTTGGTCCCGATGAAGGGTTCCTATCTACTTAATGCTGTACTTGACTAATTGGAATCTGTTAGTTCGAGTGACATGAATAGAAAGTTGAAACCTGCTGCTACTGTTTTAAAGCTTGATAATGTGAATCAATTAAGCAAGGTTTAAGAAGACGTTAGGCGGCGCTAAGCAATCGTTTTAGGACTCTGCTTAGTGCCTAACACGTCTAACGGTGTTTTAGGCAGCAACGTCTAGGTGTTTTATAAGTTTTATCTCGAGTTCAATTTCAAATGATTAATAACTTAACTAACCATCAACAAACAAGCAAGGCATGTCATGATTTCACGGAATGACAAATTTATACAAGTAGTGGTGGGTTGTGGACGGTTCGACAATGATGAAGAGTAGGGCAAAGGGTCGAGTTGAATATAGGGTGGTTGGAGATGACGTTGTTGTGGAAATATTAGCTGAACATTATTATTCTTATTCTTATTATGTCAACACGGTTAAGCGTGACTCTCTATTAATCATGCCTCATGTTGATTAATCGTGCCTAGCTCGCTCTATTTAGGAGGCGTCCAGGCGATAGAAACGCCTAATTGTCTGCTTATAGCCCAAGTCTCATTGTCTAATGCCTAGAATAATCGGGATTGAGCTACCTTGATCGTTTTTGTTCTGCATGTATTGAATCAAAGGCATGGGTTGCTCATATGGGTTGTCTGTTTTCTCTAGAAAATAATTTGTTTTGTGGAGAGGAAAGAACGCTAAAGGTGGTGGCTGAAATTGAAGATTCAACCATAAAACAAAAACAGACAGATAGAAAAGAAAGAAAGAGGAATGGAAAGCAGTGAAGGAAGGAATTGTGGCTTGGGTTTGGCCATGCATGTTGGTCTTGGGAGTCTTATTTTCACTTAGAACTAGTGTTATTATTGTGGAAGAAAGACGTACGCAGCACTCGACGGTGGCGGTGTGGCGGTGGCCGTAGCGATATGGTTGTGGGAATGCACGTGCGTGACCTAAAAACCATAATAGGGTGAATGTCCAATCGATTTGGTTTATAACCGGATTGAATCGAGATAAGATCGAAGCAGAATTAAAGAAAAATTGGGGACAGGAACTTGACTAAAAATATGTTCGATTCATTTGGTATGTACGTTCTTATTCAATTTCGGTTCATTTTTACTTCATATTTAAAATGATTTGTATGATAACAATTCGGATTGGTTCATGTATCAAACTCATTCAATGAAAACAATTATATGATTCTAAATCGTCATTTTTATGATCTATAAGAGTGAAAAAGCGCCTTCAAAAGGTTTGATAAATTGTATATTTATTTTTATGGTAAGATGATACATTGTTTTCTTTGTAATTGATAAAAGTTCCTGGATTTGAATATAAGTGTTCAATTGTTTAGGTTAAAACCAATTGAAATTATAAAATCGGCTGCCAAAGTTTAGAATTTAAATGTTTTTTTTTTCATTGGATTAACAAAAACTGAACGGAATGAAATGGAAAATTTGGAACACACTCATCAAATGGAACTTAATTTGCATTTGTGGCATGTTCAAGAGTTGAAATATCATTGCACTGAGGACGATTTAAATTAACGGCAGCAACAATAATAATTCTTTCTGTTTATTATATGTTAATTTATTCGGGTAGATTAATTAGTAGCAATAATTATTAGTGGGAAGGAATAAAGAGAGAAGGCTTGAAAGTGGGAAGGATTTTTTGTTATATTGTAGGAAAGTGTTTCTACGAGAATTATTATTATTATTATTATTATTATTATTATTATGCAATTATAAATCAAGAATATCTACCAAATCCTCTCCTAATCTCCTCCCTCTTGTTCTAGGTTTCGTCCTGGCCCTTCTTATTCCAAAACCTTAAACATTAACTTCCAATAGGTTTTTTAAAGCTGGAATGGGAAGATAGAAGGGTGACAGTAGACGTCAACGTGGAAGTTTGAACAAAAAATGAGGTTGGACGGATGTCGATAATTGAAGGGTGGAACGGAAGACAGAGAGCTGCGAGGCAGGGATTGGAGAATTTTTTCCTCCTCCTCACACTCAGGCAAACAAAAAAGAAGAGGAGGAAATGTGAATTAAAAGGGGGTAAGGGGATGAACGGATTTTTAGTGTTAGCCAGATGAATTTTTCATTTTTGTCTAATCAAAACAGGAGAAGTGTAATTAAAAGGAGTAAGGGGAACACGACATTTTATTAAGGCGGGGATGGCTAGTAGGTTTTTTTTTTTACATAAAATAAAATAATAATTTAATTTGTTATAGTTAATTAAAATGAAGAATATATATTTATATATTTCAATTAATTTATGACCACAAATTTCTTGTTGTGTGAAGAAGGTTTGTCGGTTACAATTGTCAGACATGTATCAGAGGTCTCGAGTTTTTTTTTGTTGTAACGATGAAACCTGAGTCTCTAACATTAAAAAAAAAAATCGGGCGGAGGCATCTCGGCTAACATACATCTCTAACAAATGCGTCCGCCCCTGCGACTGGATTGAATTATGAAGTGTTTTGCGGGTCGATTCCTAACTTGTGGTGTAATGTGATCATCTTACGATACCACTTACTATTTATTTTAGTCCCATTTTAAACTTTTTTCCTTTGGTGTTCAGAGAATGCTCCTCTAAAACCTAACTTTAATCGTACAATAATATATTTTGTCTTTAAAATGGTGAAATTGATCTCTCTTGTCCGTAGACTAATGTATCAGATTATTCATTACATTAAACATGTATTTGTTAGGATTCCTTTTTTTTTTTTGGTTGTCAATTGAACCAAACTAATTAATTGTTCATTCTAATTTCTAATGATATTGTATAAACTCACATGGATTTTCGCGTTCATCCGGCTGAGTAGACTTGGAAGACGAATTCGAAATTATTATTATTATTATGATATAATTTTACTAGAAAAACGAGAAGGAGAAAATTGCAAACTGCATCTTCACTTGGATTACTACTATTGTTTTTTTGCTGAATCGTTCCCATGTGCAAGAAGGCAGAAACGCAGAGCATGAAAACAGAGGGCCACAAAACCATTGGTTTTATTTATTGCGCGCCGGAATTTGGTCAACAGAGGAAGGGAGGAGAAGAACTATAACACTTGGCTTTGACAAGTTTGATGTAGAAGAACTACAACTTGACTTGATAGCGGTGATTGCTTTGTTATTGGCTGGACGATGAGCATGCTCATTAGTATACCAATAGTTTGCCCCGATGTTGTAGTCTCTTTAAACGAAACTGTGGACACTCCTTCCTTTCATTGATAGAAGTTGGTATACCTGTTTTGCTTGAGTAATCAAATGAAAATACATCGTGTTTTAGTCATCCTCACAAAACCAACAAATCTAGCGTTATGCTTTTAGAACAACTCCTCCGAATTTAGGGCCTTTGATAAGTCATTTTCAATTTTATTCATCGGAGCATGTAAAATGTATGTTTTACAAGAACAAAGAATATAGATTAGAGAATTATCATTTTCATTTCACTTAGAAAGAGTGAGAACTCTCAAATACAAAGTTCCTTAAGAGAGAACAAAAAGAGCTCTTACAAGAGAAAAACAAATAGTGACAAGATAAAAAAAAAGGTGCAAAACCAACCAGCCTCATCTTCCTTTGTTCATAAAAAAAGGAAAGGAAAAATAGAGGGCCCAAAATATGTGCACTTCTTGGGCTTTTTTTCTTTTTCTTTAGGAGAGGGCTAATTACTTAAGCTGCTGCAGCTCTTTCTTTCTTTTCCCTATAGTTATTTCTACACCCATAACACAAGTAAAAAAAAAAAAAGAAAAGAGGTTATGGAACTATCCTGTTCCAACTGACCACCAAAAGCTCTAAAATAAGAAGAAAAGGAAAAAAAAGCTTTTTCCTCAGAAATGGGAAATGCATCTCCTGTGCTTGGCAGCCATTGTCTTCTTCTTCTGTTTGGTCTCTTCTTTCCAGTTCTTGGCAACATCCATTGCCACACTAATGGCATCCAGAGATGCACCTGAGAGCCCTTTCCTTGTGAACCCAACTGCATACAGCCCTGCTTTCCCTTTCCACCCATTTGGGAATGGATCCTTTGGAATCCCATCTTCTGAGAAGAAGTCATTCTCCTGGAAAAACAACAAACCCAGAAAGTTAATACACCTTAAAATAGTAAAAACAATGGCTTTTATGTTTCTTTCCATGAAAGGGACCAGTCTGTGTCAGAACAACCCAAAAGGGGAAAGAAAGAAAGAAAAGAAACCAACATCCTACTGTCAAAAGCTTTTCTGGTTTCTTCTTTTAATGTATGCCTAAGTGGCAAAGGTGGTGTGGTACAATGACACCCTGAAACAACCAAACAATTAGCACAACATATTCCCTTTCTCCATTCCCTCCCATCTTCTTTTCACTCCAAACCACCAACCACAGGGATACCTGCAAGTTGGGAGGTTTCATTTCTATTGAAATTGAACTCTTGTATAATAAAATAACCCCTGGCAGGCTGTCTGAGATAGTGGGAAAATTTTGAATCTAATACCCTGAAAGTAACTGTTTCATGTGCTGTTAAGTCAAGAAAACTTGTGGAACATTAGAATTCCTTCTCCTGATCTGAATAAGACAAAGAACCCATGATCCGACCCCGCAGATTTCATTCCTTGTTTTTGTTCCCTTTTGGGCAAAGTCCAAACCCCAACTGTCACATGAAACCTGGAAACTGAAACGAATTGAAAAAGAAAAAAAAAAAAAAATGAGAGGAGGGTTCACCTTAAGCCATGAAGGAACATTGCTGCGATACCCAGTTGCCAGAATCACGGAATCGATCTCCAGAATCTGGCCATCGACAAGCTCCACTTTCCCGCTACTGAACTTTTTGATCCCAGGGACAACCTTAATCTCACCAGATCGCACTTTCGCCAGCGCCCCAATGTCCAAAACTGGAGTCTTTCCTTCCACGTTCTTGAGCTCCAATGGCCCAAGGCTGGGCCTTTTTAGTCCATACTTCTCCAGATTCCCCTGCATCAGCCTGGCAATACCCAGAAGTACTCTGTCCACCATCCTCAGAGACATCCATTTCATCAGGGTTACTGCCAGCTCGAAGGTCGATCTCCCGAAAATCTCCCTTGGCAATACATGAACCTGTAGATGGGAAGTCATAAAGCAAAAGCCTTGATCAGAGAAGCTTCTTAAGAAAACAGAGGAAAAAACAGGGGAGGGTTTAGAGCAATGGGGCTCACCGAGCTTCTGACCACCATTGTCGGGCTGGCATTGTGGTTGCATAGATCGAGGGACACTTCCATGCCGGAATTCCCACACCCGACGACAAGAACACGCTTCCCGCGGTAACCCTCGCCGGATTTGTAGTCGCAAGCGTGGCTGACATGGCCGGAAAATTTCTCCAACCCTTGGAACTCCGGCACCACTTTCTCAGCGTTCTCTCCGGTGGCCACCACCAGCCACCGGCAGATGTACTCGAGCTCCATCGGAATAGGCCCGCTGTTGGAAACGGTCTTCACCCGCCACAGTCCAAACGTCTCGTCGTATTTGGCGGATTGGACGGTCTCGTTGAAATTGGGGGTGATTTCGAAATGCTTGGCGTAGGCCTCCAGGTAGGTGATGAACTGGAACTTGGAAGGGTACTCTGGAAAGTCTTCGGGGAAAGGGAAATTGGGTAGCTGACAGAATTGCTTGGGGAGGTGAAGTTTGAGGCGATCGTAGGTCCTGTTTTGCCACAGAGAGGCAATGCAGTTGGCCCGCTCGAGGACGATGAAAGGGACGCCTTCTCTTTTCAGGCAGGATCCGACGGCAAGGCCGGAAGGCCCGGCGCCGACGATGACGGGCCCGTTAACCCATATGCAGCGGCGGGAAGATGAGAAGAAGAAATCTTCGCGGCCGGAAGTTGGAAACATGGTGGGTAAGTCGGTGTTGAGACAAGTGGCGGTGAACATCTTTAGGTAGAGAAACAGGGGATTGAGAAGAAAAGTGTTCGATGAAATGACTGAATGAGGAATGAAGAGAGTTTATTATCTGTTGTTGTTGTTTCTTTGGAGTTGTGGCGTGGAGGGGAAGAAGGGATGGGAGGAGGGTTTAAATAGAGGAACAAGGAGAAAGGGGTTTGGATTGGTCATAATGGCTTCTGAGAAGTGGCACATGCTATGGGGAAGAAAGAATGGCTTCTTTCATGGCCAAATGATAAGCTTCTGGGGTGGCCGCCTTTTGTTTTTGTTAAATTAAAATGGGTTTGGGGGTTTGTGAATTTTCTTTCTTCAATGTTCATTGTTTATGGGGTTTTTTTTATAGGAGTTTATTGTTTATGGTTGAGTCGTATTCTTTCAACATATATATTAGTTGTATTTTGAAATTGGGTATTCTGAGGTCGACCTCAGGGGACTCTGTTTGTGTCTCTGTTCCCCAAATCAGGTCTGCAATGTATCATGTAGGGCGGCAAATGAGTCGAGCTGCTCGCGAGCGACTCGACAAAAGTTCGTTCGAAACTCGGCTCGTTAATAAACGAGCCGAACACGAGCTAAGTTTTGTTCAGCTCGTGAAGCTCGCGAGCTAGCTCGACTCGGTGGCTTGTTGAGCTAAACTCGTGAGTTGGCTTGATTAGAGCTCATGATATGTCTCAACATGTGGCTAGAGAGCCAACTCGATTACCAACTTATGGACAAATCAATCTATATCTTATGATTTTAATTCATATGGTTGTTAAATAATATATCTCACCATATATAAAGTTTAACGAGTACTTGAGTATGGGAGAAAATATATCTTATTTTCTACTTTAAAAAAAATTATGTATCATAAATTGCTTAAATACTATGAAATAACATGATTTGGAGTAGTTAAAATTTATTAACTAAATGATATATGATACCAATAAAGTATAATATGAGATTAGCTAACAAAATAAATCATATGTATCATGATATACAAAATGAAGTACCAAATAAAAGTCAAGATTTTAGTAAACAAGCTAGTTCGAACTCGACTCGGCTCGACTCGTTTATTAACGAGTCGAGCTCAAGCTGAGGTAAAACTCGACTCGACTCATTTGCAACCCTAATCATCGGGCAACTCTAATCATATGGCTAGTCATCGGGCATCAACTTTCAGTTTTTCTGTGAGCTTTGAGGAGCAACTCAATGTTGATTAGACGTTATCGAGGTAACAATGTGATAGTGATGCTTTCTCCGCTGTCTTTTATCAAGAGAAGGCGTTTTCCGTCTGACTTGCATCTAAGCAAGGTTAGACGAGTTCCTAGGACGCATTTTAGAACCATATTAAATATTAATAGAAAAAATATCTAATTTATATAAAAAGGTGTATGAAAATATAAGAAATCACATATAAGGAATAAGATAACATAATTGTACTATAAGTTTTGTTATAGTGTTAACACAATTACACAAACAAGGGTATAAATTTATCTCCTATATTTTAGATATTTTATTCCCGATTTTTTTAATAGACCACATGTCTTATAATTGTCATTCTGAGCATGCGATTCATGTCAAAACGGTATCAATTGTTGCTTATGAGATAATGAACAAAAAGCACATGAATTAGAAGAAAAAAATCATTCCAAATTTGATTTAATTCGAAGGATTTAGGGTTAGGATTTAGGTTTACAATTTGGGATTTTGGGTTGGGATTCAAAATTGAAGGTTAAGGGGTTAGGGTAATAGATTGATTTCATCATATTAGATTGAGAGTACTAATTAAAGTTCAAAATTTGATGTACTATGGACCCTTTTAGAGTTGGGTGCATTGAGTGTAGCGAAGTAACCACCATATATATATACATATATGGGGAGTTTTACGGTACCCAGGGTGAAATATGGGGTACCGCATACCTTGAATAAAAAAATGCTATCCAGAACTTGAATTGACTAATCGTTCAGACATGATACTATACTCTAACCCTTAAAGATCAAAATCTAGGTCTTAATTCTCTAAATCTTATACCCCAAGATCAATTTACTTAGAAACAATAATCGACGGTTATGATTCGTCCATATACAGGCAAAAAAATCAATGCACCATCTTAGGGTTTGTAGTTTATGATTTAGATAATTAGGACCTAGGGTTCACTCATTAAGGGTTAGTAGTATCATGCCCAAAAATCCTGCTAATTCGAGGTCTAGATATCGTTTTCATACTCAAGGTATGCTCAAGGTATGCGTTTGTCAAAAAAAAAAAAAAAAACTCAAGGTATGCGGTACCCCGGATTTCACTCGGGGTAACGTAGAAGGCACCATATATCTGAAAAATTCATGCAATATTGATATGCATTTCATTGTTAGTGCCTAGTGGCATGCATTCATGAAATACTGGTATCTATATCTTAGGGGTCGTTTGGTTTTGGTGATAGTTTTGTTGGGATAGTTACAATGCATGCAATGTCCACAATGCATCATTTTTTTTTTAATTTTCTGCGCAAACAATACATGCATTGTTTCCTTGATTTGACACAAACTGTCACTCAAAATGAGTGATAGTTAAATCTCAAGTTTTTGTTGAGATTGTTGAGATTGTTTGATGGAGATTGTTGTGTTTTTTTCTTCTTCCAAATATGTCCCTACCTTTTTTATGTGTGTTGCTTTTTTACATTACAAACAAAGGGTAAAAGTGGCTTTTCAGCCAAAAAGTGATATAATTTATTTAAATACTACAATAAGTATCACAGAAACTAAACGATGTAAACTATAATACACCAATTTTCTTATATACATGTATATTATTATGCATGCATTGATGACAATACATTGATTTAACTATGAACAAAACCAAACGACATTTTTGCCTTTATGCTATGCTTTATGAGATTCATGACATCTATTTTAGTGTATCTGGTTTGCATTCTATTGTTTCTAATATGCTTTTGGAGATTTCATGTTTGCATTCTAGTGTTTCTAGTATATATTTATGTTTCTGGTATGCATTCCTTTATTTTCTAATGTGCAATTACTTTGTTAAAATAGGATTCTAACAACAGGATACTGAAAAGCCAAATATTAAAATAAGAAAATACTTTAAAACATAGAATTAACTCAAAAATGATTTTTTTAAGTATGTATTTTATCCCTATTAATTTCTCTTTTTTATTGCTTTCTATTAGTGTTAACACTATAATAACACTTTAGATGATATTATACTATTTGTCCCTTAAATAATAGTACTCACAATTTACTTAATACTAATCATACTATTTAGGGTTAATTCTACTAGAAAGCCCAAATATCATAAAAGTGTCACTTTTGTACTAAACCATTCAATATGACAAATCTGGCACTTTATGCGTTGCATGATAACTGTGTCCTAAACTTATTTAATAGGACAAATCTGGCACAAACCACATAGATGTTGACTAGATTTTCCGATAAATACTAATGGTCTACGTCTACGCCAGTCAATATTAACAAAAAAAAAAATAGTTCATACCAGATTTATCATATTGAATAGTTTAGAACACAAATGATACTTTTTGAATAATTTGAACTTTTTATGGAATTAGCCCTACTATTTATTTTCAATAAACAAGACAGACTTTGACAAAAGATCTCATTGCATCAAATTCATCACCATCATGTTTCATGTGGGCATGGTTGGTCATCATTTTGATTGATGCATATTCTGGACTTTTTAGTAGTTTTGGGTTTTGTTTTGTTTTTCAAACTATTGATAAGTAATTATCATTATTTAGGAAGTTTTAGAGTATGATTACTATTAAGTAAGGGGTGAGATAGCGATCACTTCCTTTAAAGGGGTTGTAAGTTTTACAACCAAGCACAATTTGGATATGATAAAAAAATGAATTTGTAATTAATTTTTTATTATTAAATACACATTGAGAATTAATAACCCATAATAATTTTTGAAATATAAATCCTAAAAGAAAATATATTTATATCTCTCTCTTCCTTTTCCAACAGTCACTCCGCATTTGTGAAATCCTTCCGGCAAATTTTTTCCGGCAAAATCTCCACAACAACCGGCAAAAATTACCAGTGTGTTAAAAAATGTACCAATCCATTAGTCGGTAGCAATTTTTTCTAGTGGTACGCTACCAATAAAACGCTACCAGTACCATCAGGTAGTTGGTAGTGTACCACTATCATTTCGTACCAACTACCAAATTTTAGTGGTAATAGATGATGGTGGTACGCTACCACTAAGATATAGGCGCTACCAGATGGTAGTGGTAGCTTACCACTACCAGCTACTAGATGGTAGTGGTACAAATGATAGTGGTACGCTACTACTACCAGCTACCAGATGGTGGTGGTAGAGTACCAACCAAATCAGTACCACTAGTATAAAAAAAACATATATGAAATTTGAAAATCCTAGATATGAAAAAATAGGAGGATGAGGAAAGGGGGAGTTGGTGACCTCGCGGCAGGGATCTCGCGTCGTCAACCATGTGGCGTTGGTGGCGGGAGGCCGAGGATGGGCGAGGCCGAGGCGATGGCTCCACTGCCGGAGGGACAGCGATGCGAGAGGAAGAGGAGGCTGACCGTGGCAGATATCTCTTGCTGTCAGGAGAAAGCCACCGGCGGGAGAGAGGGGGCGACACGACAACAATGGTGGTGGCAGTGATCGCAGCGGGATGATGGCGGCCGACCGTGATAGATCTCTTTGGCGGCTAGCATTTTTTGTTAGAGATATGGTGAGAGGGAGGAGGAGGGAGACATAGGGAATGAGATCTGGGGTTTTTTTTTTAATGAAGGATATTTATATGAAAAATGGAAAGGATTTCATGTGGTAAGTTTTCCATTTCAAAATTAACTCTAGTTTAATCTGTACCACAATACTACTAATTTAAAAAGAGGGAAAAAAGAGAAGGAACTGGAAGGCTAAGATGTGAGTTGCCATTTTCACAACCTTCAAAATGAAAGTGACCATATCCCACCACATAAGTATTGTTAGAGAGTGGTATAAGATCAAAGATAACTTTCTCCAACACCTCGAGTTATTGGGACCAGTTGGTTTATGACATGGTATCAGAGTTGGTTTGGCCAAGTGGTCGTGTGTTCGAATCTCCACGACCCACAATATTAACAGTTGATTAAAGCACAAGGTATATGGTGATCGCTTGTGCAAACTTCAAGCCTATGAGTCGGCTTTCGTTTGAGGGGGCGTGTTAGAGAGTGGTATAAGATCCAGCATAATCTTCTCCCAACAACTCGAGTTATTGGGACCAACTGGTTCATGACAAACTCGAGTTATTGAGAGAAGGTTATGCTTGATCTTATACCACTCTCTAACAAGTATTAGAGTTCATTTACATGTGTATTTTTATATGGAATTCTGCAATTTAAATGTGTTATTTTTTTTTATGAATTGGTAAGCTTTTATATCATCAAAAAACCCCTGCAAAACTGATGGCAACACCCCTGCCAACTAAGATACTATACTTCTAAGTTTTTCAACCTCAACCTAGCAATATAACGAAAAAGAAAAACTATAACTGAACCAAGGGCAACACACTGACTAGCACCAGTAACTATCAATAAGTACAAAGGGGAACAAAATAGAGAGATCCCTTCGAATGCTAAGTATCAACTATTGGCAACTTCTCCTTGTCCCACCAAACTTCAACCGACATCTTTCCCTCCAGATGGAGCTAATTACAGACCTCCAAATCGCCCTAGCAGCCTGAGCACGCTCCTGTTTTCCTCGAAGATGCAACACAGCCCACTGCAACTCAACGTCCCAATCATCAGAAGGAAATCTGGGGAATTCCTTAGCCAGCAAACCTGCATACAACTCTTTGTAAACCACACATTCACCAAACAGATGCGCCCTAGTCTCCAAAGAACAGGAGCAGAACACGCACGAGAGAGGACCCCTCCCACCCCAATGAGCTACTTTATCACAGGTGACAATATAGTTCTTTACAACCATCCAAACAAGGAATTTATCCCTTGGAGGGGAGAGGCCTTTCCACACAATTGAATACCATGGAACAGTCGCTTCCTTAGGCCTAAACTCTTACCACACCATTTGGATTTTGTATCTCTGCATAACTTTTCCAGACCATGTAACCTCTCCATTATTTATTGACATCCACTGATTAATTCGATCTCTACTCTTCAACAGCTTCAACCATAACCAAGACCCTGCTTTTGATTGGAATGTCCAGAAATCATGCTGCTTTAACCTATATTTTTGCAGCCAGGCCACCCACAATGAACCTTGCTGCAGGAGGATTAGCCAGATGTTCCTTATTACACAAGCAAAATTCCAACTCACCAGGTCACGAATGCCCAATCCACCTTCACTTTTTGGGAGAGCAATATATTTCCAGGCTGCAGTAGCCTTCTTCTTCCCCTCCTCCCCAACTCCCCATAAAAAATCACTACACAACCTTTCAATTTCCTTAATAATCCTCTTAGGCAGTATAAAAACCGCCATCCAAAACCGAGTTAAACTAGTAAGCACTGAGATAATGAGTTGTAAACGCCCTGCATAGCTAAGAAATTTTGTTTTCCAACTATGAATCCTCCCAGTAATTTTATCCAAAAGAGGCTTACAAGCCTTAGTAGATAATTTACCAAGGATAAGTGGTAAACCCAGATACCTTATAGGAAGTGTCCCCAGCTTATACCCTGCACTAAGAGCCATTTGCTTTTGCCATTCAATAGAAAGACCCCCGCAGAACAGCTCACAATTTTCAGGGTTAGACTTAAGCCCTGAGATTCTTTTGAATTCCCCCAACACCTTCTGAATACAATGAATCCCATGATTGGAGCCATCAGAGAACAACAACAAGTCATCCGCAAACATCAAATGAGTCAGTCCCAATCTCTTACACATCGGATGGAATGGCATTTGACCTTCCTGAACAGCTTTACTCATTAAACATGAAAAAATTTCCATGGAAACAGCAAATAAGTAGGGGATAAAGGATCCCCTTGTCTCAGTCCTTTGTAAGCCGAGAAATATCCACAATTCCACCATTAAACCCCACACTCAATTTAGGAGTAGTCACACACATAACAATCCACTTCACAAACAATTCTGGGAAATTCATTGCTTTTAAAACCGTGATCAAGAAATCCCAATCCACAGAATCAAAAGCTTTCATTATATCAACCTTAACAATACTGCGTTGGGATATACCACTTCTTTGATATTTCTGGACTAACTCATGAGCCAAAAGAATATTCTTACTAGTGACTCTTCCTTTAATAAATGCAGTCTGGTTGTTACTTATCAAGGAAGGCAGAACTGTACTAAGGCGATTTGCAATAATCTTGGCAATACACTTATACAGTGTATTACAACAAGAAATAGGTCTAAACAGTCTCATTTCCTCAGGGTTCTGAGTCTTAGGGATTAATGCTAAGAGAGTGGAATTTGTACCTGAGGGGAGAGAGCACACCGATAAACAATACTTCACAGCCTCAATGATTTCTGGGCCAACTATGTGCCAGGCAGACTGAAAGAAGCAAGCTGGAAAGCCATCTGGGCCAGGACCTTTGCCTCCTTTAAAACCAAACAAAGTCTTTTTTACTTCCTCCTCAGAGATAGGTCGAGTTAGCCACTCATGCTGATCCTCTTTAACATGAGACTTCAAGAGATTACTCATCTCCTCAAGACTACAAACCTCAACTTCTTTATCCTTCTGCCCCAGTAATCTTTTGTAGAAAGTCTCAGCAATACCACACATACCATCAGTATCTGTTATTCGAACTCCTTCATCATTGATAAGAGATCGAATGGTGTTTATTTTGTTTCTTATTTTAACTGATCTGTGGAAATACCCAGAATTTGAATCCCCAACTTTCAACCATATTTCCCTAGACTTCTGCCTTAGAAAGGATTCCTCAGCATCTCTCAAATTCTTTACTTCTACAGCAAGTCTAGCCTCTTCTTGAAAAGAGACATTTGAAGGACTTTGAAGAGCATTTGCCTGAGCTCCTGACCACTCCTGTTCCTTCAGCATAACCCTGTGATGAAGATATGAATACTCCTGTCTATTCAACTGCTTCAGCAACCCTTTCAAAACCTTCAATTTCTTATTGACTCTCACCATAGGAGAGCCCTCCACTTCAGAATTCCAGGCTTCCTCACAATCTCCCAATATTTCTCATTCTGCATCCAAAACTTGAAAAACTTAAACGACTTAGGCAAAGACTTAATCAGACTATCAGTGATCATATACACAGGACAATGATCAGAAACCATAGGCTCCAATATATCCACTGTGCTGGAGCCAAAAACATCAAGCCATTTACAATTTATAAAAGCCCTATCCAGTCTCCTTGCTATTGGATTACCAGCTTGCTTATTAATCCAAGTAAACCAAGGCCCCGATGATTTATGCTCAATCAGCTCATTATCATACTGCCATTTCCTGAAATCTACCATACTTGCACTAACTCCAGGAGTATTTGATGCTTCACTGACATCTTCTATTGCATTAAAATCTCCCACAATAAGCCAAGGCTTAGATTGAACTTGCAGTACCCCTACATCACTATACAAGAATCCTCCTCTCATATTCCTCATTCGAGGCATAGACCACAGTAAGAAAGAAAGGCATCCCCGAACAAACCATAACATGTATAAATTGATCAGAGCTATGAAGAATCCTCAACTGAACATCAGACCTCCATACCAGCCCTATCTTACTCAGACCTGATGCAATGCCAACCACCTTTTTATTCCATCCCTGAAAACGCTTATTGGTAAGTTCCTCAGCTTTGTCAACTTTTACCCTTGGTTCAAGTAAAGCTACTATATCTATACTATGCTTATTAACTAAAAGCTGTACAGTTTTATTCTTATTCGGGTCCTTAAATCCCTGGGTATTCCAAGACAGCACCTTCATTTGCGCTTACCCCCCTACCCCCTCTCTTAGGAAGCTGGGAGTCAGGAGGAACAGATGGAGATTGCTCTTCCTGAGAATTTGAACAGCTAGCCACAGGAGAAGACAGGTGTATTTCCCTTCCCTACATCCACAAATTTAGCAACCTGCTCCCCCCCCCCCCCCAGCAACCCCAACAGAAGTTACTAAACCAGAACCAGAATCCTGAACCTTCTCCACAAAATCCCCTGAACCAGAAACTTGGCCTTCTTCAACAATGCCCCCTGAACCAGATAAAAATACTTGTGCCACTGCACTGCCAACATCTACATTAACAACCACTTGCTCAACACCAACCTTCTCCTTTCCTTTGTTTAGAGTTGCAACCACAATTTGCGAGTCTACATCGTGCTTATCCTGCACTACCGAGACCTGAGATTTAGGAACCCACTTCTTCACCACAGTCTCCCCTCTGTTACATTCATGACCATAAACCTCACACTTAGAACAAACCATAGGCTTATTAAGATATTCTACCTCAATATCAAAAGCCGGATCATCATCAGGATACAACCGAATTTTTGTTTGAAAGCCACAATCCGCAGCAAGATTAACACACACCTTTGCGAACTCAAGCTGATGACCCTTACGAGTTGTTTGATCCATCCAAACCGGTGGACCAATAGTACTGGCAACCCACTCAAGCCCCTCCAGTGTATGATACTCCAACGGGATTCCCCAAATTCGTACCCATATCGGCAAAATCTCGATCACAGGAGCGACCGGCTCAATTCCTGGAGCCCATTTCCTGAAGAAAATTTGATTCCCGTGATAATGCCATGGCCCCGATTTAAAATCCCATTGGCTTGTCGCAGCCGAAGGAAACTGAAAAACAAGCAGACAAGGACCAAATCGCGATACCACCACCGGTCCATCTCTTCCCCAAAGACCATTTGCCCACTGTTGAAGAAGCCCTAACTTAGGAAGAGCCCCTACAAACTGCCCGATCAGACAGTCCTTCCACCGTTCTTCTCCCCTCTTCTTCACTTCACGAGGTAAACGATAGCCAACATTAATCTTCTCCGGAGGACGAAATCGCATCCTATTTGCAGGCGCGACATCCAACAAAGAAGCCCACGTTACTGCCTCTCCAATCGGAGCTGTGGTCGACGGAGAGGCCGCCATGGCGGCGAAAAACCCTACCAGAACCCTTTTAGCGTTTAGGTCTCTTTCATTAATAATAGTTAGTATATTTAAATGTGTTATTGAATGGCCGAATAACACTTTTTTTAAGAATAATTTCATTCATTCAAGCCCAAAGGAGGCAGAGTAGCTACAGCATGCTGGAAATTACAACCAAAATAGAAAGCCAACTGACATGAAGGGTATCCTATCTACAGTTGCGAGCGGCCCAATCAGCTTCTTTGTTGTTCTCTCTACTAGTGAAGGAGATATGGATCCAAGGAGATCTGCAAAGGATGTTAGTGATTGAAGAGAGAGCAGTATAACAACGCCATGGCTAAGATGCAGGGCTGTTGTGAATGGAATTCACCAATGTCTTGTTGACTGAACATATCGACGAGGGAACACGGTCACTGGTTGCAATAAGGCATGCTTCAAGAATGATTGTAGCTTCCGCTTCAATTGGGGAAGAGCAAATGATCCTTCCAACCTTCACATCGCAAATCTGTCCGTTGGAGTCGGTAATAACCACTCCAAAAGCCGCCCTATGTGAATCACTTTTGTAGGATCCGTCACAGTGATCTGTCGAAGATTGCTAGGCGGTGGACATGATTGAGATGGGAGAACCCGAGGCTGAGGAGAAGGGAAGGGATGGTGCGGTGTGTAATGGGGTTCTGTCGCTTCCCGGAAGGCACATATTGAAGTATTTGTTGGGGACAAAGTTGTTCCTCGAAAAATACTCTCGTTACGGGCCTTTCAAATGCAGAGTAGCTACAACATGTTGGAAATTACAACCATAACAGAAAGCCAACTGGCATGAAGGGTATCTTGTCTACAGTTGCGAGTGACCCAATCAGCTTCTTTGTTGTTCTCTCTACTAGTGAAGGAGATATGGATCCAAGGAGATATGCAAACGATGTTGGTGATAGAAGAGAGAGCAGCATAACAACGCCATTGTCAAGATGCATGGCTGTTGTGAATGACATCCACCAATGTCTTGCAGTCTGAACGGATCGACGAGGGAACACGGTCACTGGTTGCAATAAGACATGCTTCAAGAATGGTTGTAGCTTTCGCTTTAATTAGGGAAGAGCAAATGATCCTTCCAGCCTTACCATCGCAAATCTGTCCGTTTGAGTCGGTAATAACCACTCCAAAAACCGCCCTGTGCGAATCACTTTTGTAGGAGTCGTCACAGTGAAATTTTAAAAGATTGCTAAGTGGTGGACATGATTGAGATTTGAGATGGGAGAAATGAGGCTGAGGAGAAGGGAAGGGATGGTGCGGTGTGTAATGAGTTCTGCTGCTTCCCGGAAGACACATATCAAAGTATTTGTTGGGGACAAAGTTGTTCCTTGAAAAATACTCTCGTTATGAGGCCGAATAACTCATTTGCCAAAAAAAATACTCATTTTGTTCCATCAGTCAATTTCTATCACACACTTTTGAAATATACCACTCCCTATTTTTTCAAAATTCCATCATACTTTCTAACTTTCTTTTTCTTATAAATTTCAAATGGGAGTTATTTAATTTCTAATACCCATATAAATATATCATACGTTTAATAATATTTCCCCTTTAATAATTAAATACCCGTATTATAATTTTTAAGGCCCTTGATTTATCTTTTATTGTCCTCTTATTATTATTTGATAATTAAATACCCTATGTGAGGCATTTTTTATTTTTATTTTTCTTTTCATGACTATTGTAATATTATTAAACACACTATTAATTTGAACACAAAGTGAAATACACGTACACATATTTTGCATAACTTATTCGCATAATATATTACGGTGTAAAAGTTCGGACTTTGTTATGCTGATTTTCTATAAACTCCAAGTAAGTTCTGTCAAGCAAATTTATGCTTTTGATGAACAAAAAGATAAAAAAATATGGTTAAGTGCACAAAAAAGATCGAATCGAACCACAAAAAAGTTCATTCTTTGCTCTAGTCGACAATCATCTGCCATATAAAATATGGAATTACAAATTTTTGCAGGAGTAAACATTTTCCTTTGAATTGGTAGACTCTAAGAGCTAGGAACGTGGTTGATCGTTATAAGTCACACATAGCATATCAAGTATTGTAATTATACTGATCATACAAATCGACCAACCAATCAAACTGAAGTTGTCCGTCAAACTCCAAATAAAATTTATTTGGAGTTTTGACCAAGTCACCATAAGCATAGAATTAGGATTAATTAATACTCTATGTTTATGGGTTGGCTGACGGTGAAATATGTTAACGGTAATTAGTATGGTTGTTTGTGTAATTAATAAAGTAAACAACAAACTAGTAAGAGCATTATCAAAGGTAAAATGGTAAAAACACGAAGAATGGTACAATCCACGAATGTAAAATATTTCTAAACCACAGTCTGCATTTCCAAATGACTTGTTCTAGAAACTAACAATGTAAATGACTCCTCAAAATTCCAGAGGTCAAATATTTTTTCTATTAAAATAATAATAGGTTATGATGGAAGTCAACCTTTGTACCATATACAATTTTTTTTTATATAATTTCAATATTAAAACACGACATATTTCCATCAAATCCCGATTCCTTAAACTCAAGACCCGAAAAGCGATTCTCGTCAACATTGATCTCCCGCGAAAGTTTTCCTGTCCTGGGCGAACAAGACGCAGTACCCACATTGTGGAAATGCCATCACTTGCAGAAAGGATACCCTAGCCTGCTAATTGGCATCCACCATATCCTGCAGATTACAATGTGTTAGCCTATGAACTACCTTTTCATTCCCAAACGGCAATACCATATATAGTTGCTAGAGATTCCATCGGCCAAACAAAGCATCATGGGCACATGATCGATAAGGGGCCTAATTGCGATTCCTTTTTTGTGCCTTTGATTCTCCAATTTGATGAAAAGAAGAGGAAGAAAGATCATCACCAACCAAATCATCATCATCATAATAGAGGAAGGAATCATTCTATTTTAATAACAAACCTACTAATTTTATGTGTTGTATCTCCATGATATGTGTGTAAGTGGGAATTCATATTAGTGTAATTGGCAAAACCCTCCCACCACCATCTCCATAACAAGCAATATTTTCAAGCAAAGAACTCCATATCCAATCATAAAGAAAAGCTAGAATATTCATGCTCTAGAAAAGGAATTGAAAGAACTCCATTTTCAAGTAAAGTAAGGAGGGGAATCCCATAAAAAAAAAATTAGATTAATGAGGGGGAGTATGCTAAAGTGATAGATTATGATCTTCTTTCAAAGGGAAAGTTCATAGATGGTATTGAACTAGAGCAGTAAGTAAAGTGAATAGTTATATATCATCCCTAAGACAATTAAGTTTCTTTTGGATATCTAAGATATATCAAGTCTCAAATTAGATTCTCTAGTCGTTAATTTTTAAATTTTATTTGCCCATATCTGGTTAATATGATGATATTGTGTAAAGTTACAACCTTTTCATCTGTTTCTCTCATAACTCATAAGTATGTTCTTATAATCGTCATTATTTGTATCAAATATAATTTTCATAAATATATTAAACAATAACCAAATCATAAATGATTTTCTGTAAATTCTCTTTTTTTTTTTGTTAATTGTAATTATACCATTACATAATGTCAGAACTTCGAGACGAATAAAATAATATGAAATAACTATTGTGAAACTTGTTGTATTCTAGACCTCAAAAAATAGAGCTGCGCCTATACTCACCCCATCCTCCTATTACCATTAGTTTGAAGCATTTAGCTTAGGGGTGTTCTTTTCCTTTCTTTGGTAGAGGTATTTCTTTTCCAAATAATTACAAAAAGGAGTAATTCTTATACATATAAGTAAAGTTAACTTTCCAGCTGTTAAACACACATTTAACAGCTAAGTTATTTTTCTATGCTAAAAAACAGAGTTCACAAAACTCTATTAGCCTCATTTCTATATAAATATGAGTGACTGGGACCGTCCAATTACTTCGCATGTGTGTACGAAAGGCGGGGTTGCTCGAAATCCTGTAAAATTAAGCGCCAACGTTGTCTTCAAAATAAGATAAAAATCGGCTTATCTTTGACGTGTTTTTTGTGTACGTGTTACTAACTCCAAACACTTGAGTAGTGTGTGGTCCATAACTCAGACACAAACGATTTTGTTCGCGCGACCGGACCGGACTATTGCATACCCCTATTAGCGTCCAAGCATCCCGTCTGCAACGGTTAATCATAATTAATGATGACAATGGTACTTAGTGAGTTAGTGAACGAACGGGCCGGTTGTTGCTTGGGGATAAAGAAAACGCGTCATTTTTATCCTTTTAGCTTTACGAAGGCTATATGAACGAAAAAGAGAGATCTAAAGCGAAACCATACCCAAGCATGCTGCTGAAATTATATGAATTCATGTATTGCTTTACAGAACATGCTTCCCGCGGCAAGGATAAATAATTAAGTCGAGGAATTGGTAAGTGTGAATTAGTATAACATAATCAACTTCAGGTTCCAATGGGGTTTGTTTTGATGGTTCGCCGGACTTCGAAAAAACTTGAGGATTTGTGTGTCTTCTTCCCCGCTCACTGATGTGATTGTGGTTATGGTCGTAGGTAGTGGCGTAGCCAAGATTTTATTCAAGGGGGTGTCATAAAAAAAATTATATATGTGGTCTCGTGTTTTATATTGAGAAATTATTCTATTACTATATGAATTGGCCAAACTATCAAGATTTCACACTTAATATAACCCACCGAATAACCATGCACAATTTGGTTTACTAGATGCGAAGGCCGATCAATCGTTTCATAGCATAAAATGTTATCAACTTGTGCATTGACAGATGATAATAGCAAATCAAGTCTATTTTACTCGGTAGAATATTTGACGATTGACATTGAAATTTAAAATTTAAATATCATCAATAACTAACTAATACTACTAATATTTTGTGTTTTCTCCAAATCTAAGAGGGGTTTATTATACTCTAGCTACGCCCCTGGTTCGTAGGTAAAAAAAGGAGAAAAACCCAAGATTCGCCTTGTAAATTAGTTTTCATTGTCTGTCTATCTATGTTCATAGCTAGCCTTTGTCTCCAGCCAATACAATGTAGAAGCATGACTTTTATTTTGAACTTAATCAAGGGAGTATATATGACATAGTTGATTTCGGATTAATGAGGCTGAGACGTTCTCTTAACGATCAAACATTAAAAGTTTATCTTGTGAAACGTTTCAGTGTGTCGGTAACAATTACAGTATGTGGGCCGGGTAGGATTGTGTTGAATGTGTTGAAAATGAGGTATAAGCTCGATTTTGTTGATGGATCTTAACCCAACCCAACTCGAACCGACCCAAATTTGCATATGTGTGATGGTTGTAATAACGTAGTCCTTACCTGGATTTTGAACTCGTTGCATAGGGATGTCAAACGTGCAGTCATGCGCCATGAAAATGCAAAAAAAGGTTTTGTGGGATGAACTCATATAGTCAGATTCAGACAACTGAATTCAAATCGGATAACTAGGCTTGGAATGTGAAATTCACCAAGTGATAGCTAGCAAGGTTAGATATAGTTATGACCGTAACGACAGTTCTGTAAGGAGGAGGGTTACGGTGCTAATTGTACAATAGTTAGCACAGTTCTAACCAAAGGAAAAACTACTACTAGTTTGAATTAGTAGTGATTTAGCTTAGATGTTGTATTGATTTTATAATAATCCGTAGTGATTTTTGCTAGTTATCACGGTGCTATCACCTAATCCCATCCCTTCTGTAAGTCATTTTCTCAAGCACGATATGGAACTACATAAGTTTGTTGGTTCAGTTTCTCAAGCAAGTTCAAAGTGGAAGTGAAAGCACAAACAAAATCTAGTTATGACCGTAACGACAGTTCTATAAGTCATTCTCCTCTTGATTTCACTCCTGAAGAGATGCACAATGTTAGATATATGATGCGGGTTAGTGCTAATGTGCCCCTACCCACCAACAACACACTCACACAACCTCCAAATTCACCTTCTATTCGCCTTTATCTCCTAATATTTACCTCTGTCTCCCAACTTTTGAGGTAAACATGTATTGTCTTCCTTGTCCACCGTCGACAGTAACCATCTAGTGAATTTTTTGGATCTTAGACATATGTGCATCAAACCACATAACTTGTTCTCTTTCACTCTATGTTGATTGAAAGGAAGTTCACAATACTTTTTTCATCTTCCAAACTCAACCAAGGTCTAACCTAACTCTCACACATATATAGGGATTGTCAAGATACCTTTAGGACTCTTTTTGTACAATGTGCTTCTCGTTCCTACCTTCTCCCTTCAATCTAGTCGCAGTTAATCGTTTCAGACGTGATTTTTCTTAAGCCTTACACTTTCATTATGACCTTTGTCAAAACTCACGACTTTCTAAACATGACGATAATCAGTGTACGTAGTAAGAGAAACTAAGGAGTCGTTTGGAAGTTGCGATAGTTTTGTTGATATTGTCATTATGCATGTATTGTTTACAATGCATCGTTTTTTTGTTTTTTTTAGCAGAAACAATACATGGATTGTTTCTGTGATGTGACAGAAACTATCACTCATTTTGTGTGATTGTTATATCTCAACTTTTAGTTGTGATTGTTGAGATAGTTGAGTTGAGATTGTTTTGTCTCAGCTTTTAGCTGATGCGACATACACAATCACACATACCAAACATTGTATTCTACAATGCATCAAATTCAACAATGCATGTATAATATTATACATGCATTCTCAACAATACATCTATTTAACAATCGCAACTTCCAAACAACCCCTAAGAGTATTTATCAACTTATCTTTCTCAATCAGTCACGGTCAACTTGATTCGACTACATCAAAAGTCGTAACTCAAGTACTATCCAATAATTAAATTCCATTTGTATAGTTGGATAGGGCAATATGTATATTTGCTGAATTGGATATGGCCGACGAACATCGAACCAAAAGCTGTAATCGAAAGAGACGTCCCTCTTAATTTGCGGTGGTACCGCCCACCAGAATGTGCATGGTTGCATGCAAAGAGCACGTGAAGTAGGCGATGTATATGTGACATTGGAGGGTTCACCACTTCACCCCAAGGCCCGTTGGGACCTGTGCACGCCCACACGCCCATCTATACCGCCAATACACATACACATATATGCCGGAAGTTTGTTACCGACATTTGAGATATACCGAATATCGATATTTGCTATTATCGAATATACGTATTATTTTATTAGAATTGCGATTGAATTTCAATTGTGTTTCGTATATTTTGAGAAGGGCTTGTGGAGATATTGGTAGAGGAGACGTAGTATTTGCATTCGTATATCTGATATTTAATTTTGAAGGGAATTAATTTGGTATCTAGTATATTTCGATACCGAACAAAATATTAGGGATTGTGATAGCGAATTTATTTTGGGATTGAGGTTGAAAATAAGATTGATTTTAGAACACTATTTATTATTTGGGATTTCGATATATGATACTGTGATATCGATTTCTCCTGCATGGAGAGATAGCTAGTATGTATCTATAAGTTCGTTGTTCTTAGCATAGCTAGGTTTTCCCACCATGCCCTCTTGGACCACTGAAATCAAAATGCACAAGTTGAGACGATTCATATCCACCTCACCCATTTTATTTTCCCTCGATGTTAGATCGATGTTGGATTTGGTTAGTGGTTATATATAAGAAGACAGGTTTCAAAGATATCCAAGTGGTTTGGATTCATATGATCTTACCATGGATTTGGTCAAGGGTGGATTTCAAAATTTATCATAACATTGAGGATTTTGAAAATCTCTAGGATTCATAACCAAGTTAGTAATCCAACAGTGATCCATATCTTAAATACTATCATCCAATGACTGCCCCATGAAATGTATCTATTCATATGCAATGTATACAATCCGAATGTTCAATGCATGGTTTAAGAATTCTTACAGTGCCGGTCGGTCAGACCGAAAATATAAGATACCGTACCCCAAATCAGGGACGGACCCAGGGGGTTTTAGGGGTGTCCACTACAAGAAAAATGGCTTTTTGCAACCAAAAAATTGGTTCCTAAAGGTCAAAAATTGGTTATAAATAGCTTTTTACGACTAAAATATTTTGGTAGCAGCATTGGTCGCTATAGCCGCGTTACTAATTCCTAGCGCAACCAAAATGTGGATTGGTAGCAAAAAAGAAAGCTTTCGCAACCAAATTCGCCAATGGTAAAAAACCCTTACTTTTTCGCGACCATTTTAATTTGGTTGTCATAGTTCAACTTAATGGTTGGGAAATATAATTGATTGGTCGCGAAAAATAAAAATGACAACCAATTTGATGTGGCTATTAGTAACCTATTTTTTTGGTCGCAAATAGAATTTATGTACGTTTTATAGGTGACCATTCAATTTGGTTGGGAAATTAACATATGTCAACCAATTATATCATTACAACAACCAATTGTTTAAGTTACGAAAATTTAACACAACCATGAAATTTGATCGTGAAAAACACATATCCCGACCAATTATATTATTTTAGACGACTAATTATATTTGTTATAAAAGTTTAACACAACCATAACAATTGGTCGTGAAAAACACATATCTCAACCAATTAAACCATTTTGGTGACCAATGGAATTGGTTATGAAAGTTTAACGCAACCTTAAAAATTGGTTGTCAAAAATACATATGTCGACCACTCATATCATTTTTGGCAACTAATCATTATAGTTATTGAATTGTTATGCAACCATAAAATTTGGTCGTTAAAAATCCATATGACGACCAATCATATTATTTTAGGTAACTAATTTTATTAGTTCTAAAAATTTAACACAACCATAATAATTGGTCGTAAAATATATGAATGGTGACCAACCATACCCTTTACGACTAATTCTTATGGTTATAAAAGTTAAATGCTACCATAAGAATTGGTTGCGGAAAATACATACGCCGACCAAAAAATTCATTTCATATGACCAATTTGGTAGATGAGATTTGGGTCACTAAAATAAAAATATTAAAATTTAATAGAATTATAATAAAAAATTATTTCATATAACAAAATTGTTTACCAACTAAAATTATAGTTCACAATTTATTGTTTAGTAACCAAAATCACAATTACACCAAATTATCACTAAGAATCGGCCTACTATTTCAAAAAATAAAAAGAGGACCTAAAAGACACACTAACTACTTCACGTATCTTTGATTTGCCATTCCACCTTTGGAACACTTGATATGCAGAGGGGAGAATAAAAACATAACAAACAACATTAATACATATGCTAGAACTTCAAAATTCAAAAGCTTCTTCACCAATGACATAAAATGGGAACTAACCTGTGACTTGGCAAATCTGACATCCGGGCAAGAAAGCAGTCCAGCAATGTCATGCTCCATATATTCAAACACTAGGTATATGCTGCAGGGTAGATGAGAAGTAAACAAGAGTCAAAACGAACCTTCTTCAAAGCAACAGTCCTCCCAGTTTCAAGCTCTTTGGAACCACAATTTCATTCCCCCATATCTTTACAATAATCTGGTTTCCTAACCCTAGATTATCAGCCTGAAAGACCTAGATTCTTTAAGAGCTAACAACCTTCAACAAAACTACCTTAGATAGCATACAAATAAGCAGATACCCTATCAATATGAAACGAGGAGCTAGAATACCTGAGCTCGGACGAAGCCATAGAGGGCATAAACGTAGAACTGCCTTGGAGGACTGTTGCTTCCTGCAACTTTGGCTAGCTTGCCTTTGTACTCCTTGAGCAGCTGCTGAGGCAAAGTTCAAGTACTAATTAGTAACTTGATAATACAAATTTACATTACGAAAAGGAATCAAAACCAGAACCCACGGAAGGCAAAGTTTCCTCCAACAGAGACCAAAATCAATTGCACAACCTAGGGTCTTGCTCTGTGCATTCCTTAACCCTAATCATCGCCGGCTTCGGATGGCCCAACCGGGGATTTGTTTTCAACCAAATACTATTTATAAAATTATCAAGATTTATTATCTAGAAAAAGAAGTAAAAAGGGAAAAGGAATCGAATCCTTTAATCTTCTGGTTGGTTCAAGACTTTCATTGAACAAAACCATTTTCGACAATCACAAATCCATGGGTCTCACCAAGTAAATAGCATACCAATCCGAGGAAAAACAAATCCATTACTCACCTGTTAGAGTCACCTCCACATGCAGAGATGTTGCTGCCGATACTAATCAGTGGAATTACAGATTTCTAAGTTCCCATGCTTCATGATTGATCATCTCGGTTCATGATTCACCATTAAATCATGAAGCTCCTCTTGAGATCCTACTGCTTTTACTACAAAACAGATACACAAATAAACCAAAATCAGTAGGCTCCCATGTTTATGCTCCACCAACAGGATGACAATCACATTCATGAAAACAATACCATTTTACTAACATAAGGTAATAACCAGCTAACTTAGGTTGACTACTGCCTGAGAATCTTTTTCAAGACAATATATAAGCAGCTAACTTAGGGTATCTTTCGCCAATTGTACCGCCTTTCTGTTTCTGGAACTGAATGTAACGTAGTGTGCTGGCAAGGAAAGCCTCGGCAGCAGGGTCTGGTGCACTAGAACTGGAGTCATTTTGCTGCATCTCAGTAGTGATCAGTTCAAATAAAAAGAAAGTTTCATGGCACACTTTTAATGGCCAGAGGGAGAAACTAGTAAGACTTCCCATAACAAGACTCTCTAGCCAACGCGGAGGGAGAAACTAGCCAGCTATCGTATAGATGATAGCTAAAGGATGTGCCTTTGACTTGAGCATTAATTGATTGGACAACCAAACCCCAGAGAGATCAAACAACATACCTACTTGTTCCCTGAAAGGATCCGACAAGAATGAAAGAAAGGATAAAGAAGCATGTCCAGATAATCAGATAACACTCCAAGAGCGTATCTCAGCCAGAAATATATTCTTCACAAGCAATGGAGCGTATCTCAGCCCTTGCTCTAGAGAAGCTGCCTGCAAAACAGAGATAAAAAAGAAGATGAAGGTAAAAAAAAAACATTAGTCGTTGTATACTGTAAGGCATAGAAAAGTTTGAGAACAAATTGTCATGATGGTGTATGCAAGGAGACTCTCAAAACAGCTCCCTTTCATCGAATAGATAATCCGATGACACATATAAAAAATCCAAACAAAAAAAAAACTATAGGGGAAAACACAAATGCAAATCCACAGAAGCATGAATATGAAGACCCCTTCCACAGAAGCAAATCCAAGAGAACATCCAAAACACAGAAGCAACTGAAGGAACCAGGAAGGGTTAGAAACTCACATTGAACGTGGGCGACGATGAGGCTGTGGTGTCTGAAATGGAGCTGTTGCCAGTGGGAGCTCCCACTGCCATAAGGGTGCTGTGATGATGAAGTGGTACTGTTGTAAGTACTCCAGGTTTAACATCAGTAGGTCCATGTAATGTAAGTACTCCAGGTTTAACTTTCCGAAACAATAACATAATCATATAACCATGTAAACTTAAAATGGATGTACTCGAGCAACCTTGTAAATCCATGACAACAACTAATGAATGCATAACTATGGTGACTATAAATTGGTAATCCAATGGCAAAAACCTTATAAAACTACAAAGTTCCCCATTGAGTGTTTAATCTTCTATTAGTAGTCATTAATTTTTAATACCCATGGACTAAAAGAACCTGCTAAACCCATGGCAGTGGCATGGAAACTTCAGTCTTTTGTTGCAGGCAGTGGCATTGCAGCTTCTATGGCACTCCTGCTCCTTCCCCATGAATCCTTGCTTAGGAACCGTACCTTTGTTTCCAGATTTCCCCTGAACACGAACTGAAGAAAGGTTTTGTTTCAAGCATATGGAATGATGTGTTTAAAGATTCTGTTCACCTAGTGCTACAATCAAGAACTAACACCAAGGTCTGACCATCCAGAGCAAAGAACGAAGAAGTTAAGCTCTAGCAAATTAGAAAAACCTAACCTAATCTCTAGGGCGTCGGATGAAGCACTCGACGGCTCCTCGAACTTTATTCAGGAAAAACCACAACGAACAATCACACCGAAGCATAACGACGATCAGTTCTAGTAAGAATTAGAATATTGACCTCAATCGATAACTGATCGGTTCTTACCCGACGCACGGACCAAGGGCGAGATCGGAGAGACGAAGGAGAAAGCATCGGTTCCTTCGGCGGCAGCACTACTCGCGATCAAAATCACAGCAACGCTGGCGAGGGATTGGAGCAGCGCTCGTGCTCTAGGCTGGCGTATGTGCCTTCTCCTCTTCCTCGGCCGTCGTCGACACCGACACAATCGGCGGCAATCGAACTCAAAGCGGAGTAGTCTCGACGACGATGGGGAATTCACAGACGCTGGCGAGAGATTCGATCCGGAATCGTCTAGAAAACAAATCGGATGCGGATCGAATTTGACCGAGCTCAAAAGTGAAAAGAGGATTCAACCGAATTTCAAACTAGTTCAGCTTAGATAGAAATTATAAATAGGCTAGGATCTGTTACCTTCTGAGAATCGACAGGGAGGGAGGAATTATCGAACGAAGCAGGCGAACTCTTTACTTGCTTTTAAAATCGTGATTCCTCTGCAGACTGGAGTAGCCGGACCTCAAAGAAGCAAATAGGAATCCGATAAAGACGAGACGGGAGAAGAGGAGAAGTTGGAGTCAGAACCGAAATCGACATGAGGAGACGGAAGAAGAAGAGGAGGAGGAGAACTCAGATGGAATCAAATGGAATCGACTAGTCGAAAACCTCGTCTCTTAGCAGACCACTTGAATGGCAGCTAATGAACGACAAAAATTGTTTTCCATAATTACTATTTCATTCACTAAGTTTTAATAATTTCAGATATAGTACCTACATTTTTATAGAACACTTTGATAAATTGACAACCAAATAATTTAGTTGCTGAATTTTTCATTGGATTTGCAACCAAATTTTTTAGTTATCTAAGATTTTCAAATCTCTTGCTTAAATTCATAACCAATAATATTTGGTTGGAGAAAGTAAAAATCAATATGCTACCAAATTATTTGGTTGGAAAAACTAAAAATAATTTTGCTACCAAAATTTTTTGGTTGGAAAAGGTAAAAATCATTTTGCTACCAAATTATTTGGTCTCTTCAAGTTTTATTTGGTTATCAATACTTTGACTTTAATAGACAACCAAATTTTTAATATTTAACTACCAAAATATAATTGGTTGTAAATACTACCCTTTTCACAACCAATTTTAGTTTGGTTGTAAAAATTTTGGTTGCAAAAGCTAGTTTTTGTTGTAGTGGTCCCCGGACACCCCTAAATTTCGGGAAAATGATTATCCAACCCCCGGTGGTAATTTACGTATAGACAAAAAAAATATAATTGATAGTGAGGGACACCCCTGAAATTTGAAAAAATGATTATCCTACTGTCATTTGTGTATAAAAATATAAATGGTAGGTTGGGTAATTCAAATCTAGAACACTATTATTATTAATAAACTTAATTTCCGTTGAGCTACAACTCATTTGGTGTTCGATTTTGAACAATGTGTAATAGTAAAAAGACATTCCCTATCTCTAATTATTTCAATCTAAACTAATTTCAATCTGCCCTTAATTTGTATTGATTTTATGATTGTACGGCAAGTGTTGAAGAGTCTTTCAGCTTTGGGTTACATCAAGAACAAGTTTACAAATCGAATATGCGATAAGTTCTTGAATGATTGTCTAGTAGGGTATATAGAGAATTTTTTTAACACTATAAACACCAAGTGTATTCTACAATTATTTTCGAATATGAAAACACATCATGGACTTTTTTAACCTGTACGAGTAATGTATTTTTATATTTACGATTTTATTTTTATTAATTATTTTTTAAAAGAGGACACCCCTATCTGGGTCCGCCACTGCCCCAAACAGTAGACAATTTTAGTGGTACAAATTGGTTGAACCACGATTTTATTACAATATATTATATCACTAACTTTTCCGGTATAATTTCTAGTATTGTTTCACAATCATTGGTTCAATCTTCCATACCGCCAGACAATAATTTAGGAATGATGTTCTTTCTAGAGTCATAACGAATTTTGATTCTCGTGATCCTCTCTTTCGAAATCCAATTTAAAGTTGGGAAATTAAGCATACATTATCATGATCGATGTTGTGGTGAATGTGGTGGGATTTGATTAGCGGATTAAAATGACACATTTTGTAAGCTTGAAAACTTTTTAATAAGTATACTTCTAAACCATACATAAAAGTATCAATCATCGTAAATATTATAAATAAACTAATTATTATAAATGATAAAACCGTCGAACGAGTATAAACTTAGTTCATGCTTTAAATTCTTTTATTTATTCAAAGAAATCAAAATACTTAATCAGCTTCATCTTAGCTCAGTTATTTGTCCCGACCTTACAAATTTATTAACACATCCAAAGATAGTGAAATAAACATGTATATCAAACTCAATCTTGTCTTATGATTGTTGAATACAATCATGCCAGATTAACAAGAGATTTGAGATTTAGCGATTACCAGACTAAAACTTTCGAGAAACTGTCACTTTATAGTTTGCACAAAAGTATTGTTGCTTCATGTTAGTTCTAAAGATTATCCTTCATTTATACGTTAAAATAAAATAAAATAATTAAAATAATCAAAATGTAAAAATCAAAGTATCAAGCAACAAAGAACACTTAATGGAGATTTAGTGTGCTAGCTAACCATGGTGGGAAAGTCCTCTAATTTTCAGAATTGTGCTTCCTATAAGTTCTTAATTAGGAAAATACAATAAATTTGTTTAGTGTAATTGATAATTATTTTTGTTTTTGTTTTGAGAGGCTGTGGTTCAAATTTCAACAGTAATGACGAATGTAACCTTCACATTTTCGCTCTCGTTACAAGGAATTTGAAATTGAAGAAGGAGATAGTTGAATCCCCATTATATATATCTTAGACAAAGAAATATAATTGTAATGACAAATGTACCATTTTTACTTGCGCTCTTATTGGAAAAAAAAAAAATTGAATGGACAAAATGAGATTGTTGAATCCACGTTATATATGAGATAACTATATATACACTATAAGCAAGAACCCCATATCCTTTTGAAATGAACTGATAATCAAAGGGTTAATACCTTATTTTGGTCTGAACTATGACTATATAATCAACTTTGACTCATGGTTTCAGAAATTAACATCATGACCTCAACTATGTAACAAATAGACTCAATAGGTCTGACACATAGTTTGACCGTCAATTTGGATGGTCAACACCATTGAGCGTTAGTCAACACGCCATGTCATTGCCTCGTCACCTTAAAAATCATTAAAAAATTCAAATTCAAATTATTTTCTAATTTTTATTATTTATTATAAATTTAACCAAAAATAAATTATAAAAAACATAAAATAAAATAAAACTATTATTTTTTGTGTAATTTGAAAATATAAATTTTATAAATTAACCAAAAATTATCAAATTATTTAATATTTTTAACATTACCCAAAAATAAAATATATAATTTGTATCATATTATTTAAATTTATAAAATTTATCATTTTCAAATATCCCAAAAAATAATATATATAAATTTATTTTATATTTTATATTTTATATTTTTGCATAATTTGAAAATGATAAATAATAGAAATTAGGAAAATAATTTAAATATGACTTTTTTTAATGATTTTTAGGATGACATGGCAATGACATGGCGTGTTGTCTAATGGTCAACGGTGTTGACCACCCAAATTGACGGTCAAACCATGTGTCGGGCCAATTGAGTCTATATGCTGCATAGTTGAAGCCAGAATGTTAATTTCTGAAACCACGTGCCAAAGTTGATTATGTGGTTATAGTTCGGGTCAAAATAAGATATTAACTTTAATCAAAATAACGAATATATACATAACATAATTGAATAACATAACATAAACCCAACTAAGTAATTGGAAGGCAGAGGGAAAAGAAATCGCAAACAGTGCAGAATAACCTGAAAAACTTAATACTTTTATCGGCTGTCACCTCTATTAAGCAAAAAGATTGTTGATTATTCTAAAAAAAAAAATTTGTTGATTAAAGAAGTTGGTTTTCACATAATCTCTCATACTTGACTATGGAATCTTTGGTTTGACCAGCCGATACCACCATTTGGTGTTCATTTTTAATAACAAATCGTGAAATTAATCTATTGGCTCGCCCTTAATAATTGGAACCAATAAATGTTCAACAAATGTAAATTATTTGGTCGTTTCCATTATGTGGTTTTCATCATGTGCTCAATGTACATTTTCTTTTTGTTTTGGTTAATGCTCAACAAATATCAAATGCATTTGATGCCACAAATACAACAAATCTTAGTCTTAGTGAGCAAGGCAATCATTTAAGTTGGCCTCATTGTTTGACAAGTGTGCCATCTTCGAGTTAGCTGGCTACTCCCTATAATTTCTTTTCAAATGAATCAGTTTTTCCTCATCGAGTTTGAACATAATTTTTGTGGTATACATGCCTAAATCAAAGGATTTCAGCCATATTATTCTCTCATCTTTCACTGAAAAACATAGTACTTAACCATAAGAGAATATATAAATGGATTCATTTAGGTGCTCAAGACTAAAAAACGAAAATGTTAAAGTTAGATTTTATATCATTCACATGCGAGTGAGAAGCTGATCGCTATATGTATTCCAATTTGGTTTAAGATGTAGAGTATCTTGTAGATAAACATGGTGTCAAACACTAATGTTTGATTTTGTTGCTTTTCTATTGAAATTTTTCATAACTAACCGGGGTCCGAAGAGATGTCAATCTATTAACCTAGCTAATTAAGCTATCCAAAAGGAATCATCCAATGTGGCTTTTGCATGGTAGCAAATATCCACATTTGATAATTGTGATAGAGGTTTGAATCATGGTGGAGCGGAAGTAGTAAGAGATTTGAGTACAACTAGGAGGCAACTCGTTAAGAGGTTGTTTGCATGAGGGTTGTAGTGTAGGATTTTGTCACAATTCATTAGTTTGTCGGACTTTGCAATAATCATATGTTTGGTAATGTTTAAAAAATGAGTTATTTTGACAATGAGAAATTTTGGAAGCCTGCAAGTGCAAGATTTCAGAATAGCTGACCCCCGCCCCCTGACTAATTCGGAATCCCTCACTATAAACCCTCACCCATTATTGACATGCTTGTTGCTCTGCCGAAGAAGAGGACATGTGAATTTAAAGGCCCTCAAGTTGATGATGGTGCGGCGGTGGCCATAACACCGACGAAGCAATCTTCATTTCCAAGCTCCCGCGGTCACGGGAACCAATTCTCTGCCAGGATGCCAGAAGCAATTGGGACGATTCCTCATCACACTCTTTGTTGAAACCCCAGTTTTGGATTTGGACTCTTCTTCTCATTTCTTCCTCCTGGGTATATGCGTCTCTCCCTATCCTCGATCTCCTCACTGAGCCCAGATCCCCTCGACGAAGAGGGGAATTGAGTTAGAAATTTGGATCCAAATCTCTCACAAATCTCTGAGAACACATTCTCATCCAAACGAGTCTAAGTTAAAATTAAGACAATCTCTCAAAGTTTTCAACGTTGTTGCGACTACTTTTAAAATGTGGACTTTCCTAGGGAGTTGATCTATGTATAATGGGTAAATGAATATTGAGTTGGTCTTGCCTTGGAAACCCTAACTCTATATTTTTGGATGAACTATGACTCCTATAATTAAGAATCCACAAGAGGAATTGTTTATTCATACAACAATTTTTTTAAAAATAATACAAAGTCAACATATCAGTTCCTGATGCAAGGAAGGGTGCTCAAATAAAGTAAAACCTAAAAAGATGTCAAAGTAATAGAAAACCTTTTGACAACCAACCAACCAAGAAAGATTGATTTTATGTTAAATCATTCAGCTTAGCGGCTAAACCTAATGTAAAGTGGAACATATTGCAGTATTTACTAAATTTTGAGAGGGTATGACTTATGAGGTAGGTTGGGTGAGTTTCCATCTCTTAGTTCGATCCAATGAGTTTGTACGGACTTTGATTCAGGGGCGAAGCTAGGTAGGTTTTATGAGAGTTCCGTCTTGATAATTTTGAGATGACATAAAAAAAAATCTGTAAGATTTGAAAAATTACGTATAAATTATAAATTATTTTAAAATTTATCTTGTAGAACTGGTATACAAGAATTGTGGATAGTCCAACTGTGAGTGTTGCGATCTCGCCCATATTGATGTTGGCTCTAACTCGGTAGGCAACACTCTTTAGCCGTGACTAATCTTGAGCATGTAATTTTTACCCCAACAATTGGTTATCAACATGATACTAGAATCTTTAATCGAAAGGTCTCATACTCAGACCACCACAACCTGATCCAATTCCAACCGGTGATTAACACATACGGTAAAGTGGATCTATGCAAATTTCAACTTCAAATGCCATCTTTCCTCAGATGAAGTGTGCAAGATATGCATATGCCCGTTTCAACAACTCGAGTGATTGGGATGTACGAGGTTGTCAATGAGGCACATATGGGGTAGGCTCGCGTTGATTCGTGAGACAATTAAGTATCGAATTACATATTATATATATGGTGAGTTCTACGGTACCCTGGGTGAAATCCGGGTTACCGCATACCTTGAGTATGAAAACACTATCTAGACCTTGAATTGACCGATCTTTCGGACATGATACTATACTCTAACACTTAAAGATCAAAATCTAGGTGTTAACTCTCCCAATCTTATACTCTAAGATCAATTTAATTAGAAACAATAATCGACGGTTATGATTCATCCAAATATAGGCACAAAAAGGAATGCACCATCTTAGGGTTTATAGATTATGATTTAGATAATTATGACCTACGGTTCACTCATTAAGGGTTAGGGTATAATATCAGACACAAAAATCCTGGTAATTCAAGGTCTAGATAGAGTTTCCATACTCGAGTTATGCGGTACCCCGGATTTCACCCGAGGTACCATAGAAGCCACCTTCGGATTTCACCCGAGGTACCATAGAAGCCACCTTATATATATATAATCTTGACCTTTTTTTTTATACTAACTACTTCCCCCCCCCCCCCCCCCCCCCCCCCCAAACAACGAACTTAAGTAGAAAATAAGGAACTTGACACATGTTAATGGGACGCGATCTCCGATGAGGAGATTCGGATAATAAGGTCGGTTTATCAGAACGAAATACCATTGCCGCTGCTGAATGGGGGGTTTGCACTTGGCCGGCTCTTCAATTCTCAAACTTATTATTACTACAACAAACAAATATTATTATTATTATTATGTATTTCATAAAAAAATATATTATTATTTTGTATAATTAATATATCGATCGCCTCGCCTAACTAACTGTGGACCGCTGCTAAATTATATAAATTTATTTATTTGTGGAGCAAGTTGGTAAAGCATGATCATGGGGCCGCGGCTTTCAACTAATATATAAACATGGAATGGGTTTTAATTATTGAGATCGATGTAGCTGTTTAGTGGCCGATTACAATATTAAGTAGTGCTTTTAGGGGGGGAAAAGATGGGGGTTAATTAAGTAATTATATTTTTTGAACATGAATTAATTAAGTAATTAACTAATCAGGTGAACTCTATATATGGAGCTAGATTCACTTAACTGGATTCTCGATCTAAATGAAGCTGACATGATGACAATGAACAACTGGAACAAAAATTTAATCCCCGAGTTTAGGAGCTTGCCCATATGTTTAATTATCTTGTTGCCGTAATAGTGATTTGTTGGTGCTCTTCTTTAAGGAAAAAAAGAATGGATCAATTATGTTTATAAAATTTAAGTTGTAGGGAATATTTTCGTTTTTTTAGTGTATAGGATATATCAAGTTTCGGAATTGTTATCTTTTAGTGTGCTCATATATAGAGAGATGAGTTTCTTTTAGTGCACAATTTTCTCTGATAATTAGTAGTTTTCATTAAGCACCTTCTTGAACCAAAAAACAACACAAGAGTCGGAAAAAATACAAAGGTACAAGCCGAAAAACAATAGAGCAACAGATGTCATGTTAATTAACTTCAAGCCTTAAGTTTAATCTCGTCGCAATATGATTCAACACAACAAGCCATGACAGAAAATGAGTATTTAGGCAGTGTAAATTTGGCCCACAAGACCTACCACCAATCCACCACAGGTCTCTTAATCCTAATTGAGTCCCAAATTAATTTCACAAAAAATATAGTCATATGTTGCCCTTTCCATGTAACGACTCCTTGCAAATCAAACATCCCTAAATCACAAAAATATCTGAGCTTATTTTGTGAATAGCTAGAATCACTTTCGTGGGAAAGATAAAAACGACCATCTAGTGATGAATCAACGAATACAGTACACAATCAACAAGTTGAAAGCTTCCCTACATATGACAATTTATTAGCTCTCCCACTTCTAATTCTGCTTGTCAATTTATCTACTAAAACTAGGGGTGGCTATACGGTCCGATCCGGTTAAATTGGACAAAATTGATCCGGTTCCAGTCCGGCCTTTTCGGGAATATAAGGACCAAATATTGGATTGGATACAGTCCGGTCTTGATTAGGTCTGGTCCCAATTTGATTTTGATTTTAGGTGTTGGCGGTCTCTTATCCTGTCTTTATCCGGCTTTTTACCTCAAATCTAAGCCCGAATATGAGATTGGATTGTTTGCTATCCAGTCCCAATCCAGATTATACGGTCCGGTTTCGGGTAAAACCAAACAGTCCGGGACCAAATAGCTAGCCCTATCTAAAACCTCACATCTCTCCTGGATAGCTTGTTTGAGATCAGAGGTAATCCCAAATAGCGTACATGCACTTTTCCTTCTTTAAAACCAATTTTTTCAGAGCATTTTGTTTGAATTTAGAAGCTACACCAACGAAGAATACCTCATATTTTGTTGGAATGCATAATTTTTTTATGCATGTTGTATACTTTTCTCGTTATCTTTATTTTCCTCATGTCATCTAATTCATCTCAAATTACCTAAATGTTTAAACTGTGTTATATTTACTAGCGTTATAGGTATAATATATGCCCTTCTGCTATGTCATTTTATCAAACATGCCCCTTTGCTATTTTTTACAACAAACATGCCCCTGTACTTTGGGAAAATGATCAAACATGCCCTTTTGTCAAAATTTACATCCAAAAACAGTTAGCCACGGTCGAACTTTGGTTTGGACGACACAAATCTCTAAAATATCCCTACTAATTTCACTTTAGAATTTTTTTTGGCTCTTTTGTATAACCGAATAATTCTAATAATTTCACTTTGACGAGATCCAGAGAAATAAAACAGGGGACAAAACTGACATTTTTCCTCCCGTTTGCCGATGTCGGGTCGTCTAAATCTCGGTTCAACTATGATTGACAATTTTTTCAATAGAAATTTTAATAGAAGGGCATGTTTGATAATTTTTCCAAAGTACAGGGGCATGTTAGATGTAAAAAATAGTAAAGGGGCATGTTTGATAAAACGACATAGTATATGGGCATATTATATCTATAACCCTATTTACTAAAATACATGTGGTTTTTTGCTATTTGTACTTTTTACTTGTATTTTAAGAATTTATGGGGGAAAAATTCAAGTGAAACTCTATAATTCATCTATTGATCATTTTATATACAATATTTTGAGTAAAGTACATGAGTTAGTTGTAATTCTATTTTATATCATTATATTAGTCAAATGTTAGAGATGGGTGCATCATGTGCATTCTTTTTGTGTTAACTTATACTCTAAATTCGAAATGAGTAATATTTTAATATAGGTAAATGATAAATGATTTTATTACAAGTTCATTTATGTTCTTGTTCATTGTACTAGAATTTAAGAATTGAAATGGAAAATGGTAAGAATTACAAACCCTATAAATCTCTATGTCTTACCATTCTTGTTAAGAATAATACCATCCGAATACGATCATATCATGAGTGCTAAAATACAAGTTTTGTAGGTTTTATAGCTCTGAATTTTGTATTGTAACCCAATCCTTATTGAATGATGATTATAAAAAATCAAAGAAACTTTTCTTTTCTTCATTCTGCAGCCGGGAGAAATACAGACCATACCATTAAACTTTGAGAATTGGGAAAAGAATACTACTAAAGTGAATTTAGGGCGTCGGATACCATGTAAGTCAATCAAATGTGCACCTTTCCGTTTTTCCATCCATTTTACTAACGGATAAAAAAAACAACCAACTCAACACCTACGTGGATTGAAGTCAACGCTAAGTTGGCTGGGTTTTTTTTTTCTCCGTTAGTAAAATGGATGGAAAAATGGAATTATGCACATTTGATTGAGTTACATGGTATCCGTTCAACGCCCTAAATTCACTTTAATGGTATCTTTCTCCTAATTCTCAAAATTTAATGGTATGGGCTGTATTTCGAGGCCCAAACAAATTGTGATTAAGTAATGTTAAAGAAAAGAAAAAAAAACTGGGAGGAAGAGAGATATGTATATAACTGCCACCTGTTCCCATAACGGTAATAACTGAAATGGGAATGATGTAATGCAAGAGCGCAATTATTAGACAATAATGTGGTGGAGAGAAGTGATTGTTTCTTGCTAATTAATATAATAATAATTCTGGTTAGTTTTCAGTCAAAGACGAATATGAGCCGATGAGATGAGAGAATCATCTGTGACTGTGAAAATTGAATTGAAAACCATGTGACCCCACATGAATGTTTGGTTCACTCAGTCAGAGCAGCACAGAGAGAGAGGGATTCTCTTTTGTTTTTGTGGTTGGGTTTGGTTTCTTTTTCATTTTTTGTCAACGGCAAATCAAACAGGTATAATATTATTATGCGCCACCAAGATATCATAGTCGTAATTTAGGTTATGTAATGAAAGCGCGGTTATAGCAGGTTCTGGCATGTGCATTCTCCCCTCCAAATTCCCAATACACGCCTGATTTCAACCCCCCTTACCCTAACCAGCCCCGCGAGATTGGTCAACACAAATACGATCAAGTTTTAGGATAGAAATGAATGGACAGGTTTAAAAATTAACACCCACAACCAAATCGCAATTACAACGACGATTGCGAGTCGAGGCAAAGAGCCCCCAGAACAAGGCTCTCACCGACCGGCGGAATCCGGTTGCCGCCGACCAAAGACTGCTGCTCTGCTAATAATACAATGTGCCTCCCTGACAAGTTGTAGTCGTTGTTGGCATCCGAGGTGGGTAAGACTGGCCAGAACACAAGCATTACATTGATTTGACATGCTGTCTACAAGTTGCAAGTGATATAATTATAACCCACAAATTATACAACCGTTTTCTTTCTTCTCTCAGACTCTGTTTTCCCATTAGCCCACGTTCTCTGACAAAGAAAAGCATGAGAAATTGAAAGGATCCAAGGTAGACATGGCCGTTGGCCCAATCTCGATAGATAGAGCCCATTTCCCAGCCCAGTACCACTTGAAAGTCCATTAACCACGGCATCGGTATCATTATTCTCGGCCCTATCTCTTACAAAAATGGAACCTTACTCTTAGCGAAAGGCAACGAAACGAAAGAATACCTCTGTGGTTGGTTGCACGAATGAAGAAAATTATATGCAAGCAAGCTACTAAGCCAACTACTTGTATGAGAGAACCATCCTAAGTTATTGTTCTTCTTCTTCTTCTTCTTCTTCTTGCGACCGTCTGGCTGCCTTCTTCTATCCATCCTATAACTTGATCTGGTAAATTTACGACATCTGCTTCACTTGGAGAGTACAAAAAAAAAGAAAACGTAAAGACTCGGGATATACAAAATTTGATGATTCAGTTGGTTGGTTGAGGAAGACGACGAGCATCCCTATTCAACTAAGAATTGGAAGTCGGAATTCTCGGTCAGTTCTTCAGGAGACTTCACTTCAGAGTAGTCCTTCTCTTGGAAGGAATTACATATCTCGTCCACTGAGAATGGCAGCCTGCCCCCCAACAAACAACCAATGAATGAATAAATGGAGCTATCAACACCAATTTTTAACCATAAAGGAAGGAAGGAAGGCAATCATGTTGTACCTTGCACTGTCCTCTAACAAAAAGGAATGGTCGTTGCTGGAATCGTCTGCTACCAAAACTTTCATGTTGGATATCACCTGCAAATTTTTCATACCAGGGGGGGGAGTTATTGAAAGAGAAAAACAAACGACCCTGAATTCCAGTATCTCTCAGAAAAAAAAAAAAAGGAAATTTACGTCGGGGGAGACGCTTCGTGTGTTGTAGTTGTCGTCCCAGTACAACGTGCAGACTCTGTACAGTTGTTGAACGCTCAATATCTGCGCAACATCGGCGATCAAGAAACCAAGATTAAGCAAGTAGTGCGGCAGTACCACAACCGTTCTGTTAATTTACAGAAGCTTTGTGAAAACAACAGAATGAGCAAGAGAAAGAGAGGTATATACAGGGCAAAGGTCATTGGCGATATCATCATAGGATATCCTGGATTTTTGGTGAATCACCTGAAAAAGAGATCAAAATCATTTTTGGAGAAACATAGGCAGGGGACAAATTTCTTCCTACAACTGTATTTGCAAACGTAACACAAACATGTACTTCATGAGTGATACAAGGAGAACAACTTGATCAATGATGCTGCATCAGGATTTCCAAACCTAATAATCGATTATGTTCTGCTACATAAGTTCGACTTAAGATGAGACAGCAGAGTGAAGTTTACATGAAGCATCAAAAGAAGATACTAACCAGGAATCCAACTGCTTGCCTTGTGTGTTTTAGTTCATCCCACGCAGACCCTACAAACTAAGATATAAATATGCATGATTAAAAAGGCGTTTGTTTGATTACCCGGCAGATTTTTTTTTACCACAAAACTTTCATGCTGTCGAATAAAACGAGATTCATACACTGTCGCGTCTCCTTCTTGCTAAATGGTATGGACAAGCAACACAATATACATGACTTACAATATCACCTTGTTTTATGTTTTAACAGGCAAACTGGTTGGTCTCTGTAGTCTGTTCTAATCCTACAAACTATAGTCATTATACAACAAATCATAAGCACAGGAAATCCGAGGTTTGCCAAAAAGAAACCATCAAAAGTTGCTTTTGTTCCAGGACCCTGAGAGCATTCTAACTTCATGCCAGATGCCACAAGACAACAGCAGTGTCGAGTTCTAGTAATGACAACAAAGGAAAACAAACAGGCAACATGTTAGAAACTGTACCTCTTCTTTTGCTTGACCGCACCAGGTCTCTAATTCGGCCAAGCCTGATTTCACAAATTCACCATTGCTGAATGTGCAACACTCCCGACGGAGGAGCAGGCTGCAAAGTGTGCACTAAAATTATTAATACTGTGCCTTGGTTGAATATGAAATAAAGTCGCATTTAGAAGCACAAACGCTACCTATTGAACAACTGTACATTGATATGCGCAAAAATCTGAGAGAAGATCTTTTGAGTAAGGTATGGAGGCACCTGAAATAATACGATAGCAATTAGAACCAGATGAAGAGGAAAAAATAAGTTAAGGTCGCTGATTAATAATACAAAATAAAGAAAAAAAGCTTCATACAAAGTTTTCTTTCATTGTACATAGCAGTGCTTCAAGGTTGTCGACTATACTGTGCCAGTTAGTAGACGGACCAGCTTGTCCAAATGACTTCACAGAGGCTCTTAAAGCATTTCCCTTTGCCCTGGGTGCCTGAGTCGTTGCAGCAACCTAACAGCGTTTAGAAAATTGCAACATATGGTTGTGGATTACCAACCAACAGGGTACAGTGCGGGGAAAAAAAACCTGAGGATCGGCTACCTGGATACATGAAGCCAGCAACGGTGATATCTCTCTTTTTAAATTGTCTCGGATGATCCCATACATTGTTTCCACATATGCTGTAAGCTGTTGCTTAAAAAGCAATGCAGGATACTTGGCCTCAACCACTCGTATAACATCTTTACCAACTTTCACGTCAGTAAACGCCGGCCCCCGAAAACTCTGAAAAGTTTTAAATGACAGACCTACATTGTGTTAAGGTTCAATTCTAAAGAAACGAGTCAGGAACTGTAGTTGGTGGAGCTAGAAATAATTTAATTATTTCTGTAAGAATAGTGCATTAAGTAATTCAGTGACTTGAGGACTTGTGCCCGTTACCACTCCGTTTCGCACCAAAAAAAAAAAAAAAAGTGACTTGAGGACTTTAGATGTTTACTTGAGCCACCCTCCCAAAAAATGATGTTGGAGCAGCTGGATTTTGACTCCCGCCATTGCCTTTTAGTGTCCGTTGAAGTAAGAATAATAGCATTGTGGTATTGGAGAGCCAGTAGGCCATCTGTTCATTGTCATCTTGATTCTGCAATGGGTCGCATATAACATGAATCACATTCAGTAAAGGAAAGGGGCTCACTCAAAATTCTATTTATGTGGCCAAGATGAATTTACCTCGAATGCAATACCAATTGTCTGTATAACCCGATCAAAGACACTTGTTTTTTCTGCCTCGAATGCATTCCACTGGACAAGGCACCTGTATACGGTGATTGCCGCCACTGGTTTTCCTTGGCAAAATCCAAGATTTTTCTCCACGCATGTGATTAAAACATCTACATTCTCCTGTATTAAGATCAAGGCAATATACATAAGAGGGAAGGATGATTAAGGGAAGTACATGTCAATAAAGTTAATGAAAACAAGCATATGTGAATTTGTTCCCCCCTGAACAACATACATGTAGCCTTTCAATCTGAGATTTCTTGAATTTTTCATATGAATCAGAATCAAGCTTTTGTTCGTTTCCATCCTGGCCATTTTCCAGAGGCTGCAGCAACAACAAGAAACAGAAGAATGAGTACCTTTCCCAGTCTCTAATAAGGAGTAACCAATACTATTTCTTCCTTGGTATGCGTTTACAGCTAGTTACCTGAGATGAGTTGGATAGCACTTGCTGGTGCAAAGCTTCTCCATGAGCTTCCATTTCCACAAGTTTTCCTTCGAGACTGAGAAAAAGAAATGGAAAACATACTTACGAAGGCAAAAGAGGATTAATCATCATCAAAATCTATCTGATATGCCATCCACTCTAATAGTGCATCCCTAGAAAGACATTTCCAGATAAATAGAACAAGTAATAACCTCTGCACGGTTGCTTTCAACTCTGTTATCTTTGCTTCTGCATCTTTAGCCTCCTGCAGCCTTTCTTCACAAAGTTTACTCGTCTCCTCGTACTTCTTCTCTGTCTCTTCAATTTTCCTTTCCAATTCACGTACCGTAGCCTGCAGAAAGTAATCTAGTAATTTTAACGCACAATTACTAATCTCATTTAGAATGAAGTTTGTATTGAGTTAAATTATATGCTTAGTTTGAAAATCCTTAGATAACATGCAATGGTATATGCCAAGTACTTCACCTTGAGAGTTTCATTCTCTGCAGTGATCTTGTTCACCAGTTCGTGGTCAGCAACTGGAACCTCCTGTACTGCCGGGACCTGCTCAGAAGCTTTCTTAGCAGCCTCGCACTCCTTGGTAAGTTTGTCTTTAGTTTCTTGGAATTCAAGTTGCAACTCTTTCAAAGCAGCCTGTAGTTTTGCATTTTCTTGTGTCTTGGCTTCCTCAACATCAGCCTACAAGTGATGCCAACAGAAAAATACGACCAACATCAAATAGAGAACATAGAAGCTCAAACAGAGAACACACACATAATCCTGTACAGCTAGTCACCCTCCCTCTTTAAAAAGGTCATCAGCCAGAAGAATCACACATAGAAAAGCTTAACTTATTTCCAAAATAGAAGAAAAGTGCATTGTATGGGTACCGGTGTAAGGTAAATTTACTATTTTGACATGTGAAAGGGGGTACAATTACAGAGACAAACTATTTTGAACTGGAGAACGCAAAATAACTAGCCTACCCTGATCCGTTTCTCCAGCTGCAAGCGCCAGGTTAGTTCTTCCACTTCCTTTTCTAGCTTGCTTTTAGCTTCTTGAAGAGCACCAGTTTCCTTAGCAGCCTGTACACATGAAAGATGAGAATAAAAAGTAAATCTGATGACTTTAGTACTCCAGAGATATAGTACATAAGAAGATTTTGGGTCATCAAGAGCTTGAGATCTCATGTAGACTAGTGCAGAACAGCTGACTTCGGCAATAAAACTCTTGTCATGGCCAAATACAACAGGGTATTTAGTCGGTACAGCAATCTAAATCATGCATAACTGCTGACGAAAGCCAAGAACAAGAACTTAACTGTGAAAAATGGGGATGCAAAAAGAACTTTTTTTATGAAACAAAAAAAAATCAATAGGAATAAAACAATAAGAAAGAGGGGGGAAAAGAGGAACTGACCATACGAAGCTTCCTTAGTTCTCGACGTGCAACTCTGCCCCTCCAGGCACACTGCATGGCAATTGAAGCCCTCTTCAACTTCAAATAGCGTAGTCGTGCCAAATGCCTTCTGCATTGACTCTGAAAAGAATCAAGTTCATTGAGAAATGAAATTTTATAAAAGAAACCAAAAATCTAATAAGATGAACAGAATCTAACAGCCTTCAGAGTTCCATAACCTTCAAGAAGAAAAGTCCTCACAGAATAATGCTAATAGCAATTTGTGTTACCAACACTTCTGCCTTATCAGCAATCTACATTGAAATCCAAAACCCGAGTCCAGAAAGGCATGCAATTTAAATTATCTAGACATCACTAAGTATCAACACAAGGAAATAACAAACAATGAAATCAAAACACCCACAGGATTTACCAACCGTAGAAGATTTCAACCAAAACCCAGGCCAACAAAATGGGAGAAACCTCCATTTGCTCTTTTTACCAATAAACTTACTAGTAGCCACATTATATATGCCTTTCTGAAACATATTGCAGGTCTAGTGACATTATACGAGAACCAGGTATTTGTAGCTTTCCCGATATCGAAAATTTACCTGAATCAAAATTGCAGCTTTCTTCTTCCTCCTGAATAAGAGGTCATTACGAGCAGCCATTCCACGCATACCTGCCTGAATGCACACTGCTGAGGAGTACATACTGTTATAAGATTTTCTTGCAAGAAACCTGCGATAATACTTCTGGATCTTTACACAAGCGTCTTCTCTTCTTAGACATTCAAACCGATGGCGTGCTATTTGACCTGCATAAAAGCTCCAAGAAGGAAAATATTAGACCACACGGACTCGCCTGAGAGAGAGTTTCTGTGATAAATAGCTTCGTAAGATAGAGCACAATCTTATCTGACAAACTCATCCAAATTTATCTAGTACCTCTGCACACATTTTGGATTTCGATAGCAGATTGTCGCAACAATACAAATCTTTTGCGACAACGGTATGAGCGAAATTTCATTTGGATTTTGGCTGCTGATCTTCCTAATACTTCAGTCCGGCGAGCATCCAGTTCGGCCATCTGCCCTGCTCTGAGGAAGACTTTGGTTTTGCCAACCTGCACTTGGAATACATCAGGAAACAAAGGATAGAAATTCAAAAACTCATTTTCAAACAGCATATGCACATACAAATACGCAGGGGGATTCATGTAAAAGCTTGTTCTTGAAATCTTAAAATGGATACCATTTTCATCTGAAAAGAGCTCTGCCAAAGGAAATCAATTTAGGCAAATGTAAAAAAGAATGACCGAAACAGTTGCAGGCAGATATGCAAAATATATGGGAGAATACGTGAGTGAATCAGCTAAAAAGTTGGCAGGACCTCATCAAGAAACCACTTCAATCCAAACTCTTGAATATTGAGAGTTTCTAAGATTGACATTTTAATCATAGGACCAAAAGCTGAAGGATTCAAAATCTACCTGATAACCTTCAAGTTTCACCTTTTCTAGAATCCTCTTGCAAGCAGTTACCTCATCACAGCTTTAAAGGAATGCATAGTAAAAAAAAACAATAAAAGCAATCAGAAGAGACACGTAGCAAATCCAATGCCCATAACATCAGATGAGTCATAAAATAGCACCACGGAGACTGTACCTCCAACTAGCAACATTAGTCTCCAGAATCCCAAAGCGAGCAATGAACTCGTTAAAATTTTTTCTAGTCGGATACCCAGCGCAACTAATCCTGATGGCCTCCAATACTCCCTAGAAACAGGAAATCAAGGCAAAGTTCTTTCAAATAATGTTAAAAACAGAATGCTGACATGTATTTTCAAAAACAAAATGATCAATAGATGATCTTACTCCGCAACGTAGCTGCTGTAGGACATTTGTATTCTCAAAGATGGCTGGCTTTAGGGCATTGTTTGGCTTTACACAACGGATATAATGTGGCTCCGTAGCATTTAATGTTTCAAGCAGAGATTGCAGTTGTTGCTGTACGAGTTAAAGTACAACATGTTATAAAAAAAAAAAGCAAAAATCATCATGTATGTAACTCTGTGTCAAGTAAACACAAACCTACCTTAAATCTAGCACCAATGGATGAAAACTTTGATGATTTAGAAGATTCCTCTGGTAATGGGGGGAACAGGCCCGACACGAAGGGACATTTAGATGCACTGAGGATGGCTTGATGTTCAGGAACTACATAGTCTTTGTTTTTATCCAGAAAGAATTCAGTTTGGTATGTTACCTGCCATAGAGAAACCATCCATAAGAAGAAAGCCATAATCTACGGGTTATTTCTATTGGGAGAAGCAACATCACTGACACGTTAGTTTTTTTTTTATCTGAAACCGTATAATACTTACATCCCCAGCATAGTGAACCACAGTGAAGTCACTACGTGCCAACTTAGGCTTGCTGAAGCGTTTGTGATCCTTAAAAGTCTGGTAAAGCTTTTGTGCAAATGTTTCGTTTGTTGATCTAGGGAACATACTAAAGAGCGACACAGACAAAAAAAAAAAAGATAGTTGTCATCATAACACGAGGAAGAAAAGGATGGAGTTAGTGAAATATGTAAGATATTCAGTTCAACCACTTTATCCAAATACATACCAGGCCTCGTCAAGAAGAGCAAGGATACCACTAGGTTTCTAGCGAAGAAGGAAAAAACATCATATTAGAAAGAAAAAAACTGGAGCATATGCTAACACTTCAAACTGGATCACAAAACAGTTATTTCCCATTCAAGCAACCAAGGCTATCTGAATTCCTTGCATTGAACCATGAATAGTCAAATCAAATAGATGGAAAAAATCAGTAACTCTTTCGGCATCAGACCACCAGGATTGTAGGAACCTTTTAGGTAAACCAACTCTTTACGTTCCTTGCTTTTACTTCTGTTTTAATGAATACCATGAACGAGTTTGCACCAGTACTACGTACTTGAAACTTGTTTTCACATGTTAAAAGAGTCAAGCCCAACCCATAAAACTACCTAACACACACAAGGCATATACCAAAATTTATCAATAACAACAATATACCACTGTCATTTCAGGCTACTCACTGCTGTACGTCCTATTCAAGGTATGATTATAATCTACATAACCAATGTCACGTTTCAATAAATTGACTCAATTCTAAAAGTTAATGAACAAAACTAATAAATTGAAATACACTAAGGTCATATATATGGTTATATATCACACAGAGGAAATGGTGTTCTCAATAAGGACTACAGTGGCCTCCCTATCCAAAGGAGTTTTCAGCTTCTGACATGATCACATTATCAAGTTGCCTGAGGGTCTTCCAGCTTTCAAGTAAATGTAGCATTAGAGTATGTGGCAAACCTTTTCAATTAGATCAAGAACATCCTGGTTGTCAATGAATTCTATATAGCTCCAGTTGATCTGTTCCTTGGTGTATTCTTCTTGCTCCATCTTGAAAACGTGCTGTAAAAAACATATCGAAATAAATCAGTAGGAAATATTTAGATTTTCAATTAAAATGGTGGGATACAGATATACTGCAGCAGTTTTGATGTGGTCAAATGAAATCTTCCAACAAACCTGGTTGAAATGCTGCTGCAACTTTTCATTGGTTAAATTTATACAAAATTGCTCAAAACTGCAATGCGAAGGAACTTGGTAAGATCAGAGATAAAATAAGGAATTCAGGGACCTATGAACGAACAAACTGAAGTCACATGACAAATGGAACAGTGATAGACAAAGTAGAAGGAAAATCGTGAAACACATAAACACAATAGTCATCTGAAACTAAGGATCCGAACAAGCCCACAAGTGAAGGTACAGCTGGCAGATGGTTCCTTTAAATGTTTACAATCAACCCCTTGATGGAAGATATTTCACCAAAAGGAAAATCTTTAACGTCAAAATTCAGCGCATCACTATGAAAATTATCTTGTTGCATGCAACTTCTTATCTGATGAAAACAAAAAGCGTACCGGTTAAGCACCTGTTTGTCTTGAAACTCTCAAACCCATATATGTCCAGAACCCCAATTAAAATTTTTGAACTAGGATCTTGACCGATAGAGCTATTGATCTTGTTCACCAGCCTGTGACCAAAGAATATTTGACATCAGCGAATGTAAGAGAATAATGTAGCGAAGGCACTGAAAGTGGAAGTATAAAAACGACTGGCGAAGATAGAGAAAAAGTATTAACGCCAAAACGAAAAAATGAAAGGATACATTACATTACAGCATACCAATCAAAAAGCCTTGAATAAACAATTTTTGCCAGAGCATCTCTATTGATTGTTGCAGCTACAGGATCGAGAACCTTCAATATCTTATCATCACGGGTCACAATTACACGTTTGCACAGGGAATCCTCGAGACCCTTTTCATCACACCTGAAAAAATCCACAGGTTGTCTAACTCAATTAGCAAATATAGTTGTAAAAAGTGAAACAGACAGTCCAGGAGAGTCAAGACTTGTTATCAGTTACATGAAAAGTTCTGCTGCTATCTTGAGATGGTTGCGAGCATCATCATCCTTAGGTTCGGAGGAATCAGGCTCACTTCCTTTTGCAAACACAACGTTTCCTAGATGTAGTACTGCAGCCACAACTCGGAATATTGCATCCTGTAACACAAAATTTTAGAGAACAGTTTTGCTCTAACAACACTGAGAACCATCAAAGACAGTACCTGCTCTTCATCACTTATCCCAACAACACTCATAGCATTTCTGGTCAAAGCATACTCCTTTGGGTCGTCTATTCCATCCAACTCAATGCATTCTGATTGATTTAGATAACGGAATGACCTAGCACTTCCCACTCTGAACTTCTTTATGTCCTGAAAATGACAACAGTAAGGAGGAACTCAATGCCTGGAGAGAAACTAATACTCGTATTAAGCACAGAGAATCACTTGAAGAATTTGAGGTTTGCTTGATAAATTAAGGAAGGAGCAAGCACTGGGATTTTTTCCTGTGAGATACCGCCAACTAATTGTAACATGTAACATGCAGAAAATGGAAAGTGTGATTGTCAACATTACGATAATGTGGTCTTCTGATCATTGTGAAGAAGGACTACATAATATTTACTGTTTTCTTCTACTATGTCCTCAAAGATCATGGCCATTAAACTGTAATACATTGATGTCTGTGGCATTTAAGAACTTGCATGCAGAAGCATGTTGAATAGTATATATATTATGGAGATTGTAAGACGGATAGGATCGACGTTAGAGGCTAAAGATCAAAGATGCCCTTTCTGGAGTTGGCAGTTTCAAGAGTTAGGTATTTCATATATGGTATTAAGTTCTAACGCAAGAGAAAAAGAAGAGCATTCCCTGGCTCAGCTTTTTTAGGTAAGAATCAATAAGCTGGATGGGTAACAGAACCTTGAACTTGTTGCATCAAGCTGCGAAGAAAGGAATTTTATCCACTGACTATTTGATATTAAAAAGGAAAGACATTCAGCAGAAAATAGTAGGGTATGGAAAATGCACGATGGTGAAGGCACTTTACGCTTTTGGATTAGAACCTGATTCTTCATTTAGAAACAAAACAATGACAAATGTAACTATTGATTCATCATTTTTCTTTTACCTCTGGGGGAGCGGCACAGAGCATGTAAAAGCAGTGATAATTTCTCTCCGGACTAGAGACTTGACAAACACGAGAACGCTCCAGCAAATATGTTCTGATGGCAGCTCCAGAAATCCTACCTCTGTCATCAAACTGGAGCTCCACAAACTTCCCAAAGCGACTGCAGTTGCATCATTCATGAAGTCATTAAATTGATGCAAATCATTAAATTGTACTCAGAAATTTAATGTCGTAACCAAAGTTTTACCACCTTGAGTTATTATTCCTAACGGTCTTTGCATTCCCAAATGCTTCAAGAACAGGATTGGACTGTCAAACAAAAGGGTGAAAGTTGAAACTTAGGCCATCTGCTTCAGGTAAAGACTCATTTCCTGGAAACAAAATCAGGGAGAGGAGAGTATCATCCAACAGAGCAGGCATAATTACTCACCTCTAAGACTTTCTGCTCCACAGAACGTCCTTCATCTGCAGCTCTACCGCCCATAAAGGCCAAATAACGCATAAGACTTTTAGTACTCTCTGTTTTACCGGCTCCACTTTCCCCACTAACTAAAATGGACTGGCTTATTCGATCATTGATCATCTGTCTGCCAAGTTCAAAATTTCTTCTGAGTTCACAAGAAGACTTTAAAGCACTCAATAATGGAATCTGAAAGAGAAACATCAGTGGAAGTTACCTATATGCTGAATCTGCTACGGCAAAAGGATGTGGACTCAGCTCACCTATGGCAGCCCCTTTGTATTGTTCCATCATATGACCATCATACAAATGAGGAAGTCTCCGGAAAGGGTTCACAGCTATCAATATATTTCCTGTGTAAGTCTGTAATCATTATGAGGGAGTTTAGCTCGATAAACCAGAACTGCAAATCAACATAACAAAATCGAAACGGACCAGCCAGGGATGATGTGAAATCCTCAGTATCCAACTGATATAACTACCTAATTGTACTTCAGCAACCTACTTTGTGAGAAAGAGCTCATGAGAATACAAATTATTTCTACAAACTTACATAGATCTCATTTATGTCGTATCTAACTTTTAGATTCTGCAGCACTCCTGGTTCATTCAAATATGCAAGTTTTGTCATGTCGTCTACACCGCATGATGGAAACTCTGGATCCTTGGGGTACACACTAGATGCTTTACAAACAACCTGACATAATATAAAAACCTAAAGGTTAAACCCAAATAACTCAATCAGACATAAATAGAGAAGACAATGAGTGAATAAAATTTGCCATTATCCCACCAATCAGTTAAGGCCAGTCATTGACCATATTAAACACAGTGACTTTAGGGTTCGATAAAATGTAATGACTTTCGGATTGGAAACACCAAACGGAAATTCTAGGAATCAGTAGATGAGAAAGGAAAAGTATCTTCAAAACACTCACTGTTTTGTCTGATGTACATTGTACTTTAAGTTCATCGCCATTAATTTCCAAAACTTGCCCATCTATCCAAGAGACATCAGGATCCTCTAGCCAGACTAGAGATCCCACTGCAAAATTCACTGAAGCAACCTGCAACGAAAGAGAATTTTCAGTATATGCAACAGAGAAAGCCTCATTGTTTGTGCACACGGATATGTATAGCGTTGCAACAGAACATGAACTGCATAAGACCTAGCTAGATCCCAATGATATATCCTTAAGCGCGTAGGTAGATTACAAGTGCATAGTAGAAGCTACTTCTTATCTTGTTTTGTTTATACTGGTTCAGCATCCACTATCAGCTCAAGAAAACAGCAACAGCCTAATTGCTAGTCTCAATTCAACAAAGAACACCTAAGAAGAGGGAAAATGAAAAGCACAACTCTACTACCACCTGTTCGCGCCGTGAAGAAGGTGAACGTACCAAGCTAGCTAATATACTCGATATTCTTACAAGCGAAATTCAGGCAAAAAAAAATTGCAATGGTATCCACGGGGAAATCTGATCAGAGACGAAGTAACCAAATCATCTTCCACATACAGGAAATGCAGGACGGAAATAGAAGGTTTACCATCGTTGATTGCAAAGTCGATCAGATTTTGATCCGAGAGGCAGAGTCCGTAAACCCTAGGGTCTCAGAATGCACAATGTAAGCCACAACGTTTACGAATTGCTCCTCAATTCAGGTCAAATGTGATCCTACAATATCCAATCTCCGGCGAAAAGGAACAATCGACGGACGCTTTCGCTATATCCGGCTCCGTCTCACGCGCAACGTAGAAACCTTGTCATTGCGCTGTTGTCTTTCTCTGTCGGAATGGAGGACGTGTTCGGCAAGCTAGAAACAAAGACCACATGGAAACGTCACATCGTAACCTTGTTGTTGCAGCGGAGCCAGAGGACCTTTCTGTGAACCGGAAGAAACGACGGCATGGAATTCCCTTTCTCCGGCGACCGTGATTTTGCAATTTCCCCTGCGATTCCACTTTCTCTGGGGGGGAAAATTCCCGTTTCCTTCGCTCTATCTCTCTCTTCTCTGAGTTGCGTCGAAATTTCTCTCTTAGTGCACCCGCACTTGGTGACCGTTGTTTGTTTGGCTTTTCGTTTCCAATGCACAACACCTTACGTGAATAATGCGAGACGACGAGTCGAAAAATCCATGCTTCCTCTTTCTTACTTCCTGATTTGCCCCCGCACTTTTGAACTAATTACCCCGGACGAAATGCTCGCCAGAACCAGTGGCGGGTACTCATTTTTTTTTATATAAAAAAAAATGGTTTGAGTCTCCAATACAATGTAATTAAGAAAATTGATTTAATTATATTAATTTTTTGAGTGATAATCACATTTATATTTCGTGTTTAATATAATAAATAAATATCTAGAAAAATTTAGAAATATAATTGAAATACCACATTTTATTATTTTCAGTGGTAGTTTCACTAGTTTGTTTCACATAAAAAAATAAGGGTAATGTCTATTTTTCATTCAAATATTTTTTAATCTTTTCTATTATCCAAATCTATTAAAATGCTATCAATTCTTCAAATTTTTCGAAATACATCAAAATATTAGTCATTTTATGTTATCGTTAATAATTTTGTAACTCTTTTCTTAGTTAAAATACTAAAATTTTGGAACGTTGACCTTCATGTGTCTCTTCTAAGTTAATATCATGTTGTGAAATCAATATTACTAAAAAAATTGCAAACTGAAAGTTAACATTTGACTAATTCTTAGTATTTCGATAGGTTTGACTATAAAAAATAATCTGAAAAAAGTTTGGCTAATAAATAGTCATTACCCAAAAAATAATGTTGGTATTGTTTGTGCAGAAAATTAAAAAAAATTTATTGTGAACAATACAAAAATTATAACAATCTCAATCAAACGATGGATACACGACATTTATATTAATTAACTTTTTGTCATAATTAAAGCTAATTTTGTCCCCCAAGGGACACTGATGAAATTGGGACGATATATAAGATAACTTTTAATTCAAATCTTAATAGAAAGATATTAACTCTTGACTGAATGTATAACATAATTATGTTATGAAAATTCAATGTTTGTCATCTACTCATGACAGTTCATTTGTCATATGTTGAATCATCACAGGAGAAAGTCTTACAAAATGAAGAACTTTTCGAACTGTGGTTTATGAACCGATTCCCGATGAAGATTCGTCAACCAAAGCAATCAAAATTAATATATATAAAGCTTAAGTAGTGTTACTGTTGCCTAACTTCTTATATAGCTTTGCTAATGTGCACTACTGTCATGTAGTTTAGTAACCTATAGGCGAATGGAAGCACACAAGTTTAATATTATTCCCAAAGCTATTAACTTATTGAGGTACCATTTAACATGGATTTTGGTAGCACTATTTTAATGTCCCATAACCATAAATCTCATTTTCTCACGCAAACCATAAACCAACCTTTGATTATAGATCATGAATTTTTATTAAACTTTATATATATATGGTGGCTTCTACGGTACCCGGGTGAAATCCGGGGTACTGCATACATGAGTATGAAAACGCTATCTAGACCTTGAATTTGCAGGATTTTTGTGCCTAATACTATACCCTAACCCTTAATGAGTGAACTCTAGATCCTAATTATCTAAATCATAAACTATAAACAAGACGGTGCATTTATTTTTTTGCCTATATTTGGACGAATCATAACCGTCGATTATTGTTTCTAATTAAATTGATCTTGGGGTATAAGATTTAGAGAACTAAGACCTAGATTTTGATCTTTAAGGGTTAGAGTATGATCATATCCGAAAGTTCAGTCAATTCAAGTTCTAGACAACATTTTCATACTCAAGGTATGCGGTACCCTGGATTTCACCCTGGGTACTGTAGAACTCCCCCCCCCCCAACCCCACCACACACACATATAAATATATATATTAATTGGTTGACAAAGTGTATTGTTGAAAATTTGACCAGAAAGATCGTTTTGTTGTGATTAATCATTTTCATTGGCTTGCGATACACTTTCAACTTTTTGTGGGATTTTCCTTAACAACCACGATGGACTATAATCGGAGACTGTAATTTCCATAAAAAATATTTTTCTCTCGACCCACTTCCTCCTCTTCTTATGAAGAAAAAAACTCTGTTATCGTATGTTCTCCCTACTGGATTTAAGAAAATTGATTTAGATTCTAGGGTCTTGTTTTATTTTTATTTTAATATTTTCATTTTTGGAGTGAGTTTTAATGTTATCTAATGTGAAACTTACTACGTAGTACTCAAAATAAATTATCATTTTTTCATTTAAAATTTCAATCACTGTATAACATACCTATTCCTTATAAAATGCACACAATATTTCAATCATTGTATAACATACCTATTCAAAATCAGGTAAATTGAGTTGCTCCTCATTAGTGATGATGTTGAGGCGGACGAGGCGGGGGTACCTCAATGTCCAAATTCGCCCCACATTAAATGCGAGCAAGGTCGAGTGATACTCGCATTATACAGGTCTAGGCAGGTCAAACCCATTCCTATATGTAATTTGAACAAAATCTTAATTTTTTACGATAAAAATAAAGGAAAAATCGTTCATAATTAGAAAAAATAGATAATAGGTAGATTAAATGAGTGTAATTTTTTGAAATATGAAGTTTTTCACTTAACTAAAGTATCATTGGGCGAAAAAGTAATTTAAGATAAGTAAAAATAGGAAAAAGCAGTTAAATATTTAGACAAACTAAATCAAGATAGAATGAGTTAAGAACGGGACAAAAGTAGTACATATGTCCTACTCAACACGGATAATGTAAGATAATACTCCGTAAGTCGAGTTCAAATTGCTATCACTACTTCTGTTTCAACCTATAAAACCTTAACCCAATTGCTACTAGGTCAATCGTTGGATCCTCATTAACAACCATTGATGTGAATGTCATAAAGAAATATATTCAGATAAGGAAATTATATTTGTGTGTTATTCGTGGGTTGGAGCTATTGGAATATCCTTTAAACTTTTTTAGGATTGAAATTTTAATTTTTTGTTCGTTCAAATTAGATAAAGGACTTTGGATATTTCATTTTCTCTATTCTATCATTAACCGACAATTTTGTAAACCATAAGTCCGCAACAAAGTGCGGATAATTGTCTAGTTAATATATATAAAACTGAAGTTGGGTTACTGTTGCCTAACATTTTACATTTTGATACCTCAAATTTAATTATATCATAACTTAGTCACTATAATGTAAATTTTACATTTTGATACCTCAAATTTAACTTTAATATAAAATTATTGAACAATTGTGTTTTGGTATCTAACATTTGAAATTTTCGTACCTACAATTTTTAAATTTACATATTGGTCCTATGTTTAGATTTTACTTGAATCTATGAATCCAATCCACCAATCCTTTTGAACCAATCCACGAATCCAATCCATCATAATTTAAAAGTATAAATTAAGTTTGTACAATGTGTTCTATCACTCAATATCCCTCAACTGTAGAAGAATATTCGACCATTTTATCTTTGCTCATTACGTGAAACATTAAATAAATGATAAAAGAGATACGACTCTAAAATATTGCAAGAGCGAATTTATAAACTCAATTAGTACATTTATGGGGTACTAAATAAACTTCTACTAACTACATGTAACAAAATATAAGACATCTACATAAGCAAGTGTCAATAAATTGCTACGGTGAAAATAACTGACTGTTTTATTGACAGCCAACTAAAAAGAATTGGTCAAAACCTTTCTATCATCTACTTCCTTTTTGTTTTATTTTCCACTCGCCTTCCATAACCCTTTCTTTCTTTGCCTTCTTTGTCTAACCCTAATTAGTATACCATTTTTATGTTATTTAATCACAAGTATGAATACACGACTCACCAACAGTTTAGAGGACTAATAATTGAAGTATGAACCACTAATTTTTTTCACCTCAATGTCGAGCTCAATTAAAAATAAATATATATGGTATTACTTATTAGAAAGTATTCATTTTCCACTACGGGATTTGATATATGTAGATATCTAGCTAAACATTTCATGTATATTTGTTGAAAATTCTACCCCTGGAGAAAAAGAAAAACTCTAGAGAGAAGCAAAAGGAATACAAACTTCTAAACCCATATATACGTCATCCATACTCTATCCATAATCAATGGGTCTACTTGGGTTTAGATAAATATCATTTACTAGCCAAAATTTTCCAAAAAAATTAAATTGGATGTTGAGCGCCATGTATCTCTTCTCATTCAATATTACTAACAAAACTTCTAACGAAAGATTAATTTTAGACTAATAATACTAACAAAACACTATAACGAGCCACATAATACATGCCTATAGGCCATCTTCGCCCGCGACAATGCGCGGCATCTCCACCTAGTAAATATATGAACAATGAGCATCGCTACTATGCTATAAAGCATTAGTGTTTTAATATACAATTTGAAGTTGTACCATGACATTAAACGTATAAGTTCAGATTGTATCATAAAATAATTTGTACCACTATGTTATTGTACAACTTGAAGTTGTATCATCACATAAAAGAATCTGTACAAAATAATATATGTACAATCTAAACTTACATTTCCTCTGACGCAAGCGTGCTCCTTATCTGCAAAATGGATCCGGAGGCGGGGCCTCGGATACCCTCCAATGCTTAAGTCAGTTTAGATAGAGAGAGAAAGTAGAGAGAGAATGGGGGTAGATGAGTTACCATTAAATGATGTGGTTGGGCTTGTATTTATAGTCTGTGAGGGTCGGTATGGACAAATAATGCTCTGTTGCGCATGTGTCTGACCTGCTACTTTCGTACTTACGCTTACGACTGCATTTAATGCTGTCAGGGTAGCTATGATTACTGCTACCACGGTCTTGTCGAGTTTACCTTCCCCATGTACGCTTGCGGGCGTATCCCCGCTTTCCATGGTGTTTTTCGTTCACCCACTCGGGCTTTCTTTCGGGCCTTTCCCTTGCCCGCTTGGCCTGCTCTTAGTTATTGGGCTTTCGGAAACCGGTACCCTGGGCCTGGGCCCGCTTAGTCATCCCTTATGGCCCAACAATTGTCCCTCAGGCGGGGAAAGCCTCCGGATTTCGGCGGCTGGTTCCTAGGCGTGGGACAGGGATGACTAAGCATTCCCAAGTCCCAGCATACTGATCTCTCCCTCCAGCCGTCGAATCGGGTGACGCACGCCTCGGGTTGTGCCGCTTGATTAACTGCCGGTGTCTGACGTTACGTCTTTTCCTTGGTCTGGGGAAATGCGATGTAAGTCTTTTGAATTCTGCAATCATTGCTACCTATATAGCCTTTTAGGGTTCGTTCCCCGAAGAGTCACTCTTGCAACGACTCTATCCTTTATAAGTTCTTCAACCGCGAATCTCTGGTAACGTTTCACTGTTCTTCTGCTCGTCTTTATCCTCTCTAAATTTCATCGACGCTGTTGTAACTGTCAATTTCATCGTAGCCCGTTGTGATCGTTACGAACTCCGGCGCTCCCTCACGATGCCTGGCGGTAACCGACTCGAATCTCCCGGCGTCGACTGGTTCTAGCTCTTCTCCTGGACGGAGGAAATCCCTCGCCGGCCATGCGACCGTCGCGTCTTCTCCCGGCGGCGGTGGCACCACTGCTACCGCTGCCGCTACCGCCACCGCCGCCGCCCCCGTCGCTCCTCCTTCCACCGCTTTGATAAACCTCGAGTCTTCCAAGATGGTTTCGGATCCCATCACCGCTGCCGCCCTAGGTATGCTCAATCTGAACGCTTTATCGCCCTTTAGTATGTCTGACATTGACTGGGACCTGAGTAGGGTAGGCGTGGACTTTGGGGATCCTGGTTAGACGATGGCCGCTTTTTGCTAGGTAGGAATGGGGATGGTTCGTTTGAATTGACGGATGTTACTTTGGGTCTAGGCGTAGAATCTATAGCTGCTAGGGGTGATGCGTCCTCCGTTGGGGACAATCTTGCCAACTTCGAAGTTTCGGAAGCGAGCATGAGTACCGAAGAAGGTTTGAGTATTGATGATCCGTCTGCCGAACATCTTGAGCCGCCCGAATCTCCATCGCTTGAGCTTTCCGAAGATAGTTCGGAAACTTATTACCGCGCGGTGGAGGACAGTGAGTATTCAGTGAGCTTTCACGAGAACATGTGGGGAAAAGGAGAGATCCCCATTCGCGCCTATGGATGGGGGCCAGATAGGTACAGCAAACTGAAACCGCCCACCGTACTTGCCCGTCTTCGGATGTATCGGCTTCCCACCGAGTGGAAGTATGCTTCCCCGTCTCCAACCTCGATAGCGGGCACGTGCCCGAAAGGCTAGGTGACAATATACACTAAACAGCTGAAGTTGCGGTTATGCTTCCCCCTTGACCCAATCATCACGCAAACCCTGCTATGCTTTAACTGTACTTTGGGGCGTCTGTCGCCTACAATCATCTTCCACGCATGTGCTTACCGGCTCACGTGCCAGCGTAGTGGGGAGGAGCCCACGTTCGCCGGTTTCCACTTCTTGTACGGTCTGCGACGGGTATCTAATGTATGGTCTTTTGGGAAGCGTGACAAGGCTTTCGGGTTCGTGACCAGTTCCCCCAAGCTGGATTTGCCTTGGTTCAAGGATTTCTTTTATACAAAACCAACGACAAAATGGTATTCGGGTGACAAGGAACCGAGGACGGGGTTTGCGTATGGGAGGAAGGAAAATTGGGATGCGAGGTTGTGGACGTTGGACTCCCAGAAGGATCACGCTTTGAAACTGGCTAAGTTGTCCCCGTTTAACGTGAGGCCTGGGGGACCTGACTCCGTGGGAGCCATTCTGATTGGACTCTTCGGAGATGGTCAGTAGTGAACTTATTTCGTTTTGTTGAAACGCTTTCCCTTTTGTTTATGACACTAATCACCTGTTGCATGCAACCATGAATTTCGAAAGCGTGGCGCTGATGCCTCGACCTCCAAGGCGTAACAAGAACACTACGAAGCCCATTAATGCTCCGAGTTCTGTGCTGAAGCCAAGTTTGCCCCTTGCTCCTCCGGCGGCGGCAAGGGCGCTTGGTCCCCTGGTTAAGGCTCCTATTCCCGCCGGCCAAGCTACACTTACAAGCGGGGCCGATGGGGTCATGGGGTGAACACCGGGGGAGATGATACTCGTCTCCCACGAGATCTTGGGAAACGTGCAGCCGAAGCCCCAGCCGAAGACGTCGATCCGGGACATAAGAAAGTGAAGGCTACCACCATGACCGAGATCGTTGCCTTCTCTCCGCATTCATCGCTCCGCGAAGACTACGCTCGCCGCATGTTGCACGAACTATCTGGGAAACTCCTTGTGCCTCCGGAGTATACTGATGTTGACGATCCATCGTGGAGGCATTGGGTCAGCACTGCTGCCCGTTTTCTGCTCGCTGTAAGTTTACCAAACTTTGGTGATGGTATTGTGATCACATAGGTCATTCGCTTATGGTTGTGTTCTCTGTTATCGTAGGCGGGTGTTGGCTTGTCCCAAATTGGGATGACCAACGAGAAACTCCACATGGCGAACCTGCGTGGTGGTGTCGAGGCAGACAAACTGCGCAAGAGGATCGGGGAGTTGGAAGCAGAGAGTCTTAAGGGGCGTCTGGCCGCCCGCGCCGAGGTGAAAACGGAGCTGGAAAAGGAGCATACGGAGGCGCTTAAGGAGCTGCGCGCGGACTTGTCACGCGGCGTTCAGAAGGTCAATAGCTTGATGGCGGACAATGAAATTTTGGAGGCAGACGTCGACCGTTACCTCAAACGTGTTGACGAGCTGGAGGAGGAGAAGAAAGAGTCTGCTTTGAGGCACAAGACGGAGGTTGATGCTGCGACCAAGTCTGCGGTTTCTTCATACTTGCTGTCTCCCGCCTTCCGCAAGATTGATGACGCGAAACACTCCAAGGTCATGGGAGACACTGTCACCTCCATTCGACACTTGTTCCGTCGCAACTATCCGGAGCTCGAGTGGGACACGGACGCGATATGGGATGCTGTTGTGGCGTGGGGCACATCCGAGAGCGATGTGAACTCTGAGCAAGCTCTTGCGCATGCTTCGGGGGGCGAGGAGGCTACGTCTCAAGGTGGTGCCTAGATTAGTACATGTTATTCCTTTCGTTTGTAATTTCCTTCTCTTTCTGCACAGTGAACAATTCCTGCTCTCGGATAGAGTCTTAACTTTTCCCCTTCTCCGCTCATTTTTCCGCATTATTATTCCCTTTGCTATTATCTGTTTGGTGGGGAGCTTTTGGGCACGGACGATGCTTTGGCTTTTTAGGGTCTCGGGGGCGTTGGACATGATTGACTCGTGTCTCGGGGCATTAGGTAGTTCATTCGCTCTACATCGGGTGGCGTGTTGCGAGGGAGTTCTTCACCCTTTGTTCGTTTCGCGGGCGGACTATTCTGCTTTAGGGTAGCATTATACGAATAAATCCATGTCCCGGGGCACGTTTGAGTATGGGCTCGCTCTGCCTCGGGGTGGCGTGTTGTGAGCGAGTTCCTGCCTCTTAGGGCGTTCCTCGAGCGGATTATTCTGCTTCGGGGTAGCATTTTTTGAATAATCCATGTCCGGGATGCGTGTGAGAATGGGCTCGCTCTGCCTCGGGCTGGCGTGTTGTGAGTGAGTTCCTGCCCCTTAGAGCGTTCTGCGGGCGGATTATTCTGCTTCGGGTAGCGTTTTATGAATAATCTATGTCCCGGGACGCGTTTGAGTATGGGCTCGCTCTGCCTCGGGGTGGCGTGTTGTGAGCGAGTTCCTACCCCTTAGGGTGCTCCGCGGGCGGATTATTCTGCTTCGGGGTAGCGTTTTATGAATAATCCATGTCGCGGGACGCGTTTGAGTATGAGCTCGCTCTGCCTCGGGATGGCGTGTTGTGAGCGAGTTCCTGCCCCATAGGGCGTTCCGCGGGCGGATTATTCTGCTTCGGGGTAGCGTTTTAAGAATAATCGATGTCCCGGGACGTGTTTGAGTATGGGGCTCGCTCTGCCTCTGGATGGCGTGTTGTGAGCGAGTTCCTGCCCCTTAGGAAGTTCCGCGGGGGGATTATTGTGCTTCGGGGTAGCGTTTTACAAATAATCCATGTCCCGAGACGCGTTTGAGTATGGGCTCGTTCTGCCTCGGGGTGGCGTGTTGTGAGCGAGTTCCTTCCCCTTAGGGCGTTCCGCGGGCGGATTATTCTGCTTCGGGGCAGCGTTTTATGAATAATCCATGTCTCGGGACGCGTTTGAGTATGGGCTCACTCTGCCTCGGGGTGGCGTGTTGTGAGCGAGTTCCTGCCCCTTAGAGCGTTCCGCGGGCGGATTATTCTGCTTCGGGGTAGCATTTTATGAATAATCCACGTCCCGGGACGCGTTTGTATATGGGCTCACTCTGACTCGGGGTGGCGTGTTGTGAGCGAGTTCCTGCCCCTTAGGGCGTTCCGCGGACGGATTATTATGCTTTGGGGTAGCGTTTTATGAATAATCTAAGTCCCGGGAAGCGTTTGATGGTTGCTTTGAAATGCCTTGCCGAATGCTTCGTGCTTGATTGACTTTCAAAATGATACATGTTCTAGTCTGCCATATAGTACTTGCGCAAGTGCAAGGAATTCCAAGTCTTGCTCACTGGCTCCCCGCCCATCCATGTCCCGAGACACGTTTGTGTATGGGCTCACTCTGCCTCGGGGTGGCGTGTTGTGATCGAGTTTCTGCCCCTTAGGACGTTCCGCGGGCGGATTATTCTGCTTTGGGGTAGCGTTTTATGAATAATCTAAGTCCCGGGAAGCGTTTGATGGTTGCTTTGAAATGCCTTGCGAATGCTTCGTGCTTGATTGACTTTCGAAATGATACATGTTCTAGTCTGCCATATAGTACTTGCGCAAGTGCAAGGAATTCCAAGTCTTGCTCACTGGCTCCCCGCCCATCGTGGCAAGCTCAAAAGTGCTAGGGCCCAGCTTGTTGTTAACTATGTAGGGTCCCTCCCAGGTGGCTATTAGCTTCCCATGTCTCTCCTTCTCTTTCTTGTCAAACATCCTTCAAAGCACTAAGTCACCTTCCTCCAGTAGGCGCGGCTTAATCTTCTGGTTGTACGCCTTGGCGACCTTCCTCTTCTCGTCCACGGTTCTCGTGAGCGCTGCCTCCTTACGTTCTTCTATTAGATCTAACTGAAGCAATAGGTTAATGTGGTTTTCTTCCGGCTCGTAAGCTCGGACCCGGAGGGTGGGCAGTTCCAGCTTCGTAGGGACCATCGCTTCGCATCCGTAGGTAAGGGCGAAAAGTGTTTCTCCTGTCGCCGTTTTGTATGTGGTGCAGTGAACCCACAGGACGCGTGGGAGCTCCGTAGTCCACGATCCTGTTGCTTCTCCCAGCCTCCACTTCAGACCCCTTAGTATGAGCTTGTTGTAGGACTCGACCTGCCCATTGGATTGAGGAAAAGCGACCGACGCCAGGCTACACTTTATACCGTACTCCGCACAAAACTTCTCGAACGGGCGACTGCGAACTGGGTCCCGTGATCCGTAATAATTGCCTTCGGTATTCCAAAAAGTATGATGACGTTGTTGAAGAGAAATTTTTGCACTCGGGCGCTTGTGATTATCTCTAGAGGCTCTGCTTCTATCCACTTCGTAAAGTAATCGACGGCGAACACGAGGTACTTCTTCCCAAGCGGGGCGTTGGGGAACAGTCTCAGTAGATCTAGTACCCACCTTGCGAACGGCCACGGACTGACGATGCCCCTCGTTTCGGAGGCGGGTTGGTGATGCTTGTCGGCGTGAACCTGGCAGGCATGACATTCCTGGACAACCTTGAGTGCAT